ACCAGCAGCTTGCCTGCCTGGGCAAAGCCAGGTGCCAGCAGGAGGCACACACAGAGAGGAAGGAGGCCAGTCAACACTGCAGGAGCCATTGGACAGCGGCAGCCTGGAGCAGCCCAGTGGTCTGGATTCCAAGCTTGTGGGATACAGTCGGTGGAAGAAGCACAGGCACCAAACCTGCCCCAAGAGCAGTCTGAGGATAAAATCCAATATTTCCTTTGGGACAAATTCCAAAAAATGCAAGCTTTATTGAAATGTCCTTTTTGATCTTCCTGAGTACACAGGCTCCAAAAACAATTGGTTAATAATTCCCTTTGTAAACCAGCATTGAAGTCACGGCACTATCTCTGTCCAGGTAAAGATCAAAACTATTTTTTTGTTGTTGCTGTTGCTGTTGTTGTTAATCCTCACCCAAGAATATTTGTTTTCATTCATTTTTAGAGAGTGGAAGGGCAGGGCAGAGACAGAAACATGGATGTGAAAGAGACACACTGATTGGTTGCCTCCTGTTGGGGTGGGACGAGCCTGCCAACAAAGTTCATGCCCTTGACTGGAATTGAACCCGGGACTCTTCAGTCTGCAGTCCAACATTCTAACCATTGAGCAAACTATTCTTAGCAGGAAAACATATTGCTCAATATTTTCTTGTGAGTAAATTATTGGCAATGACTGCTTTGGGTTTTTTTTTGTTTGTTTGTTTGTTTTTTGTTCCAATATTTGAACAGCAAGGATGAATTTCAAATTAATTCTGCACAATAAACTAAGCCAGACGGAAGAGTCCATGTTGTGTAATTTCACTATTGTATTTCTATCCACCCATTTTTTTCTCTCTCTCTCTCTTTAAATGCTAACCACAATCCCTCTCAATAAATTTGATAATCCACTAATAACACATGACCTTCGGTTTAAAAGGTTCTTGTTTATAGCATTTGGGTACAGATTGCATAACAAATAGATTAAGTAACACAGCACAGATAAGGAAATAAAAATGCAAATAAAATTGCAAGTTTTTCAGGCCAGGGTCATAGTTTTTTACCTTTGCCAACCACTTGGGTCAAAATCCCAATTTTTGTAAGAGTAATCATGAACTCAAAAGTGTTGACCCCAAATTATTACTGCTTGCAGGGGTGGGGCCCACAGGCATCTGGAGGTCACTGTAGGTGTGGTGTGCTTCTCTTTAATGCAGGAGGCCCTATGACTTACGTTTTAGTGAAAAACATTTTTAGAAGGCTATTTAAAATTAAGTACAGTTTTGTGTCCATCCATTGCCTGGATCTCCTCTCCTGACAACATGGCCATTCTTACTTTTTAAAAAAAATAATATATGTGTGTGTGTGTGTGTGTGTATAGTTCAGAAAGGAAGGGAGAAGGAGAGAGAGATAGAAACATCAACGATGAGAGAGAATCAGAAAGAATCATTGGTTGGCTGCCTCCTGCAAACCCTCCCCCCCCCCATGGATTGAGCTCACAACCCGGGCATGTGCCTTTGACAGGAATTGAACCTGGGAGCCTTCAGTCCACAGGCCGCCACTCTATCCACTGAGCCAAATTGGTGAGGACCACATGGCCATTCTTTAGCCTACCTCTGAAGCAAGCCATTTTATCTGTAGACATCCCAGACTTTTAGGAAGCTCTTTCTTATAATAACAATTCATAAACTGCCCCCTGACCTAATTTATTTGTTCTGAACATATAGATTACATTCTAATAGCATTCCAATTTTACCACACTAGCTTCCAAGAGTTAATATATTCAAAACATAACTTTTTAGTTTCCTACCAGAGCTTTCCTCCTCTCCCAGTTTGACTCAGTAAATGCTATTTTCATCTACCTCGTGTTTCAGGTAAAATAATGTACAGGTATCACTGTCCCACCGCCGCTCCATTCAAGCTGAGTCAGTTGGGGTTCAATCAGAGAAGCAGAACCACCAACACTACCAATAGTCAGAGATTTGTCATAGGGATTTGACTCATGTGGGAGTTGGTTGAACGGATCTCTGTTAACAATCTTTGCCTCTATGCTAGAATTTCAGGACATCAGGGTGGGTCATCTGGAAGGGATCAATAAGCTTGGACCCACAGGAATGAACTTGGATCTACAAGAAGGGACTAGAACTTTGGAGTGTTCTTGCTACCTCCAACCTTGATGATGTGGGGGTCCTGCAGGACAAGCTGGTGCTCTTCCTCACTAAGCTAAACACACACTGAGCAAAGACATGAGAGAAGCTGAAGGAGAAGCCAGGGCAAGGAAGGGAAGGTGCAGGTCCAACTGCCACTTCATGCCAATGAGTTAAGTCTGCATGTATGGCTACAAAAGTGCCTGTTCCACACTTCTGCATGTAAGAAAACAAAAATTGCTCCTCAATTTAAGGTAAAAATGTCTCTGTGACTAACCCTAATCAGATATAGGAAGGGAATCCTGGGAAACAAAATTCAGCTTAGCCCATTGATACATTACAAAGCCGCCACATGACCAAGTCCCATCCTGTCTTCAAAGTAGATCTGCCCCGCTCTCTAGTGCCTGGCCATCATTCTACCATCGTCTCTTACTTGAACTCCAAGAACTGCCTCAAAAATTAGTCTTTCCGCTTTCATGTTTGCCCTGCAGACAGAAGCCAGAGGGGTCTGTTCAAACATCAATCACTATACTATCGTTTGTGTAATACCACTGAATGGCTTCGCACTGCAATTAGAAAACATCCTCGCCTTGGCCAAAAGGTGGACGAGTCCACCTCTTTAACCTCTTTAAGTCTCCATTTGCTTTCTCCACTCATTCCAGGCCTTCTTTCTGCATCTGGAACAGGACAGTTTCCACCTCAGGACCTATGTGTTTGCTGTTCTCTCAGCCTGAAGGGGTCTTTCCTGAGCTCTTCCTATGCCTCCTCATTGGGAAGTTCTCCTTTAAGAAGTCTGATCTGAGGCCAATATCAGAAATAGCCCCCATCCTTGCTATTTACTGTCACATCCCTCTGTTATTTCCCTCAAGTTACTTATCACTACAGCTATCATGTAGCTTTTCTTTAGTTTCCTCCATTATAAAGTGAGCTCTATGAATTTAGGGGCCTATCTCAGTCAGATTAAAATTAAATCTCAAACTTCTAGCCCTGTGCCTGCCACTTAGTGGATGCTCATTAAATAAAGATGTTTACTAAGTATTTATTAAAGAATGGATGAATGAATAAATGAATGAACAAAAAAATAAAAAGCAACTCATTATGGCTTCTTGCCAGGAAACTGCTAAACCTCAGCCTGAGTGATTGATCCAACCTTCTCTGCCAGGACTGACCAGCAGACACTGAGGGACGGATGAATGGGTTACTCTGACAGGGTTCTGTGAAAGAGAGGCTAACGGGCTGCTTGGCAGGAGGTCCCAAAACAGCCCCCAATTGCCTGCCTCAACAACTTGAATTAAAATTAACCTCTAGATATAATCAACAGGGTAAGCATCCTTGAGAAAGCACATACTTCTACAAGGTTGGGTTTAAAGACGAAACATAGAGATTCCAGAAAAATACCCTGGAGGCTCAGACTTGTTTGGAAAAGTCAAGGACCTTCAGCAAGGTCCCCCCTAGAGGCCTCTGACCTTTCAGAGAATCCTCCTTACAGACTTTCCAACCAAGTGCCGTGTTTCCCCACACTTCTCTGGTCTTTTTCATTTACAGAGCAGGTTTTTCATCACCTGCTGACCTGTCTGGCTCCTCATAGTTCATGTCATGATCACCCTCTGGAATTTCCAGAGCAGATGCACTCATTTCAGAAACATCTCAGCCTCCATGCCCACATTGTTCTGGTTTTAACAGCCCGAGTCCTGGTGGAGTTAACCTTCAGTGCTCATTCTTGATCAGGAAATGGAAGTTCGAGGAATATCTACAATTTGGAAGAGGGGAATGAAGCACAGCTGGTAAAAGAGAAACAACGTGCAGAAAGGGAAGCAGCAGAATAGTATGCCATGGGCCAGGAAGGAGAGTCTTGAAGCCAAGAGGCAATGTGGCCAAGTGAAGACTAATGAGAACGGAGAACAGACTTTCCCCACTGCAGTTTCCTAGACCTTTGACCTCTTAGCTGTTGCGCTGCCTCCAGGTCTTTCCCTACCATATTTCTGAACACTCCAGCCTCAGGAGTCTCCCTTAAGTATTACATCTACAAATCTATTAGTCTGGCATTCACTAGGACTCCTGCCTTGCAGCTATTCTGTTTCTCCAGCCTTTAGCTGAAGTCCAGAGGATTATCTCTCTGTCTCCCTCACTCATTCCAAGCTGGAAGCTGGATTGGATTGGGGAGATGCCAGAAGTAGGGCCTACATATACAGTATAAGCTACTGAAACAGTCCACTAATAATATTCAAATCAGCAAGAGAGGATAATTTTGAGATATTTTTAGTGTATTCTTGTGAATGCTATTTAGAGTTGATGCAGACAAAACAAACATTGAGGTTATCATAAAGGTTCAAGGCTACGTGGCACATTTTTTTTTTTTTTTTTTTTTTTACTAGAGATACACTAGAAAAATGTCTTTGAAAGTGCACGGCCAAGCAGAAGAAGCCTTACACAGTGTTTCCGTTGTTTAGGTAATTTGGGAATTAGCCATTACAAAAGACAACTAGTGCGGATTGCCGACAGCAATAAGTATACACTTTAAGGTGTGATTAAATGAGCGGCCACCTGACCGATAGGACCCGCGAACCCGGGAACCGCAAAGCGAGCTCTCCCCTCCCACCCGACTCCCAAACTCGCGGGACAAGAAGAACTACATTGCCCATAATGCCGGAGCTCCCGCGGGGCATCCTGGGTCGCGTAGTCCGCGTTCCATAAATCGCTCACGCTGGAAGCTGCCGGAGACACGCCTGCGCCAACATGGCGGCGCCTGCTTGGGGCGCGTCTGTTCGCTACGGGTTCTGGCCGGGGTGGGGGTCTGGGCTTTAGGCAGTAAGTGGAGCGGGCGGCCGGGCTTCTGCGGAGGGACCTGGGAGGCACAGGGGCCGTGTAGGCGGTACGGCCTGAAGAGGGAGAGGCGAGGGACTTCCGGGCCGGCCCGGGGACGCGGGGTTCTGGCGTCCGCTCCGCGGTCCTCGGCAGAAATACTGCCTCCTCGCGCCCCTGGGCCCAGGGATGACGGGAGGGCTTGAGGGCCTGGCCGAGGCCGGGAGCGGGAGCGACGGGAGTCCAGGCCACGAGCTCGAGGTCAGGCTTTCAAGTCCCATTTCTTGTGCTTTTCTTTTGAGGAAAGCGTTGAAAAGGAAAACAATCGCATTCCAGCGTTTCCTGTCCCTTGGGAACCGTGCGAGGAGCTTTGCCTTTTTCATTTCCATGCGGCCCTCCAGTCGCGCCGCACTTCAAGTGAGACCCTGAGCAAGTGGCCTGGGTCCCTGGGGCTAACGTCAGGATCGCTGGGTGCAGCCTAGGCGGCCCTTTGCTCAGTAATTTTAGTGGTCGTGAACGCCTCGCGACTCTCCAGCTTTGGGGCCATGCACTTAGCTGCTATAAAGGGTCATTAGTTCCATTTAATTCACTTCCGTGTCATAATCTGGTACAAGGAGTGTGAGAAGCAGAGATTTTAGGAAGTGATTGACTGTTGTCCCAGGCCCTCGTCAGCTCTCAGGATGTGGGCTTGCTTTGCGTTCGCCACCCCCAGCAGTAGGTCAGATGTGGCAATGGGTATTCTTTCTGTTCTCATTTGGTGATGCCAGTATGCCTTTTTAAAAACGGCTGTGGTTCGTTGTGAGCCAAACCCTGTGCACTAAGTGCCTTTCTTTAATTGTCATTTGATTGTTTAAATGACCATGTGTGATAGGCGGTATCCATTTACATATAAGGAACACAGGTTTAGTAATTTGCTCAGGGAAGACTTAAAAACAAAGACTCCCAAGTATAAGATAGGGGGTAATGGGGAGAAAGTTTGTTGTAAAAACAGGAGCATTTTATAACATGTCATCTTTTTTAAAGGTGATATTTAGTTTCACAATGTTTGGGGACCTATTTGAAGAGGATTATTCCAGTGTATCAAATAATCAGTATGGAAAAGGAAAAAAATTAAAGGCCAAACCATTGGAGCCACCTGCTCCTAGAGAATTTACCAATTTAAGCGGAATCAGAAATCAGGGTGGAACTTGTTACCTCAATTCCCTTCTTCAGACTCTTCATTTTACACCTGAATTCAGAGGTATGCTATTATTACATGCATTTGCTGAGTAGCCTGTAACCCTCATCTCCATGTAATTATGCAAGATCACAAAGAGACAAAGTACCGTAAAGATGTATTCTACAGCATGCGTTTATTGTTAATGTAACATACAAAATGGTAATGTGAAGCTTAAGTTATCTTAAGTATATTCTATGTAATATTTAGTAACAAAATTTTAAATGGCAATATTTCTTTTCTAATCCTTATAATTTAAAAGACAACATAAAAACAATTTTGTCATGAGTACTGGCCTTCATTATTGTTATACTATTGGTATTTTTGAGTTTTAAAATTTCTCCAGAGCAATAAACGCATAAGCCAGAGTTACCCAAAGCAGTTATATCATTTGGAATGGGGAGGGTGTCACATTATTTAAACAGTTTGTAATCATTTACCTGCAGTTCTGCAATTCAGAAAACTCTGACAACCTGATATGATTGATCTAAATTTGTTTGAGTGTTAGAAACAGCTGATGTGAAACCTTTTATAGTATAGTTATTTCACTTGGGTGAATATTCATTCATTTGTTATAGGAATATTAATCTTGATTAACACACTATTTGTCCCAGACCCTGCTGAGGGTGTAAAATTAACATAATGTTAACCTTTTCTTCATATTACCTTTGTAAAATCTGGAAATAGTGAATTTCAAAAACCCAAGCATGACGTTAGACAAAGGGGTTGTGTGCAAGGAACAGAAACCCATTCAAATTAACTAAGTTTCAAAGGGGATTTATTGTAGGAATGTAAGGAAATATCCCAGAAATGACCTACAGGAAGCCAGTCCAACCTTACTGGGCCCTAATTTCTTGCTTTTGTTTCTCTTTACATGTTTATCCCATTCCCATCTCTGCAAACTATTTTCCTCTACAGCAGTGGTTCTCAACCTTTCTAATGCCATGACACTTTAATACAGTTCCTCATGTTGTGGTGACCCCCGACCATAAAATTATTTTTGTTGCTACTTCATAACTGTAATTTGCTACCGTTATAAATAATAATGTAAATATCTGTGTTTTCCGATGGTCTTAGGCGACCTTGCTAGCAGTTCTCAACCTGTAAGCTTAAAGACTTCCTCCCTCCAGAGATTTACCATGTCCCCTACTCAGGGCCATTCTAGTGGATTGGACTGCGTGTGGGATTTAAGAGTGGGGCCTCTTGTTCTTGATTCCATCCCCTCCTTAAAAATATCTCCCTGACGCATTCAGTAATTCCACCATAAGAAATTTTCTGTCTGAATAAGCAGATCCCTAATGGGGGTTAGAACTTTTCCAAGTTTTAATATCGTTGAAGTTTAAGGGCAACCTAAAGTAGAAAAGAAGCCTTCAAAATATACTGAGGCAGGTGTTGGGGTGGAGCAGGGCATAATGAGTACCACTAAGCAAGAATAGGGCTGAGAGTCCCAGGGCATCTTCTCTAGCCAAGCACATAGGTTGATATCTTAGTGGGGATTGTGAACTCTTAAGGCTTAGCATGAATCCCAATGCTTATTGAAGGGGAAGTATACTTGGGAAAGAGTAAGGACTGAGGAAGAAGAGTGTTGGAGCTTCTTGGAATCGTATTTTATGGAGTTAGGCTAAATTGGGTTCTACTGTACTCCCAGTTTAGTGTAGCTGAAAGTAGTGGGAGATGATTGTAAAAGTCCTTGTAGTTCATTTTTTCCCCAGTTCATCTCAGGAATTCTGGAGAAGTATAACATTCATAAGAGTAATCACTAGGCAGCAGTGGTTGCCAGTGGAGGACAACACTCATCTCATCCCTTCTCTCCCTGGAGTATATCAAAGTTCCCAGTAGGAGTTCCTATCTAGGTTTGAATAAAGACTTCCCAAAAGATTCATATAGTCCCTCATTGGGTGGCATAGTGAGATGCTGTAGTGTTTAAAAAAGTAGAAGCCCGGTGCACAAATTCATGCACCAGTGGGGTCCCTAGGCCTGGCCTGTGTGATCGGGCCAAAACTGGCTCCCCAATATCCCTTGAGGGGTCCTGGATTGTGAGAGGGTGCAGGCCAGGCCGAGGGATCCCGCCAGTGCACGATTGGGGCTGGGAGGGACCACAGGAGGGCTCCAGGGTGTATCTGGCCCGTGTCACTCAGTCCCGATTGGCTGGATCCCAGGAGCAAGCTAACTTACCAGGCAAGGCATCTGCCCCCTAGTGGTCAGTGCACGTCATAGCAACTGGTTGACCAGTCTACTGTCTGCCCCCTGGTGGTCAATGCACATCATAGCAAATGGTTGAGCAGCTTTAGCATATCATTAGCACATTATGCTTTGATTGGTTGAACGGACAACTGGACACTTAGCATTAGGCTTTTATTATATAAGATTCTTGGGACTGGCATTGAGTTACCAACTTATTGTTTCAGTTGAGCCCACTACCATCTGTTACCACGCTCAACCTAGGAAAGATGTTTGCATACCCCTAGAAGGAAGGGTATGATCTCAGAGTTAAAGATGGTCCTTCTCAGGAAAGGATGGCTTGCTGTTGATCATATGCAAAACTATTATTTGTTATATTTCCTGATACTCCTTAGGTAGCTATAGGGACCTACTGCTGATGGCCATCACAGATTTCTGATGTTTCTGCTCTTAGTTTTATATGAATAATTTTCCTTTTCTAGATCTTTCATGCTGAAACCTTAACATGCCCTTTATAGTCAACTAGAAGCCTGGTGCACAAATTTGTGCACTAGTGGGGTCTGGCTGGCCCACCTCGATGGGGGCCCATCAGGTTGGGCTGGTGGGGTGGAGGGGCTGTGAGTGATTGGCTGGCTGGCCCCACCCCTGATCAGGATTTTGGGGGTCGGCAATGGGTATGGGCAGTTGGCCAGCTGGCCCCAACCCCGGTCAGAATGTTGGGGGCCCATCAGGGTCTGGGCTGGCCAGGGGTGGGGGGCTGATCAGGCCCAGATCAGGCTGGTTGGCTGCCACAGTGCATGTCATAGCCACTGGTTGTTTCGTCATTCTGGTCTCTGGACTTTTACCTAATAAAAGAGTAACATGCTAATTGATTGTACCTTCGCGACATCCACCAGCCAATCAGGAGTGTGTGTGCAAATTAACCCAGCAAAGATGGCAGGTTAATTTGCACACACAGGCACCAAGTGGCTGGGGGCGGGGCAGGATGCAGGTGTTCCGCAGCACCCCAGCCTCTCTGGGCCACTGAGCAGCGTGGGAAGGAGGAAAGGCGGCTCAGGCCAGAGTGAAGGCGCTGCCGACAGCCAGGGGAAGGAAGGCCCATTTTTGCACAAATCGTGCTTCAGGCCTTTGGTGTATACGTATGTATGTATGTGTGTGTGTGTGTGTGTGTGTGTGTGTGTGTGTATATGGTTAAAATGTTACTAGAATGTAAAATGTGTAGAGTAAGGGTATAAACATTGCTGCAATCATATTGCTGAATTGTTAAGTGATTTTATTTATTGGTGGCCTTGGCTTTCTAAAATGAAATAATGTCATTTATATCTGATTCTACTTTTTTGTCTAGAAGCTTTGTTTTCTCTTGGCCCAGAAGAGCTTGGCTCTTTAGAGGAAAAGGATAATCCTGATGCAAAGGTATTAAATCCATGATTTACAGGGGTTGTTATTTTAGAGTATTGAGGGAGTGTTTTTTTTAAGGAAGGAATTAATTTGTTACAGAAATCGATAATTTTATTTATTAATTACCAACTATGATTATTTTCAGAAAGTGACTTGGCTTATACCCTACTGACAATGGAACAGTTTGTCAAATGTAACGTCGCTGCTGCTACTGTGTTTATTCTTTCTTGTGGTGAAAGAAATATTTGCAAATGGCCCACACTAGCCTAACAGGAACTCTACATAATGCACTTATTTGTATTCACAACAAATAAGACCAGTATTCATTCAGTTTGGTATTCTGGAAATAAATTGAATGAGGAATTGGTTTATCATAAGTACAGATCTAATGATGTTCCTCCCCTGCTTAAACATCATTCAGAAGTTTGTCGCTTTCAGGCTAAAATCAGTACTTGTTACAAGAAGTCTTTCATGATCTAGCCCAGTGCTTCTCAGGCCACCTGTGCAGCAAAGGGCCAGTTTTTGTGTATTTTTAAAAACTTCCAATCTGTTGCAGATTATACTTTTGTGGGACATAATGAAGATTTCATCACAATGTCAAATTGCAATAAAAGTTTCTAAAGGCTGATTCTCACTTTAGATGCTCAAATTTGGTCTGCAAACTAGGCTCTGACCAGCATTTTCTGTCAGCCTGGTCCTCTCCACCCCAAATAAGACAGGAACAGGCTTGGAACCCACAGGAAGAAAGCAAGGCTGGGTGCAGCCTGTCTGTGACTGGAAAATCCCTCATGAGAGTATGTCTGTATCTGAGGCATTTTAGAGAAAGAATGAAGTATGAGAGACTTAAATTACTATCCATCTGTAATCCCTGAGGTAGTTTTTTAAGGCTTCTGGGTTTTAGTATTGACCTGAACTATGTCCAGGTAGAAAACTCCAGATAGCTAAAATACTTTGAATTGAATTTTTGAAGAAAAATGATCACCCTTTGTAATAAGATTTGTAAACTTTCTTCTGGGTGAACTGAGTGAACTAGGAGATGTAATAAAATTAGTATGCAGTTCTTTTGAAAAGCCCAAACCACATTGAAAAGACTTATTTAGAAATGCATTTGTTCTCATTCAGGTTCGAATCATACCTTTACAGTTACAGCGGTTGTTTGCTCAGCTCCTGCTCTTAGACCAGGAAGCAGCCTCCACAGCAGACCTCACTAACAGCTTTGGGTGGACGAGCAATGAGGTACGGAGATCAGCTTCTCTAAGAAACATTGCCGGCAATGAAGAATAAACACTGGGTTAATGTTCTCTAACTTCTTTAATTTTGTTTTAGGATCTCAAGATATTATTTACATATTTTCTTCTCTTGTGTTAAATAATTACAAGCCAGAAATATATTTTTGGACACTTGTTTGCAGGATTTTATGAACAGTTGTGATTTGGGTGTGGGGAGAGGGCTATGAATACAGAGAGAAGTATAGGAGCTGATTTTTACAATTTATATCTGAGAATCTTTATATGGACTAGTTGAGGTTGAACACCTATTACAAAGTGATTACCATTTATATAGCAAACTGCTTGATCAGTTTAAAAAGCCGCCTAGCAATAATTCTGTCTGCCTCTGTGACGTGCTCTTGGTTTTGAATCTGAGTGTTCTGATTTGAACATACGCTTCAGGCAAAACTATAAAATCATCCTTGGCAGGTCTTTTCACTTTCCCGGCCTTTCTCCTGACTCTCTTCATTGTCTTCCTGTGTCCTAGTGTAAGACTTTCCTTCCTTGTTCCCTTTGCGTCCCTAAGGGTATTGCACTGTGTACAAACACAAAACATTTGACAGCAAAAAGTAAAGGTGCTTGTTGTCAATAAGCTGTTAGCTGTATAAAATCAAACCAAGTCTCTGTGTGTGTTTTTTATGAAATAGATGTGGTTTTGCAAAGACACGGGTATGGGAGACTCACAGAATGTAAAGAGGCAATGGTCAGAATAATGTTATGTTGCCTTCAACAGTGAACTCTGAACTGTGGTCATCTTCTAACAGGAACACTCCTTAACTAGGCGATGCTATGAGGTCAAAGAGGTAGGGCTTGAACTTTGAAGTAAATGGGGTTTTACTAAACAGTATGTTAAATTTCTGATAAAGGATAGCTGCTTAGGGGTAATTTCTTGTCTTAAAAATAACTGCTTTATTGAGATATAATTCACACACCATACATTTACTTTTTTGGAGGGTACAATTCAGTGGTTTTTTTTTTTTTACTATGTTTACAGAGTTGTACAACCATCACTACAATTAATTTTAGAGCCTTTCCCCCACTCCATACCCATTAGTAGTCCCTCTCCCCCAATCCCTTTTTCCTCACCCCCTGGCAACCACTAATCTGCTTTCCATCTCTGTACACTGTACACTTGCCTATTTCTGCACATTTCACAGAAACGGAATCATATAGTATGTATTGGCATTCATTCCTTTTTATTGTCAGGTAATATTCTATGTCATAGATATGCCATGTGTTTGTTTTTTAAATCTAGTCATCAATTGATGGATTTCCCTTTGTTTTGTATAATGAGCTTCCACTAATTTATTAGTTTCATACTTAAAGCTGTGAAAACCTTATTTACTTCTAAATAAAATCTTTCAGGAAACCGTGTAGGACTGAACTTTCAGTGGCAGAAAGGGTCTCTGAGACACTTCTGGCAAACTTAGGATTGTTCAGAAATAGCTTGAAAACTTCTGCAAGCTTTCTGTCCCACCAGAAATTAAATTGAATGAGGAAATTTGTCTTCTAGTGTCTTGTGTGTTAAAAAAGAAAAGTGAAAAAGATCCTGAGTCCCACATCTTGCTTCAGCTTCTATCCACTTTGTCAGCTTCTCTTCACATGAACTCTAAATTTGTCTTCCTTCACTGCCTCTACTTCTGCACCTTCAATTTGTTCCTCTTGTTTCTTGTAAAAGTCACTCATGACATCTGTGTGCCAATTCCAGGAGACACCTCTCTGCTCTCAACAGGTTCTTAGTAGCACTCACCGCCCCTTTGTAAAGCACCGCCTCTGTGATTCCTGTGACCTCACTTTCCTGGTTCTCCTCTCCTGCCGCTCTGCCTGTTCATATTTTTGGTTTGTAATAAAACTGAAAATAGGTGGTGGTCTCTTAACCTGTTCTCAGCTTATTTAGATTAGTCATCCTTATGTTTGATCGAGTTTACCTTTGGATTTGATAAATCTTGTGGGTCTTTTTTTTAATATCACTTTAAAAATCTGTTTTTAAAAATGTGAAGCACAAAATCACATTTAAAGTTACCTTTTTTATAGGAAATGAGACAACATGATGTGCAGGAACTGAATCGAATTCTCTTTAGTGCTTTGGAAACTTCTTTAGTTGGGACCTCCGGCCATGACCTCATCAATCGTCTATATCATGGGACCATTGTTAACCAGATTGTTTGTAAAGAATGTAAGAATGTCAGTGAAAAGCAGGTGAATATGCAAGAGTGTTTTAGTAATAAGTTATATTGTTAAGAATGATTCATACAGTTAAATCTATGACCTGTGGTACCATGTGAGGATTAACTGTTTATTTCTAGAAATCACCTTATTGGGGTTTTTTCTTTTTCTCTAGCTCCACCTAAGTCATAAGTTTATAATCCAGATTTCTCCATGTAAACTGAAAGAAGCAAATATCATAAAACATTGTTTTGATGTTTTATTCCTTATTCTGATAGTTAGAAAATAGAGTTGGAGATGTTTGCAAGTAGAAATCTGTGGCCTCATAAGGAAAGTGACTTCATCATGGTTGTTGGTGGAATATTATCAAGTTAATTAGGGAAGTAATAAAAATAGGGTATTGACAAATATCTGCAATTAAATATTGGATTTAGTTTATTAATGGCTTTAAGAAAGTTCTTTGCACATGTATGCTTATATTTAAATGTTATCTGTTTAAAAATATGTTTATTATACATAAACATATATAAAGCCATTATAATAATGTTTAATCCAGTATAACCTATAATACTTTGTCAGGACATAGATTGTCCATTCAATATTATTGGAAATTTGCTCATGTAAATATAATAATCTCCACTTACTCTACCTATCTTCGACAGCAAATTATTTCATCTGAATAGCTATCCTTTAATGAAAATATTTTGTTATGGCAAGAGTTATAGAAAGTTTCTGTATTTGATAGTATGAGTAAAAAATTAAATGCCATTTTCTAAATGTTGCATTAATTGCTTTTTTTGGCACAGATATTTTCTTCTTTTTTTCTATTTCTTTATGAGCATTGAGGATAAAAGATACTTTTTTTATTCTTTTTTACTGTGCTAATAGGTTTGGCCAGCCTAATTTGAAAATATTAAGATGTGTGTCTTTGAATTACTGTATGATGACTTACCTATAATAATAATTCACAAACTAATTTCATACTACTTTGTATATTAAGGCACATGATAAATTACAGAAATTAACTTTTCACATACATATATTATAGACCATATCTAAATGTTACTTTTATTACTTTAGATTTCTACCATGAACTTAGTACTGTTATTTTATAGTTCCAATAATGCCTTTAATGCTATTAAAACTAAATGCTCTATAAACTTGTCAGATTTTCTAAGTTTTTATTACTAAAAACATGTTGTAATTAAAATGTAGTTACACTGAAGAAATTAAAGACTGAAGTGGAAGCTACTTCTTTAATCATGTTCCTGCTCATGCTAGCATCTGTTAGCTTCCAGTCTTCTGCAAAGTCTTGTGCAGCAAGTCCAAGGACTCTGAGTAAATCTACACCAGCAACAAAAGAGACTCATTTAGTAGCTAAAAATATTAATATGTCCATAATTCTGATTTATCATTTTTTTGTTTTGCATTGGCATTGTTATTATTTAATAGCCAGAGTTTTGCTCTTGACATTCAAGTTTTGAAAATAACATGTATGTAATTTAGTTTTTGCATTGGCATTGTTTGCAATTGTTTTTCATTTTAGAGCCCTATTATTAATGTTTAAATTTTATTTTAATTAGTAAAAAAGGGTGAGATGTAAAAAAATTTTAAAAATTTAAAAAATGTAGTTACAGTATACTTTATAGACTCCCATTTTGCAAAATATCCTCTTAATTTTCGTAAGAATAGAATACCTTTTTATCTTGGCTCAAAATTATGTTTTTCTTATAACTTCTTAAGTATGTGTTAAACCAGCCCTAGCAGAGACAGATGAGTAAACAGAATTTCCATTTGAGTATTCAGCCCTCCCCTTGTTGTTCTAGTCTAGAAACTCATTACCAATAAGCCCTGCATGTACACACTTCTCAATTCAGATGTATATTTGTCATTTGTCTTAACTTCTGACAAAATAGGTTTTATTGGAGCTACAATGAATTCGTTCCTGACATATTTTAAGCTCAGTTATAGTTTTAGAAAAGATAATTTGGCTATGAATTTCACAGTATCTGATTAGGAGGAGATCTATACCTTGATATGTACAGTATTTTAGGGAAAATAGATCTGATTATTTTCATTATGTGTATGAATTGGTGATGTACATGTGAACTGTGAAGTTGTTTTTTAATTATTATGTTTATGTGTATTTTAGGAAGACTTCTTAGATCTAACAGTAGCGGTAAAAAATGTAACAGGTCTGGAAGATGCACTCTGGAACATGTATGTAGAAGAGGAGGTTTTTGACTGTGAAAACTTATACCACTGTGGAACTTGTGACCGGCTGGTGAAAGCAGCAAAGGTAAAGACAGACACTGCCTTTTTTTAGGTTGGCCATTTAGTACTTTAGCAAGAAGATCTATCAAGTGAAGTCAGCTTGTTTGAAACAGTGTGGAAGATATACATGAAGCTGTTAATACTAAGGATTGAAACACATTTACATTTATATCTGTATTTTAATTTTTATAGTAAAGGCTTTTTTTAAGCTTTCAACTCAATAGTTTCCTCAACTTCTTTCCTTCTCAGGAAAAATTTTATTTGTACCTCAGTGGTTCTAATACACCTTTGGTGATAAATGCCTCACCATCATGGCTTTTTGCAAATTATCATTACAGAGAAGGCAATATGTTTTTATTTCTGCCAACCAAGATGCTTGTTAAGCTTTCCTTTCTTTGTCTACTACTATGGAAATAGATGGCTTTCTTCACTTTCTGCATAGGCAGGTATTTTATAGTTTCAATATATATACATACCTCCTTCCCGACTCCAGCAGATCTAATATGCCCTAATTAAAGGGCTTGACAATACTTCTGGGTTTCTTTTTGTACAGCAAAGCAAAATACAGGGTGAAAGGAGGGCAGGATATAAGCAATGATTTTTTTCCTGCAATGTGGCACCAACTCTGCTGCTGCCGCCATTGTTATCCACAGTGGTCACTATTCCACTGCTGGTGGGTGGTGTCATAGGCTCTTTCTAGCATGACGAACTGCAGCCCGAGTCACTCAGTGGTTATTGAGCTCCCAGTGAAGGAACAACCACAAAAGACATATCTTTGCAGTTACTCTGTTATGACAACGAGATAACATTCTTCCCATAGCTGACAATGACTGGCTGTTCTAACAAAGAAAATGAGGAATGATTTAGATAATACACAATTTTGATTTGGATCCTGGTCATTGTAGGTAAAAATGTGATAAAAACAATAAACTCAACACCCGTAGCTTTCTCAGTAGGATTTGAACCAGGATAAATATTATACTGTTTGGTTCATGCTTTTATCCAGCCTTTATCCCTTTAGGAAACCTAAATAGAGAGGTTTATTGTTTTCTTATTTAGTTTGTATCTCATCTTTGGCGTTATGATTAAATCTAATTAAATAAATATAAAATTTAGGGGATAAGAAGTTTTGAAAAATACATAAATACATTTTTAGTTTTAGTTGGGCTTAATAGGCACATTAGTAAAATAAAAACTTTTTGCTAAATAAAAGCCGTTCTTTATGCATCTTGTATATCATTGGTTTAATTATTTTCCAGTGGAAATATTTTGATCTTGATATTTTAAAAAAATATATGTTTTTATTGATTTCAGGGAGGAAGGGAAAGGGAAAGAAGGATAGAAACACCATTGTGAGAGAGAATCATTGGTCGACTGCCTCCTGTACGCCCCCTACTGGGGATGCAGCCCGCAACCCGGGCATGCCCTGACCGGGAATTGAACCATGACTTCCTGGTTCATGGATTGCCATTCAACCACTGAGCCACCTCAGTTGAGCTTATCTTGATACTTTTAAAACTACATTCTGTTGTAGTTGCATTAAATTTATTGCATTCTAAATTTAGGTTCAGTTGTACTACCTAAATTAATGCAGATTTTCGTATTTTGAGCAGTCTTTCTTTTCTCAGCCACATTGTAGTTGAGTTAGTTTTTTAGACTTAATTGAAAATCTACCAGGTGATTAAATTGCTGTTTTATCATTTAACTGTTTTTTGTTATTTACTTGATTTTTAGGATTGTTTTACTTATATTTTTAGGAATGTTAAATATTTATGATTTTGGATAATTTTACATATGAGGAAGGATGTTTTGCCCCTCCCATAAGCCATTAGTGCAAGGAGGTTGGGAAAAGCTGATGACTTTTTAAAAAAATTGATTTTAGGGAGAGAGAGAGAAAGATCAGTTTGTTGTTCCACATATTTATGCATTCATTGGTTGCCTCTTGTATGTGCCCTGATCAGAGACCAAACCCACAACCATGGCATATCAGGATGACACTCTAACCAAATGAGCTACCTGGCCAAGGCTAAAAGCTGATGACTTAAAAAAACAAAGCAAAGCAAAACAAACAAAAATGCTTAATTATGTTTTATTTTAAAACAAGAAATTTTTCAAAAACTTACCTGCTTGTAAGAACTGTAACTATAAAACCCCAATCAGATCTTAACATTGGGGAGTTAGAGCACTTTTGAAAGTCTAATGAAAGCTGTGGATCTCTTCATAAATACATAAACATGTACAATTTTGATATTTCAAGGGTCCAGATCCATTGAAAGAGGTCCAAGGATCCCAGATTAAGATCTCCAGTTGTTTAGTAAATAAAAAGAAGAAGATGATAGGCTAGGACTTTGGCAGGAAAGAAACATTGTTAGGGAGGGGAGCATCCAGTTATAACATGCTCATCAGATAGCTTTGATTTTAGGGTAGAAACACTAAAATTGGGTTGTAAATTTTAGTTGTAAGCATAAATGAGTGATATCACTTTTAGTCCTATAAAATAGATGAGTTTATATCAAGGTCTATATTCAGTTCATCATGATGAGTTTGTGATTTAAGGACATATTCCTCTTAAAATTATGTCATAATTTGCTTTGTTTAAGAAACATGTATTCTTTTATGCAACTGCTTTTTAAAAACTTAAAACTTTTTCTCTTAACAGTCGGCCAAATTACGTAAGCTGCCTCCCTTTCTTACTGTTTCATTATTAAGATTTAATTTTGATTTTGTGAAGTGTGAACGATACAAGGAAACTAGCTGTTACACATTCCCTCTTCGGATCAATCTCAAGCCTTTTTGTGAACAGGTTTGAACTCTTTTATTTTTAAATTCTTTTTTCTTCCTCTCAATATTGAATTCTTAACTGACCTGATTTTCAGTTGGCTTATTGCAGAATCTCAGCCATGGCACTGTGCTGTCCCTTGCATTGTAGGTTGTGAGGTGACATTTCTGGTAGATGATAGCAGCAACCTCCCCCTCCTCTCCAGTGGTGACAGAAATGTATTCAAACCTTGTCAAATGCCCATGTCTCCTGCAGGAAGGGGAATTGGTAAAATCACTCCAGCTAAGAACTCCTGGTTTATTACAGTTTTTTTGAATTTCCAAAGTGGATTTGTTCTCAGTTATTTTTATTAAACTCTCTTGAAAAAGCTTTGAAATGAAATTTAAGAGCAAAATTAGAAGTGACCTCACATTAAAAGAAGTTACCTGTAATTGGCACTTTGCTATTTGGATTTAGTTTACTTTAAATGCAGCAATGAATTACACATTTAGAAAGTGAACAGGTAACTGGAACTTACTAGCCTGGGATTTGTAGTACTTAAGACTTGGGCAAGAAAAAGTTTGAAAACAAATTAATTGCATAATTAACCTACTTTATAAGCCATTTAAAAATATCCTTTATAATAAAGAGGTAATATGAAAATTGACCATCACTCTAGCACACAAGATGGCCACCACAAGATGGCCGACAAGGGAGGGTAGTTGTGAGCAATCAGGCTAGTAGGGTAGGGAAGTTGGGAGGGACCAGGTCTGAAAGGGAGGGCTGTTGGGGGCAATCAGACCTGCAGGGGAGGGCAGTTAGGGGTGACTGGGCCAGTAGAGGACGGCACTTGGGGGCGACCAGGCCTGTAGGGGAGGACAGTTAGGGGCGACCAGACTGGCAGGAGAGGGCAATTAGGGGCAATTGGGCCAGCAAGGGAGCAGTTAGATGTCAATCAGTCTGGCAGGCAAAAGCGGTTAGGGGCAATCAGGCAGGCAGGCAGGCAGGCAGGCAGGCGAGCGATTGGGAGCCAGCAGTCTTGGATTGAGAGGGATGTCCAACTGCCCGTGGGATTGGGACTAAATGGGCAGTTGGATATCCCTTAAGGGGTCCCAGATTGGAGAGCATGCAGGCTGGGCTGAGGGACACACCACTCGCCCTCTTCCACCCGCGATCACTCTGTGCATGAATTTCTATATAATTGCTACACATGTCAAGATCACAATGACAGGACTAATGTATTTCTTATTATAAATCATTCTTTATATGTTTATTAAGACCAGAACATTTATTAGCTTGCTATTGAATTTCTAATGAAAGTAATTTTTTAAAATATTCTTTCAATTTAGATAGGTCTTCCTCTACTTCAAATCTAATTACTGAGCTTTTGGTTGTTTTATTATATGAACCAGAGGCTTGATGTATGAAGATTCGTACAAGAATAGGCCTTTCTTCCCCTGGCTGCCAGCACTGCCTTTGCTCTGGCCAGAGCCACCTTCCACCTCTAGCCTTGTCACATCAAATTGCATATTCCCTTCTTATTGGCTGCAGGTGCCGCCATCTTTTGTGGTAGAGTTATGGTCAATTTGCATATTCTGTCTTTATTAGATAGGATTACCATTCAAAGGTTGTAATTTGTGTTGGCCCTGAGTTTGTAATTGTACACATAGAATAAACAGTTTTTCCAGAGTGTCAGTGTACTTGTTCCTCCATTTATTCCTGAAACACACACACAGTTTTTCAGGATAATTGAGCTATCTTTTCCAGTTTTATTGAGAAATAATTGGCATATATCAGTTTATAAGTTTAAGGTATACAGAATGATAGCTTGATTTACATATATGTGAAATGATTGCCACCATTGGGTATGTGCCACAATAGGTTTCGTTAACATCCATCATCTCATATAGAAAAATTTTTGTCCTTTTATAATCAGCAGTTTGTCAAATGATTTTAACATGCTTTGAAATAACAAAACTGAAATAAGGAAAACATTGAGCATTTATCCAAGAAATTTGCTTTTATATTTCTTTTTGATATCTGTATTAATGAAAAAAATTACCACTTCTCATCTTTGTTTATATTTCGTCTTTTGCTTGAACCAGACATTTAAAAAAAGAATGCTGCTTACTTTAATAGTATAACTTTTAAAGAAAATACATTTTCTCAAATAATTGGGATCTCTTCAAATAGCACCCATATGCAAAATATTTCTTAACCTAAAGTAGATTTTTCTTCAAATGCCAGTGTAGGTGTTCATCTGTTGGATCACTCATATTATAGAGCACATTAATTACAGAAAAGTTTGATCATACTATCTAATAAAAGAGTAATATGCAAATTGGTCATACTTATGCTACACCCACCAGCCATGCCCACTAGCCAATCAGGAGCAAATATGCAAATAAATCCAACCAAGATGGCTGTGGCCACAGAGATCAGGAAGGAGGCTTGGGCAATGGAGGAAGCCAAGCTTTTTGCCTGCCCTTGCCAGTCTAGGCCTCCACTCAATGCTGCAAAGTTTCAGTTATAAAAGGTAAATAAATTCAACAGAAATGGTGGCAGCCACGGAGCTGGAAGAGCATAAGGCTAGGGTTGCCCCCAGCAATGGAGGAAGCCAAACTTCTGCAGCTCTGGTTGGCCTAGGCCTCCACTCCAGGCTACAAAGTTTCAATTGTAGAAGATAAATTCCAGATACCAGGACCTCCGCTCGGATCACCAGGGGGTGTGGCCAGCCTGCAAAGCACCACAGGCCCTTTGCCCAGGCTGCCCCACGCCCCAAAAGAACCCCCACCCTGATCTAGGATACCCTTCAGGGAAAACCAGCTGGCTCACACCCATGCACCAGACCTTTATCCTATCTAATAAAAGAATAATATTCAGATTGACCATCACTCCAACACACAAAATGGTTGCCCCCATGTGGTTAAAGATCCTGTCCCCATGTGGACAGAAGATGGCCACCATAAGATGGCCAGCAGGGGAGAACAGTTGGGAGGGACTAGGCCTGGAAGGTAGGGCAGTTGGGGGCAATCAAGCCGCAGGGGAGGGCAGTTAGGGGTGATCAGGCTGGCAGAGGAGAACAGTTGGGAGTGACTGGGCCTGCAGGGAAGGGCAGTTGGGGGTGACCCAGGCCTGCAGGGGAGAGCAGTTAGGGGTGACCAGGCCTGCAGGGGAGGGCAGTTAGAGGTAACCAGGCTGGCAGGGGAGCAGTTAGGCATCAATCAGGCTGGCAGCAGAGTGGTTAGGGGGTGATCAGGCTGGCAAACAGAAGCAGTTAGGGGCAATCAGGAAGGCAAGCAGTTGGGAGCCAGCAGTCCTAGATTGTGAGAAGAATGTCTGACTGCCTGTTTAGGCCTAATCCCGGGGGCAGTTGGATATCCCTCAGGGGGTCCCAGATTGGAGAGGGTGCAGGCTGGGCTGAGGGACCACCTCCCCCCTCCCCCCTCCAACACACACACACACACACACACACACACACACACACACACACCGTGCACAAATTTCATGCACTGGGCCTCTAGTAGAATTAATTAACAAAAAACTTTCATTCCATTAAACTGCCTCTAAATAAAACCAGCTTGTATTCATAATTGCTAAATTCCTCTTATATGCAGAGGACCAACATGTCAGGAGTGGTGACAGATATGGCTTTGACTTTCAGGCACATGACAAATCTAGTTGGAGCACAGGAAAAATTTACCAGCTAAAGACCACATTTAAAGTAGCAAAATAGGTATCATACAAAGATGGGCTTGCCAAGACTTACAAATGCACTGATAGGCAAGTGTGTTTTGTTATCACATTGGCTTACATGATTGATCTTAGCCAAACTACATAAAAGTAGCATCTTGTTTGGGTATGTGTTTTCATGTTTAAGCAAGACACAGAATTAATTTAAGAATTAAGCATTTTAAAATTTAAAGTCAGTTAAGTTTATCTTAATTTACCCTTAAATAACAATAATAAACAGTGAAATTTTTATTTTAGTAAAAGTTATTTTGCCCTTTGGTTATGTACCTTCCCACTTTGTGTAAACTATATCCATGTGTATGTTCTTTTGTAGAGTGAACTGGATGACTTGGAATACATGTATGACCTCTTCTCAGTTATTATACACAAAGGTGGTTGCTATGGAGGGCACTATCATGTGTATATTAAAGATGTCGATCATTTGGGAAACTGGCAATTTCAGGTTAGCATGGACATTAATTTAGAAGTATCTTTGAATTACTTTTCCTTTTCTAGTCCTATTATTTTGCCATTTATTATATATTCACTCTGTAGAATACTTTTATAGACACCGAAAGTGAATATAGATAGTTTAAAATTTTTATTTCTAAACAATTTCATACTTATAGAAACACAGTCAGCAGAGTACAAGTCACCTAGATTCTCCAATTAACATTTTGCCACATTTGTGCAAGCATACACTTTGTACACACACATGCACATGTGTGCACACATACAAACAGTTAACATTGTGATTGTTAGTGCTGAACCGTTTGAAGTTTATGTTTATCCTTAAATATGTCAGTGCTTATCTCATGAAAATGAAGACATTCCCTTACATAAGCAGAGATCAAAATCAGCAACTTCAGCACTGATATCTTTTTAGCTGACATTTAATTTATATTCAGATTTCACCATTTGTCTGATCCAAATTCTTCATAGCATTTTCTTTCCCACTCAAATATTAAGTCCAGCATCATGAAATGCATTTAGTTAGCATATCACTTAAGTCCTTTAATCAGTAGTCCCTTAGCTTTTCTTCTGTCATTGATGGCAACAACCAGAGATGATGATTTTCCTTCTATGCTGTCTTCTAAATATTTGTGGGCGTTAGTGGGATTTGGGTTTTTTGGATTTTTATTTTTTTACTTATTTTTAAAAACTTCTATTTTACTTTTTTTTTAAAGTTTATTGGGCTGACATTGGTTAATAAAATTATACAGGCTTCATATGTACAGTTCTATAATACATCATCTCTTATATTGTATTGTATGTTCATCACCCCAGTTAAAAGTTTGTTTTTCATTTACATTAAAATTTCATTCTTCCTGGATGAAATGTGAGATTTTTTTTTTTCATTTGGGTACCATTTATTCAATAATCAATTTTTTACCTACCAATCTAGAATGCCAGTCCTGTTATATCAATTGTTTATGTATGTGTGGATCAATTTGGGGCATTCTTTTCTGCTCCAGATTTTTTTTCCACTCCTAGGCAAACACCACATTGTTGATTTCTGTAGCTTTAAAAGAAGTCATGCCATGTGTAGGGCAAGGTCTCCCTCTGTGTTGTTATTCTTCAGGAGCATTGTCCCTGTCCCTGTTCTTTATGTGTCTGTGAGCATTTCTAGAATCAGCTTGTCAGTGTTCTCTCCCATGCTTAGTGGGGTTTTTAATCTACATATGAAAACGATATATGTTTTCATTTTTTAGTGTTTCTTTAACATTTTATGGAAAAGTTTTGAATAGTCTCATGAAAAGAATTTTCAGATGTTCTGAGGAAAAGCCTGAACCGGGATTCTAATTCTAGTTATTTCCAGTGGGCAAAATTATGATGCATTACCCATCAACCTCAAACTCTCCACCAGTTTTTAAATGTAACTAAAACATAATAAAATGTCAAAATGTAAGATAGAAATCATTATGTTTAGATGTAGAATACTTAAAACATATCTTCTTGATTACCAAGCAATTAATTATGTTATTAATGAATAGTTGCTCCAAATGTAGTAATATGGCTTATGTTGGTACTGAGTGAGAAAATGTTGTAACTCACTGTATTGTGCTAGAACCTTCACTTATCTTACAATTCTAATTTATAGACGAGGTCAGAGAGATAAAAATAACTTGTCCAGGATTATTCAAACAAAGCTGGAATTCAAAGCCATATACAAATTAGAGTTTTTATTATCATTTCTCCATCTTGAAACCTCCATAGCATAAACATTCCTATTTTGTTAGTTACCTTTTAAGAGATTGGTGATAAAAAAAAAATTTTTTTATATTTAAAAAATTATTTTTCCAGTTTCAGTTTATATTCAATATTACTTTTTATTAGTCCCAGATGTACAGCATAGTAGTTAGACAATCATATACTTTACAAAGTGGTACCCCCCATGATAGAAACTTTTTTATTATTTTCTTTTCTAGGAGGAAAAAAGTAAACCAGATATGAATTTGAAAGATCTTCAGAATGAAGAAGAGATTGATGATCCACTGATGATTCTAAAAGCAATCTTATCACAGGTAGAGAATGTGCTTATATTTGTGTGTGTGTGTGTGTATACTAGGTGTACTGGTTAATAATGGCAGATTTTGTAATCAAAGAAAACACAATAATTTCAAGAGAAACATCAAAAGTTCTTTATTCAAAGTAATGTCCATCGTTAGCTACACATTTCCCCCATCTTTAGGTAATTTGTGGTTACCGTCCCAATAGAACTTTTCTTATTTTGAGGCAAACCATTCAGAGACCAAATTTTCCACTTCTTTCTATGTTTTGAAGTGCTGCTCAGAAAGTGCATGTACCATCGATCTGAACAGTTGGTAATCTGAAGGGGCAAGGTCTGGAGAATATTACGGGTGGGTTAATACTTCCCAGGCAAGATCTTTTAACGCAGTGCTTCTCAATCTTCCTAATGCGATTCCTCATGTTGTGGTAACCCCCAACCATAAAATTATTTTCGTTGCTACTTCATAATTGTAATTTTGCTACTGTTAATGAATCATAATGTAAATATCTGTGTTTTCCGATGGTCTGCTGCTGATCCTTTCCGAAGTGATTTGGCCTTGCAGTCAATGTTGATGTTGACCTGGATCAACTGATGATTTTGTGCATTTTGGATTCTCAAAATAGATCCACTTTTTATCGTCAGTTACAATTCAATGCTAAAAAGACTTTCATGCTGTAGAAGCAAGATTTTACTGATGACTTTTCGGTTTTCCATTTGTCTTTCATTCAGTTTTCCTTCCTTTAAAATCTTTCCCGTTGCTTGTAAATGATTGGAAATTATTTGCTGAGCAATGTTTAACCTTATTGCAAGTTGCTTTTGAGTTTGACACACATAATGCTTGTAATTGTTGGTCTTCAAACTTTTTCGGTTGACCTGAACATTCTTTGTCTTTCACATCTGAATCATTACTTTTAAAGCATTTAAACCAGCGTTCACAAGTATCTTGAGATGGAGCATGTTCACCATAAGCTTCCCAAAGTATACAATAACTTTTTCTTCAAAACAAAGTAATGAATTAAAACCTCCCACAAATGCTTTTTATTGGCATGAAATTCAACATTTTTAAGCATAAAAATATCTATGATGTTAATACCTTCAGCAAATTTGACATATGAAGTTTTGAAGCTTGCTGTCAATACAACAAAATAGCATAAATATCAAATCACATATATATCAACGTGTAACTCCATCTGTTGAAAAAAACCCACATTATTAACTGGTACACCTAGTATATCAAATATATGTGAATGAAATTGATTTGGTGGATCTGATACTATCTTTTTCCTTTGTACATTATGTCTCTTTTTAATCTTTTATTTTTATTGGAAACTTTCTGGTTCTAAAAGAAATACATATTCATAGTAGAAAACTTGAGAGAGAAAAAGACCTAGAAAATATATTTTAAAAAAATAAAAAATGTAAACCAAATGCTCATTGTTAACATTTTGACTATATTTTTTGCATTCTGCTTTCTTTGTGTTTACACACTTATATTGGGACTAGAGGCCCAGTGCACAAAAATGTGTGCACTCCAGGAGGTCCCTCAGCCCGGCCTGCGCCCTCTGGCAGTCTGGGACCCCTCGGGATGTGCACTTGCCATTTTAGGCCTGCTCCCCGGGGGACTGGACCTAAGCTGGCAGTCAGACATCCCTCTGGCAGCTCTGGAGCCCTTGGGGGATGTCTGGCTGCGGCTCCATGGGGGAAGTGGGCCTAAGCCACAGTGGGACATCCTTACCGCTGCTGAGGAGGTAGGAGAGGCTCCCACTACCACTGCTGCACTTGCAGTCAGCAGCCTGGCTTGTGGCTGAGCAGAGCTCTCCCTGTGGGAGCTCACTGACCACCAGGGGGCAGCTCCTATGCTGAGCGTTTGCCCCCTGGTGGTCACTGCACATCATAGTGACTGGTTATTCCCTCATTAAGGTCAATTTGCATTACCCTTTTATTATATAGGATTGAGTTATAGGTTTCTTTGGTATTACTATTGTCATTTTAAATAGAATTGGGATTCACTTTACATACTGTTTTAGAATTTACTGTTTCCTATATTGTCCTTTAATATTTGTAGGACCTGAAGTTAAGTCTTCTTTTTCATTTCTAATATTGGTAATATCTAATAAAGATGACCTTTAATGTTTGCTTAGCACCCTGTTGTAATAAATGGTAGGTCTCCTTTCATTCATTCATCTGTAAACAGTTTTTTATAATTGTTTACTGGGGATTTAGGCTCAGCCCTTTAACTATTGTATATTGGTCCATGGTCACCATATTAGTCTACTAGGGTTATAACAAAATACCACAGACTGGATGGCTTAAATCAATAGAAATTTATTTTCTCACAGTTCTGGAAGCTGCGAGTCCAAGATCAATTAAGGTTTGCTTTCTTTTGCAGCCTCTCTGTCTTCTAGATTATGCCTCTTCTTTGTGTCCTATAGGCCTTTCCTGTGCATGCGCATCCCTGGTGTCTCTGTGTGTGTCCAGATTTCTATGTAGAGACACCAGTCATATCGCAGTAGGACCCACCCTAAAGGTCTTGTTTTAACTTCTTTAAAGGTCATATCCAAAAATAGCCACAGTTGAAATTTTGAGGGTTAGGGATTCAACAAGGAATTTTTGTATAGGTGCAGGTCACATTTCATCCTGTAATGATCACTTCTTACCATTGGAGGGTAATTGGAACAGATTTTCTTAAATGACTTTGTGTTTCTTTCATAAGGAGGAGAGTAATCTGATTCTTGTTGATCTGCTGGGCCAGAAACTTTTGAAAAAGATAGGAATATCTTGGAACAAGAAATACAGAAAACAGTATGGACCACTGCGAAAGGTAATACATGACATTCTTATAGAAAGTCCTTTTCTCATGAGATCTTATTATGATTCCAACAATGAGAATTCTTTGAAAAAAATTTAAATTAGGTGAAAATAAAATCAGTATTTTTGTTTAATGGTTAGAATTCCATTAAGTTAACTTATTACTAAGTTAAATAATGTATCATAGAATCAAGAAGTAAGTAAAAGAAAAGTGGAGGGGCTTTTAATCAAAACAGCCAAATAATGTTACAAAGTTCATACCCTAACAGTTATCATTTTACTTATAGAAATGTCTTCAGGTATTCACCCAAACTTCGCTTTCTTTTACACACACTTCAAATAAACTTGGTGATCAGGTTTCCTAGGCTGTACAGTCAGATGTAGAAACTGGTACTGGTACTGCCAGAAATTAGATAACTCAACTGAAAGCAAGCCAAACACACAGTAAATATTTGGGAGCTATTTCTTACATATGCAAAGAGCTTACTTCAATAAGTGTTTAAGTGCATCCTTTAATGAGATCACAGTTGATAAATGAATGTTTAATGACCCTGAGTTCATAGAAGGTTTGAAGGTTTTCATTTAAAATGGTTGAATCAATGTTTCAGTATGTCATTTTTAAGTATATTAGCTATGCAGATTTAAATATATATATATAAACTAGAAGCCCAATGCATGAAGATTCGTGCGAGAATGGGCCTTCCTTTCCCTGGCCTTTTCGCCTTTCTGCCTTCCCACGCTGCCCAGAGGCCCGGAGCACTGCTGCTCATCTATTCTGTTTCTTTGATTTCTGCTCTTTAATTATTTCCTCCCAACTCTGGGATTTAACTTGATCATCTTTTTTCTAGTTTCTTGAGTTGTTATCTCAGTTGTTTTTAATCTTTTAATATACTTTTAATATATGCTTGTGTGTGTGTGTGTGTGTGTGTGTGTGTGTTTGTGAAGAAATGTTTATTGACTTAATATAATACATTATATAGAATGTTCAAAATACAATGTAATATAAATATCACTACTGCAGTTATCACAGTAATTCTTATTTTCATTAAAGTTTGTTGGTAAATTTTTGTGAAATCTATATTCTTGATCAGTGCTTAGGAAGAGTAGGTGATACTAAGTGGGGGTGGATGGAGATAATGCTGTGAGAACCTAGTAAGGTGGTCTAGATATCTGACACTTAATTAGTTATTTTCCTTACATAACACAATATATTATACTCTGTTTAGATACTGAGAAAGCTAAATGAATGTACAGACTCCCTAGTCATCCATCAAACGCAGTAAGCTAAAGCCCATCTTCATTTCTGGGTTTTATTCATAAAGTAAATTGAGGTCTTTGGTGTCAGGGAATTCGCCTTCCTTAAGGAACAAAGCGTTAAGTTCTTAGAGAAAGTAGGCTCCGCTTGCAGTCCCATCAGAGTTTAGAACAATGGGTTTTTGTGGTTCAACACATGCTTTTAAAGCTATAAATTTCCTTCTAATCACTAATTTAACTGTAGCTAAATTTGATGTTTCCATTATAATTTAGTTAACAATATTTTGTAATTTCCTTTTGATTCTTTCCTTGTCTCATGAGTATTATTTTCCAAATATTTGGGGGATGTCTGAATTATCTTTTTGTTATATCTAGAAATTTATTTCTAATTAATTCCCGTGTGATTTAAGAACATGCAATGATTTTAGTTCTTTTAAATTTATTGAGACTGCGTGAACTCTCCTCTACCATGCACTGATACAAGCCAAAAAGTGGTTTATTAATGTAAAACTCATCTAGTTTTGGTCTTATTATTTGAAGGATTATGTTCCTTCCACTTTGTGCCTGCTTTTGGTTACTCTGCAAATAGTTTTCATTATTTTATCTAGAGTTTGTCATTTTTATTAGGAGGGTTAGTTCAGTAAAAGTTCTTTACCGCTACCAGGAGCCAACTGCACTGAAGTTTGAATTTAAAAGAGTTAATCTCAACTATCAAGCAAAGAAAAAAATTAACTCTTCAGAAAGTTCATTAGTCAGATATTTCAAATGTTTGATATTTTATTGTACCTAAAACAAATGAGCTACAAACCTATTTTATCAACTGTTACCCAGTGTTAACAGTATTTTGTGCCATATACCCTATGCCCTTCTATCTATACTAATAAAAGCCTAGGTGGTCCTCACGCCCTCACGTCATCACAGGATGGCCATCACAAGATGGCCACCACAAGATTGCCAGCAGGGGAGGGCAGTTGGGGGTGGTCAGTCTAGTAGGGAGGGCAGCTGGGGGTGACCCAGCTGGCAGAGGAGAGCAGTTGGGGGCAATCAGGCCGGCAGGGTAGAGCAGTTTGGGGCAATCAGGCTCACAGGGGAGCAGTTAGATGTCAATCAGGCCAGCAGGGTAGTGGTTAGGAGGTGACAAGGGTGGCAGACAGAGCGGTTAGGAGCCACCAGTCCTGGATTGTGAGAGGAATGTCCAAGGGGTCCCAGATTGGAGAGGGTGAGGCTGGGCTGAGGGACCCTCCCCCCCTCCCATGCACAAATTTCATTCACCAGGCCTCTAGTTTGTAATAAAATAATATTTCAGATTTGAGAGTTGGCATTATCAGTGAATGTTATGTACCTGCCAAGCAATTTCCTATATAAGGTAACTTTGTGCTGAGAGAAAAGGAGATGCAAAGCTGAATAGGGATTAGGGAATTAGAGAAGAGAGAGCGGTGGGATAGGCAGTGGAGAGAGAACAGTGTTCTTCCTAATCCTTTAGCTAAAAGAACCTGAGAAATGTTCTTTGGGATTATGGCAAGCCTGTTTATGCTTTGATTTCCTGAGCTAGTCTTGCGTGTCAGCTTCCAGGACAGAAAACATTCAATTTAGTTAATGTTAAGCAATAATTTAGGCTTATAATTTCCGCCTTATTCCAGCAGAGTTAGTCTGAGTCACTAATCTTGAAATTATCTTCTCTGAGGCTTTACCATGTGATTGCCTTTGTTTTTTGCTTTGTTTCTGTTGCTCTAAATACTTCAAAACTGCTTGTTCTTCCTAATATGTTTCTATAAAGTACTTTTCAAAACAGCATTATTGAGGTATAATGAAAATATTTTTAGATTGTAGCATGACAACTTTCTTGATACAACTATTAGACTAATAGAACTTTGATTTTTATTAAATGTTTTATTATGGCTGTTTTTTCCCTCATAGCTTGTCAGGCCAAAAATAAAAGGGAAGTTAAAATATCTAATATCAGAAAGGAAGATGAAGGTTTTTTTTAAAATCACTTTTTAAAAAATATATATATTTTTATTGATTTTATACAGAGAGGAAGGGAGAGAGATAGTTAGAAACATCGATGAGAGAGTCATCGATCAGCTGCCTCTTGCACACCCCCTACTGGGGATATGCCCGCAACCAAGGTACATGCCCTTGATCGGAATCGAACCCGGGACCTTTCAGTCCCCAAGCCGACGCTCTATCCATTGAGCCAAACCGGTTTCGGCTAAAAATCACTTTTAATCTTAAAAAAAAATTTTGTTAATCTAGTATTTTTGTTTGTTTCTGTTTAGTTCTTACAGCTTCATTCTCAGATCTTCCTACTAAGTTCAGATGAAAGTACAGTTAGTCTATTGAAGAACTCTTCTCTGCAGCCTGAGTCTGATTTCGAAAGGAAGGATCAACAAATTTTCAAGACACTTACTTCAGAATCCCCAGGATTAAATGATAGGACCTCCTGTTCCCACTGGTTTGATATAAATGATTCCAAGGTCCAACCCATTGAGGAAAAGGATATTGAACAGCAATTTCAGGGCAAAGAGAGCGCCTATATGTTGTTTTACCGGAAATCCCAGTTGCAGAGACCACCTGAAGGTATGGAAAGAAAAATTTTCCTAATTGTTTAAGTTGATGAGTTTAAAAAAAAATATTAAATGCTATTTGTATTATTACCCTTTTAAAAGGAGGTTTACTCTTGAAACACTTAAAAATGTTTTTAAGCTAATATTAAGAAATATATGTTGCTGAAAGAAATCCAACAATCTTTCACTTTTTAAGATCCTATATTTCTAACTATTTTTTTCTCTAATATGAGACCATAATCAGATTTTCAGAATTGGGTTTTCTTGAATCACATACTGTCAGCAGATCTGTGTTGTTGCCCTGTCTTCTGTCATCTGGCCACGTGTTGCCTTTTAGTTACCCTCAAGGTAATGTGTTTTCTGAGCATTTAAAGTATCTTTGATGTACTCTTTGTTGAACCTTCTAAGAGAGCTTGTATCAAGAGGTTAAACATTGAGACATTTTTTAAATTTAAGCCACTAACATAAATCAATATCTAAGACTTGATCACTTCCTAAGGTCTATTCAAAAGTAAAACATCCTAATCAGGAATCTCTTTAGATTAAAGATGTGATTAGAGATGAAGATACTGTTGTTAGAAAATGAGAAAGGTGATCATTTTTTAAAATAAAGAAGAAGAGCATAGCATTAATAATTTGCATGTCAGTAAAAATTAACTTTCTGAATCTGAAACAGTTACATAACTATTCTGTTGACCAGAAAGGGCTTTGTACTTTCCTAAGGGGAAAAAAGATAATGATAATGGTTCTGATAAATATATTGTGGAGCAGAAGTCACAGTTATAACATATATTAATAGAAAAATATTATCTTTAGATGGAGTATTGTCTTTTTCACTAAAATGAAGTTTAGTATGTACATTAGGGGTGTCGAACTCAATCAGAGAAGGGGCCAAAATCTAAAATCCAGCCTAAATCGCGGGCCGAATGGTTTACTGAACAGTCATAAACTGTCATTGTGATGGAAACGCAGCGGAGTGCAGTGATGGCAGCGCGGTGCGGGCCACATTGCAAGGCCTGGCGGGACGGATTTGGCCCGAGGGCCTTGTGTTTGACACATGTGATGTACATAATTGAAATATGTACTAAATGAGTTTTTTACTTAGCTTGGGAATTGAATAAAGGTCCTGCCAAAATTTTGATGGACTTTTTTTTTGAGAATGAAGGAATGGAACTTGGCAAAGTGATTCTAAAGTTTACATAGATAGCCCTAACTGGTTTGGCTCAGTGGGTAGAGCGTCAGCCTGCAGATTCAAGGGTCCCAGGTTCGATTCTGGTCAAGGGCATGTACCTTGGTTGTGGGCACATACCCAGTAGGGAGTGTGCAGGAGGCAGCTGATCGATGTTTCTAACTCTCTATCCCTCTCCCTTCCTCTCTGTAAAAAATCAATAAAATATATTAAAAAATATTTACATAGATAAATCTATGAAAATTGAAGAAGGGACTACTGAAGGAAAATTTGCTCTAAGTAAAAACGTACTTATAAAGCTGTGATTATTTAATCATTTGAATGAAATTATAGTTCTTTCAATCTTTATGCAAAAAAGTAACTTAAGATGTATAAATAGCCCTAGTTGGCTTGGCTCTGTGGATAGAGCATCGACCAGTGGCTTGAAAGGTTCCAGGTTCGATTCCCGGTCAAGAGCACATGCCTGGGTTGTGGGCTTGATCCCAGTGTGGGGCATGCAGAAGGCAGCCAATTAATGATCCTCTCTCATCATTGGTGTTTCTGTCTCTCTCTTCCTCTCCCTTCCTCTCTGAAATCAATAAAAATATATTTAAAAAAATAAAAAGATATATAAATAGAAATATTTTTCTAATTTTAAGGTAAAGACCTTTCTAAGCTTAAAAGCAAAGAAAGAAAATTAAAGGAAAAGTGATATAAACCTTAAACAATATTAAGCTATGGAAAATAGCAAAATATATAACAACTATATTTCCTCTATCTGTAGAGTGCTTTTTCTATACATTTCATTGTTTTTAGTAGTAAATTGGAGAAAGTATATTTATAAATAAGCAATATGCAAAAAAAAAAAAAAAAAAAGTAGGGACAACCAATAAATTGCAAATATAAAAATTAAAAAACAACAAGAAAGTTCACTGCATGGGAGAAGATGTTTGCCAGTGTTATCTCCGATAAGGTTTTAATCTCTAAAATTGATAAGGAACTCATAGAAATTAACTAAAGGATGATAAACAATCCAATAAAAAAAAATGGACAAAGTATGGGAGGGGAGGGGCAATGGTAAAATATGTACACAGATAATAATTTAATTAAAAAAAATTTTTTTTAAATGGGCAAAGGTACTAAATAGACACTTTTCAGAAGAGGACATACAGAAGGCCAAGAGACACATGAAACATCCTCAAAGACACTAATTATCCGAGAGATGCAAATCAAAACAATGAGGTAACATCTCACACCTGTCAGAATGGCTGTCATCAACAAATGACAAGTGCTGGCAAGGATATGGAGAAAAAGTAACCCTTATGTACTGCTGGTGAGAATGCAGACTGGTGCAACCACTTAATTTTAAAAATCATTTATCTTGTATACACACACACACACACACACAATATGGAGTTTCCTCAAAACCTTAAAAATGTAACTGCCAGTAGACCGAGTAATCTCACTTCTAGGAATATGGCCCAAGAAATCAGAAACACCAATCAGAAAGGACATCTGCACCCCTGTGTTCGTAGCAGCACAATTTACAATAGCTAAGATTTGGAAACAGCCTAAATGTTCATCAGCAGATGATGGATTAAAAAACAGTGGTATATCTACACAAAGGAATATTCCACTGCTATGAAAAAGGAGGAACTTTTATCATTTGCAACAGCATAGATGGACCTGGAGAGCATTATGCTAAGTGAAATAAGTCAGTCAAGAAAGATAAATAACACATGATCTCATTTGTGAAATATAATGAACAGAGACTGATGACTAAAAATGGATCCAGAGACAGAGAAGCACCAAACGGACTGTCAAACCTCAGGAGGAAGGCAGGGAAGGGCATTTGGGAATAGAAGAGATCAACCAAAGTACTTGTATGCATGTGTATTAGCATAACCAATGGACAGGGACACTGAGGCAGTATGGGCTTGTCCTGGGGGGTGAGGGTGGCTGGGGAGGGGTTGGTGGGGGAAAAGCGAGACATATGTAATACCTTAAAACAATAAAAAATAAAAATAAAAAGAAATTAATAGAAAGAAAGAAAATAAAAATTAAAAAATTCAACCTAAGTCATAATAAAAAATGTGAATCAAAATAGCATTGAGTCCTGGCTGGTTTTTGCCCTATGGTTAGAGCATCAGCCTGGGAACCAAAGGATCTCAGGTTCAATTCCTGTTCGAGGGCATGTACCTTAGTTGCAGGTTCCCCAGTACTAGCAGGGATGTGCATGGGAGGCAACCAATCAATGTGTCTCTCACATAGATGTTTCTCATGATGTTTCTCTCTCTCCTCCCCCCTTCCCTTCCCATTGATTTCTCTTTAGAGGTGGGGTTTAAAAATATCCACAGGTGAGGTTTAAAAAACAACACCGCATTGAAATGACATTCTTTTCCTACCAAGTCAAATATTTCTAAGATTCTAATGCTCAGTAGTTGGCATTTCCTCTATAGCTAGTAGGCATATAAAGTAATATAGCCAATTTGGTTATATGCATTTAAAACCCTTAAATTAATGTTACTTCTACAAATTTGTCTTGAAATAATCAGAGCTGTGTATAACTGTTTTTGTTTGTTAACCCCATTGTTTTGTAATAATGACTTATGGAAATCACCTTAATGTCTAACAGAAAGATTGGTTAGATTAATTATGCTATTTAAAGAATGGACAACTCTGCTGTCATTTAAAGCTTTGGAAAAATACTGAACGGTATATGCAATGAAAAAGCAAGTTTCAAATGTGTTGAATATAATTCCATTTTATAACAAATTTAATTGCTTTAAATAAGTGTGTGTGTGTGTGTGTGTGTGTGTGTACAAGACACATTGTGTAGTATAGAAAAAAGACCAGAAGTATATGTACCAAATTTTAGCAGTGTCTTTTGGAAATGGGATTATAGGGAATATCAATTTTAAAATTATTTTCATAATTTTTGTAGTGGCAGATTATTACAGTTGTTATCAAGAAGAAAATGGTGTTCTTTTTAAAAGGTATATTTAAAGAGACTTGAAGGAACTGTGTGTACCTGCCATTTGTTCTAATGTTTTCATTTTTCAGATGGAAAACTGAGATCCTGAAAAAATGGTTGTGCACACAGATAGAGCTTGCTAGCTCCCAGCACAGTCTTTTCTAGTTTTCCTTGCTAATTTTCAGCAACCAGATTTCATTTAGTCAGCACAAGTTAATGAAAAATTTTGTTCACAGCTCGAGCTAATCCAAGATACAAGGTTCCATGTCATTTACTGAATGAAATGGATGCAGCTAACATTGAACTGCAAACAAAAAGGTAACTAACTTACTTTTAGAGATTGAATGGTTTTTCTAGAGGATTAATCTAAATTAGGTCTTAAGTATTCTATATAATAGAGGTAATATGCAAATTGACCCTCACGCCATCACAACTTGGCGACATGTACAGTGGAGGGTGGGTTCCGGTAACACAAGATGGCTGCACCCACAGCAGAGGCAGGATTCCCGTAATGAGCAATCAGCAGGGGACCTGAGGCTGTGGCCCCCTCCCTCCCCAGCCAGCCTAGCAGGGCTTGATGGGGGACCTCAGGCCTCGCCCCACACCCAGTGAGGTTTGACAGGAACCTCAGGCCATGCCCCTTGTCCCGGGCTGGGGGACCTGAGGCCACACCCCCTGCCCTGGCACCAGTCTGGGGATACCTCAGGCCGCGCCCCTTCCCCCATCATGCACTGGAGAACTTGAGGCTTCACCCCCTGCCCGGCAGGGCTTGATGGGTTGGGGCTGGCCAGATCTGAATCTTGTCCAGTGGGGGTGGGGCCAGCCAGGTCTGGATCTCTCACGATTTTGAGGTGCAAGGGTGGGTGGAGACTTGACTCTGGGTCCCACAGGGTGCCCCAGACTCTAACAGAGGAAAATTTTCACATACATTTTACTAATTTTCTTTCATCTCTGACACTTCTATTATAGAGAAAGGGCAAATAGCAATATTAAAATATTTCCTCTAATTCCCTTTTAATGTGCATGAATTTTGTGCACTGGGCCACTAGTTTAATAATGAAAATTAAAAGAAAAAAATTCATCTAGTTAATGCCAATATCTGTTTTCAGCTGATTTTTTATAGTGAGATTATCTTTGACTTTGAAATTATCCTTATCGTGTGAGAGTGAACAAAGTAATGACATGTCAATGGCCATTGCTAAGTAGGAATTGAAGCCTAAGAAGACTTAGAGAAATCTGTGAGCATATAGTTAGCTAAATGAATTGTATCACAGCCTGTCAAATTATTCCCTTGGTATAAAGAGAGCCTGCTGTGAAAATCACCCCTCATATTTAAGTAGTTGTGGAGAACTGGCATGAAGTGACAGAAAAACAGAGGTGGGCAAAGGAAGGAAATGTAGATTCTACAAATATGGGACTTACTGTCAGCCGTTGTCATAAACTTTTAATAGATTATTAAGGAGATGTTTTGTGAAAATTTGATGGTCTAAGCATTATTTTCTTTGGATGTCTAACCTTGGCCCCTGAAGAATTGGTTCTTTATTTGCTCTCTGACATCGTCTGTGGGGTGTTGGGTTAGAGAAATGGAAATCCCATGGTCTTCATGGACCGAGGTGGCTGCTTATTTAGCAGAGGTTTGTTCAACATTTTTATCATTGACTTGAACCCGAGGAGAAAATAGCAGGTAGATTGAATGGCAAGCCAAGATTAAAGGAAATCTCAAAAATCAAGACACTAAAAATTAAAAACTTAAAAGAGAAAGATATCTTAAGGATGAAAAATAGCCAGCATTAGTGGTGTGGCTTAGTGGTTGATATTAAAAACAAACAAACAACAACAAAAACACATTAAGAGATTTTAGTCATGTGGTCATCAAAAAAGCTGATTCTGCCTTTGACCACATTAATAGACTGTGTCAGAAGTACCTGGACAATGGCAAAAGTCTCCTCCACTCCATTGGCCCAACTGCCTGGAGTAAATAGAGTGTGTGGCACCATGCTTCAAGGCTGCTGCTGAGGACATTGAGCCTGGGGGGAGCAGTCTCAGGGGGATTATTGGATCAACCTCAGATATTTTAAAGAAGAATCTATGGAGTTAGTGGAAATCAGGATAAATTAAAAGTTTGTAAATCTGACACTTCATGGTTATTAGGAGCAGGTTTTTAGCATTTTGTTTATAACAATAATCTCAGGATTGGAAGAGTTCGAGTGTCAGTATTCAGAGCAACATTGCACAATGTACATCAAAATTGATTTTTCTTGAAATGCATGATGGCAGAGCTGAAATTTTGCTATTTATTGAGAAGCTGAAATGAGTCATTTTGGAGCATGGAAGAAAATGATGTTAATTATAATTATTTAGGTGGAATGGAGAACTTAATTCATATTGTAAAGCAAATATTTTTGGTTTGAAATGAAACTTGTGTTTGTAAGAACATAGCATTTATGTACTTTTTTTGCCTCTTTAAAGGGCAGAATATGATTCTACAAACAATAACTTTGAATTGCATCTCCACCTGGGCCCTCATTATCATTTCTTCAATGGGGCCCTGCACCCAGTAGTCTCTCAAACAGAAAGCGTGTGGGATTTAACCTTTGATAAAAGAAAAACTTTGGGAGATCTTCGACAATCAATATTCCAGGTATTTTAGCTGCACTTCCTCTTAATTTATACATTACAGTCCATCTTAAGCCGCATTTCTTTTCAAAAATCCTATTTAAGATATGACTAGTTGTTTTTCAAAGCTGCTTAGGAAAATCGGCCAGTTCCATAGAGGGATGGCTCAGATATTCTCCCCTCACTGGTCAGTCTTTTAGAGAGAGGCTTCCCTGCCAGGCAAGGCACAGTCCTGCAGAAGCTTTGTAGGGGCAGAATCAAACTGGCATGTTTTATTTTGGGGAAAGAGAGAGTACCAAGTTGTCTCTTTTTAAAAAAATAAATGTAAAAAGTGTTTTTAAAGGTAATGAAGAGATAAAGATAAGCATGTTGTCTAAAACTAAGAACTACTAAACAAACAAAAGCAGCTCACTTGTACCTTTCAGTACAGAATAGCATCTTATATAATAATTCTATATAATAAAAGGCTAATATGCAAATTGTCCCCTCCGGAGTTTGACTGCCCGCTATGACATCTGCTGACCACCAGGGGGCTGTGTGGAACGAAGGAAGGCCCTGGTCAGCCCTGATCGCTGGCCAGGCCTAGGGACCCTACCCGTGCACACATTTTGTGCACTGGGCCTCTGGTTTATTAATAAGATTGTTAAGTGAAGGAAAATACCTACTGGTTTATGGTAAAACAAACATTGTCGTAATCATTGTTTCCAAATAATTTATCCAGTCATATTTTAATGACAAGAATAAGATTGCTCTTTATTTTACTCCCAGGGCTTTGATATTAATTATGTCATTTGGTTCTTTAACCTCCTGGGGACAAGCTAACCCTAAGATGAAGAGATTGTGATTTATATGTGATTTGCCTGTGGTCAGACACCTAGTTAGAGGTGGAACTAGGATTCCTGTCCTGGTCTCCCTACTCTTTCTTCACCCCACAACTACTTCCTGGTCTAGGAAAAGGGAAACAGAACATGCAAGCTTTTTTTTTCTTTTCCAGAAATAATTGAATTTTCTGAAAAACTATTAATTACTAAAATTATTAGTTTTCTTTTGACTTTCCTTTTTGTACAAAGAGAAGCAGACCAGTTTTGTTTTGTTTTTTAACTTCAGTTTATTTGAATTATATTTAAATGTTGGATCAGCATCAGGATTTCTAAAATTGTCTAATATCACTGAACTTTTGCATTAAAAGTTCATTTTGGAGCCAGTCCTGGCAGTTGGGGATCTTACCCTAAGATGACATTAGGTGATAAGTAAAAAGGATCTTTAACTGCAGGTCTGTTATCTTAGAATCCAGCCACTGGCAAGAGACTGTGAGATTGAAGTTAACTTATTGCTTATAAATATGAAATTTCTTCTTAAGAGTACTGTCTTGTGGTATTGTGGAGAGAGACTAAATAGAATTAATCTTTATGGGTGATGTTATTTTGTAGAGGTTACCACAGTCCCCAGAGTCTTGGATCTACAAACTTATGAAACAAACCCCCGGTAATCTATTACACTGTTTAAATTTACAGTGGGAAGCCTTCCTTTCAGGTGTTAGAGTCAATGCTGCTTTTTCTGAACAGCACTGATTAAATCATTTTGCTCTTTTGGACAGATTCCTGGGCTGGTATGTTGGTCAATTTGCCTCTGATAAAAGTGGTCTTCCCATAAGTTACATAGAATTGTTTAGATAGTAGTTGTGCTCTTTGTGTCTCCCAAGATTTTCCCATCACTAATGGGGAAGATTAACCAACTTTGACGTAACTGATTTAATAATGAGTGATACCTTCTTTTCTTACTTTCCCTGTTGGGCGGGATGGGATGGGAGTATTCATTTGTTTGCTCTCCGTATCTTCCACATATGTATACTGGCACATTACATGTCTTATTTAACCTGGGAATGTGACTATTTTTCTTGTGCTCTTTTCTTTTACAAATATTCTGTAGCTGTTAGAATTTTGGGAAGGAGACATGGTCCTTAGTGTTGCAAAGTTTGTACCAGCAGGACTTCACGTCTATCAGACACTTGATGGTAAGATAAATATTAAGACACAGCAGTTCATTTTATATATTTATACTTTTGTGGGCTCATCTGTGATTTTCTACTCCCGGCCAGTCTTCCCCCTACCTACTACTTTTAAAAAAATAAATTTATTGTTGATAGTATTACCAACATCTCCCATTTCCTCCCCTTTTCCTCCCCGTCTTCTCAGCCCATATTCCCTTTCCCCCAGGTCTTCACTACCCTATTGCCCGTGTCAATGGGCTATGCATATAAGTATGTAAGTTCTTTGGTTTATCTCTTCTCGTCCTTCCACCCCCACATCGAGGTTAACTATGTGATTTGTCCAATTTATATAACATGTAAAATTTTGGTAACTTGGAAACATTTTATAATTTCTGAAATTAAGGCTGTTTCTGTACCAAATTAATTTGTTAAAAGGCCTTGCAATTTTTTTTTAATCGTTACCAGAGGCTGTGTTTTTATTGATGAGAGAGAGAGAGAGAGAGAGAGAGAGAGAGAAACATCAATCAGTTGGCCTCCTATGTGCATTGGAGGGGATTGAACCCACCACTTGGGTACATGCCCTGACTGGGAATTGAACCTGTAAACTTTGGTATATAGGACAGTGCTCCATTCAACTGAACCACTGGCCAGGGCTATATAGCATGATTTTTTTTACCCAACTCTTAGTTTCATATTTTGTAGCAAAAGTAACAAGTGTGCTTTGAAAGCTGAAAAGTATTTACTTCCTTTAAATAACAACAAAACAGTAATAATAGCAGTCACAGTGGTAACAGTTACTTTGGCCTTCACTCTGCCAAATACTAAGATAAGTGTTTTATATAAATTATCTCATTTGATTGTTACAAAATTCTTTTATCCCCACTTTATACATGAGAAAATTGAAGTGTAGAGACTTGTATACAAGGTCATAACAGCTAATTAGTGGTGGAGCTGGGTCCATTTGATGCCAAATTCTTACTCCTGTTCACAGAGCCAAGCACAGTTGACTTCATATTCAACTCTTGTTTCCCACTGTCATGTTCACAAAACTTATGCAGCAACATGGGGAAATGCTTACATAAAGAAAAAACTAAACAGTGAGATGGGTGGAATAAAGATAAAATTCATATAATAAACATAATTACTACCTCTTTATTTTTCTTAATGGGAACGATTTTTTTTAAAAAAATGTGTCTCAGCTCTTTCTTTAGATGAATGGTCTCACTGACTGTCTCCTAATCCTAGGAGATGACCTGACACTGTGTGACCTTGAAATTGCTGATGAGGAAGACATCTTTGTATGGAATGGAGAGGAGGTAAGAAAATATTTAAGAAATATTCATGATAGTTTTGGATTTTTTAAGTCATTGTAATGAAATTTTATTCAGCATATGTGAAGGCAATTAGGTATTAGAAAACTACTGAAATACTTAATAAATTTTAGGTACAGTAAATAGTAGTTATGTGTTAAAGAGATATTTATTGAGCCCCTCCACTCTGCCAGGCTAGGTGTCAGAAGCTAAGTTCAGAGATTCAGATTTCATGGTGTAACTGCACTAAGTGCTGGGGGCGGGAGGCGGGGGGGGGCGGTGTCTGTGCATATTCCCATTCGGGATTTAGAAGAGGGCAAATAGCTCTATTGAATTAGGGAGTGAGAGCAGAGTGAATTTTCTAAGTCAGGAAAAGGGTGAGGAACATCTCAGCCACTCAGTGAACTCTCCCTGGTCCATCGCACTTATTCCCGAGTCTTCATTGCCACCACCGAGGACTCGTATATCTCTGTCCCCACTCCAGATTTCTCCTAAAAAATACAAGACAGCTAAGAGAAAGTTTCAAACGAAATATATAAGGTTATTTTTCTGATACTTAAAAGACATTTGTCAAAACTTCACTTGGATAAATGAGAATTATTCTGCAAGAGGAGTCTTCTGTTACTGTGTTGACTTAATGTTGGCAAATGTAAACTATACTAATGGTTGTCTTGACATTATTGTAGGTTGGTGGAATCCAGATTCCCACTGGTAGTGACTGTGAACCTCTGCTTTTAAATGTTCTTCATCTGGCAACAGGCAGTGAAGAGTGTCGGCAGTTGGTAGAATCTCCACAGGTCTTCCCAGCTAATGCAGAAGTGGGCACAGTATTCACAGCCTTAGCAATGCCAGGAGGTGTCATCTTTACCAGCAGTACTGAGTCTGTAGGTGGGGAGAGCTGGACTGCCATTCCCAAGGAGGACTTGAAGAAGACCTTCAGAGAACAAGGCCTCAGAAATGGAAGCTCAATTCTGATTCAGGATTCCAGTAATGATAATAACAGGTAACTCGATGAAAAAAAAATTTTTAAGTTATTTAAATTAGAGAACTATCTCTTAGAACTCTAAAGCTTTCTTTTACTAAGAGTTAAATGTTTCTTTTCATTTCTAGACATTGTGTACTGTGTTTTGTAAATAGGAATGCTCTAGGTTAGGCAAATTGGAGAAAAATTATATTATAATGCGATAACGAAGTAATATAGATGTAAACAAGATACAGTCAAAATTAGTTGGCTATAAAACAGAATCCTATCTGAGTAACTCTTATTAGCATTCCTTATAAAATTGAAGACATATTCTCACAAAGTTGGTTCCTGAAATTTTTTATGAGAATTATATGAAAATCATAGCTAACTTTACCTATTTTGTCACAAAAATCCCACACGGCAATTCAGCTTTTCATCATAGTCCTTTTTATTATTCTTGAGCTCCTCCCAGCTGCCCACGTAAAGCAGTTATAGGGGGAACTATGCCCGCAATTCCATAAGTTGCGTTTGGAACCCAGAAACACTGCCTCTCTTCATTTTTGTTATCCATGTCTTGATACTGTAGTGTCAGTTTCTGTAGTCATTGGGTCCCATATGGTAACTTCCCCCCCCCCCCCCCCCAGCACCCAAATTCCACATGTAGGAGACTTTAGGTTACAAACCTAGTCGGTTTCCTGCTTCATCAGTGCTGTGAATATGCTTAGATTACAGAGCTCTGTATTATTTAGTGGCTGCGACACAGAAGAGCATTTGTGATTATGCTTATTTTGTGTAACATTTATCATTGTTGTTCTTTTGGGTGTTTTCCAGACATTTACTTCCCCACCATGTGTATCTAATTAAAAAGTTTATTATGTATTTCTTTCTTTTTTTTCTTTTTTTCTTTTTAAATATATTTTATTGATTTTTTACCGAGAGGAAAGGAGAGAGATAGAGAGCTAGAAACGTCGAGAGAGAAACATCGACCAGCTGCCTCTTGCACACCCCCCACTGGGATGTGCCCGCAACCAATGTACATGCCCTTGACCGGAATCGAACCTGGGACCTTTCAGTCTGCAGATCGATGCTCTACCACTGAGCCAAACCGGCTTCGGCTGTATTTCTTTTTTTTAAAGTACCACTTATTAGGACTTGGGAAATACAGACCTGAAGCTTGGAGACTGGCAACAGTGTCACTGCACCTCCCAAGCATGTCAGTCATTGTTAGCTTACCTGTTTGAGCTCAGATAATTGATTTTTTGTTTTGAAGGCTTTTTTCTTTTTGAACATGCCAATTATTTTTTAGATAGCTACATCCTATTTTCCCCATGTTGGTAGACTCTTCATAAAACTCATTCTACATGAGAATCAGTGTTGATGTTATAGCATACCCAGCTGCTCCTTTGGGAGGCAGTACAGGTAGTGGGTAAGGACAAGGGCTCTGGGACCAGCTGCTTGGATCTATTTCCAGCTTTATCAACTCCTAACTGTGTGACCATGGGCAAGTTACTTCATCTCTCTCTGCTCAATTTCTTCTTCTGTAAAGAGGGGTAATAATTAGTACCAACTTCATAGAGGTGTAAGGATCAAGTGCTTTACAAAATGTGCACATAGTGGGTGCTGAATATTTTAGCTAGCATCATCGTCATTGTCATCATTAGCTTTTCACTATTTTAAGGGTTTCTTTGTGCTTAAAACTTTGCTGTATTTAGGATTGCTAACTTCAGGTGGGGTCCAAATAGGAATAACTGAAATAAAGAGTAGGATTGTGTGTCAGGGCTCTGAAACGCACTCACAGAGAGGACTTTCACTAGCCATTCAGTGCCTCCATGTGAGTTAGAAAGAAGTCCCTTTTTAAGATTCTTTACCTGTAGTAAAGGCTTGTTAGAACAAGTTACTCTACTGCCATCTGCTATCATAAAATAGCACTCTATAATAAAAAACAAATATTCAGTGTGTGATATAAGTGACACCCCTTAGCTGTGGCACTTTGATGCAGTGTCGGTCTGCACAACTGTACATGGCTGTCTTGTTATTAAATCGAAATCTAGTGGGTGGGTCTTACGTATAGCTTCTCTTAAAGCCCTTCTGCTGATAAAAATGTGCAGGCAGAAGTCAACAGCTGATTGTTCAGTTACAAGAGTTCTTTTTGAAAAGTGTGGCAACAAATTATTTGTCTTAAGTCAAAGAATATCTGAGTCATTAATATAGATTCCATAGAATATAGACTCCATAGAGTACTGCCTGATACTGTCCTAAAAAGATAGTCAACTTTAATAAACCCAGTTCAGTAGAAGTTGGTCACCTTCAGTGAGTCACATTAAGAGACAGAGGCAGAATTTTAGAAGTGATGCCTGAGGAACAATATTGATATTCTGATTCTTCCTGATCTATACAAGTGCTGTATAAAGACACTTTTTAAAAACACATCTTTTACCTACAGTTTGTTGACCAAACAAGGGAAATGGATCACTAGTATGAATGAGGTCGACTGGGTCCAAGTTAATAATTTTTGTCAATTGGAATCTGAAGAGGAGAAAGTTAAAATATCAGCAACTGTTAACACAGTGAGTAGATTATAATTAAAGTTTAGTTGATAGTGTTTTAGTTAACGATTTTATTTAGAAAGCAATACCTTACTCTATCAGAAAAGTTTCAGACTTCTAAATCCTAAGAAATCAATATTTTTACTATCTGATTATTGCTTATTTACTTATTAATTCTTGGCATAGCTCAAAAAAATATGTGCTACCCCCCCCCACCCCCCAATCCAAAGCCTAGAATTAGAAAGTGGGCGTTAGGTATTTAACTGGAATGGAATACTCTGGCTTTGTTGTCAAATACATAATGCTATATCAAAATATGAATATATATTTTTCTTTATCAAAATGTGAAATGCTGTTTTCAAGGGTCATTTTTGTAATTTTTAAAACAGGTATATATATTTTATGTGTTTTTGTTTTTAAGTTTAATTGAAATTGCTCTACATTATACTCTGTGCTCTATATCAGCAGTCGCCAATCGATGGTCCATGAGGTCTGAAAGGTTGGCGATTGCTGGTTTTAGGAAACCTTTGGAGCAGCAGTCACCAACTGGTGGTCTGTGAGGTCTGAAAGGTTGGCGACCACTGCTCTATATAAAGCCCCCCTCTCTTTAAAAGGGCGTCCTCCAGTCTTTCATTTGAAGATACTAGTTTCCTTAAACATTATTTCAGAAAACATCTTTTTTTATTTATATAGTCTCAATTCATTGCTTTTTTCTATAACATTAAAAGAACCATTAGAATTATTTCTTTTCTATTAGTATTATGATTTCGTAAGGTGCAGTCATATTTGTTGGTATAATAAAGGGACAGTTTAAGACCTACCACCCTGACCCTAAGTGGGAGACTTTGGTGAAGTCCCTGAGTCTTCTTAGCACAGAGTGGGGCACCGGTGGGAGGGTAGAGTGGATCTCTGACACCAGTTTAACCCCTAAATTTCCACAATTTTATGCCTTAGAGCAGCAGTTGCCAAACAGTGGTCCGCCAACCACTGGTAGTCCATGAGGTCCAAAAGGTTGGTGATTGCTGGGTTAAGGAAACCTTTGGAGCAGTGATCGCCAGCTGGTGGTCCATGGACCACTGGTGGTCTGTGAGGTCCAAAAGGTTGGCAACCGCTGCCCTAGAGGCAGTTAGCCTAAACTAAAAGGAAAACAGGTCTAATAAAGTAATTTAAACATTTTAAATAGTGCCCTTGGGTTAGTATTATATATTTGTATATAAGTTATGCTTATTGGCACTGAATATATCACTCTTAACATAAAGAAAAGTGATGACCTGAAATTTTTGTTTCCTCTCATCAAAAAGGTTAGTGGTTTGTCAGTTTTTTGTTTTTTGTTTCTAGCTAGAATTGTTTTTCTGATTCTCTATAGGAGTCATTTCTATTCCAGTTAACATCAGGTTGGTAAAAACTTGACTATCGATATTAAAATCTAAGTTTTTTATTTTGACTTTGTAGAAGAGAGAAAATGAATTTCAGGGATGAAAAAACAATTTTAAAGTAGGTAAAAACTACCAAATATCAGGTAATTAATAATTCAATCTGTACATGCACACATTGACAATCTCCACTTTCTTATTCTCCCATTGTTTTCAACTTATACACAGTCATTAGTTTATTTCTCTATTTTAGGTGGTGTTTGATATTCGAATTAAAGCCATAAAGGAATTAAAATTAATGAAGGACCTAGGTAATTATTTATGTTTGGTTTGGGGGTTCAGTTTAGTTTTTATTTTTAATTGAAAAAATTATGGGAGAGTACACAAAGTAATTTAGGGAAAACTCATGCACCTACCACCCAAAATGGACAGATGTTAACATTTTGTCATGTGTTTGTTTTTGTTTGAAACATTAATAAGTCCTCTGTGTCCTCCTCAAACCTACTCTCTCTCCCTCCCCAGTTGCAGCCACTATATCTGTTTTGGGTGTGTGTCTAGTCTATGGACTTATGTTGTATATATTATGTTCCCTTATATATGTTTATGTGTATATTACACTTACATAAATTATGATACTGAGTATAGCATTCTATAAATTCACTATTCACTCAGCATTGGGTTTTCTTTAACAGTCTTTTATTGAGGTATAGTATACATACCATCAAATACCCTTTTGAAGCATAATTCAGTGATTATTAGTTAAGGTATAGAGTTGTACCACCAACACTGTAATTGAGTGTTAGAACATTTCCATCACTCCAAAACAATCCCTCATTCCTATTCACATTCTGAGCCCCTGATAACCACTCACCTACTTTCTGTCTGTCTAGATTTGCTTTTCTGGACATTTCATATAAATGGAACCATATAATAAGTTTTTTTTAATGCCTGGCTTCTTTCACTTAGCAATCCATTTTTTGATTCATCCATGATTTACCATGTATCAGTAATTTGTTCCTTTTCCTAGTATTCCATTCTATATGTTACCTTTTGTTTATTCATTTACTAGCTGATTGATTCATTAACTTTTTGGCTTTTATGAATAGTGTGCTATAAAACAGCAGTCGCCAACCTTTTGGACCTCGTGGACCACCAGTGGTTTGTGGAACACTGGTTGGCGACCGATGCTGTAAACACCGTTTTTGTGTGGACATGTGTTTTTGTTCTTTTCGGTAGATATGCAGGGTTAGAATTACTGGGTCAAATGGCAAATTTATGTTTAGCTTTATAAGAAGCTGCCATACTATTTTCCAAAGTGGCTGAACCAGTAATATGTCAGGACACTAACTGGCACTAGTTGTAATTATATTTTTTATTATAGCCATTCTAGTGAATATGAATTGGTATATCATGGTGTGTTCAATTGTATTTTCCTTTTGCAATGATAGTGAGCATTGTTGGTGTGCTATTGTCCATTTGTATATCCTAAGAATTCTATTAAAAAGCTATTAGAAATAATAAGTTTGATAGGAATTCAAATCATATACAAAAGTCCATTGTATGTTTACCTACTAGTAACAAAAACAAATGGAAGATGAAATTAAGAAAACAGAATAAAATATCATAAAATACTTGGGGATAAAATTAACAAAATGTGTGCAAGACCTGTACACTGAAAACTAGGGAACATTGCTGTGAAAAATAAAAATGACCTGAATAAATGGAGCGATGTTCCATGTTCTTGAGTCGAAAGACACAATATTGCTAAGAGGCTAATTCTCTCAAAATTAATTTGTGATTTCATGCAATCTCACTCATAATCCTAAAAGATATTTTTGTTGTTTTTTTTTTGGGGGGGGGGGGAATCAATGGAAAATTATTAACAATAAAAAAAATTGTATTAGCCGAAACCAGTTTGGCTCAGTGGTAGAGCGTCGGTCTGCGGACTGAAAGGTCCCAGGTTCGATTCTGGTCAAGGGCGTGTACAGTGGTTGTGGGCACATCCCGGTAGGGGGTGTGCAGGAGGCAGCTGGTTGATGTTTCTCTCTCATTGATGTTTCCAGCTCTCTATCTCTCTCCCTCTCTGCAAAAAATCAATAAAATATATTAAAAAATTGTATTAGAATTATATGCTAGTTTCATATGATTATAGTATAGGATACAGAACTCAGGAATCTCAGAAAGAGATTCTGCCAAGGTCTAATAAAATTAGAACTTCTAAAATCTATGCCATTCTTTCTCTCAGAAGGCTCCATTCTCCCAACCTCCCCACTTCATGTCCAACTTGATAAGAATTCTGATTGGACCAAACCTGGTGTGCTCCTTCCCACAAAACAGACAGAGGGACCACACAGAGCCACATGGACTGGCCCTGGCCCTCCTCGACGCTGCCTCTCCTGCGCCACCAGCCCTTGGCCCTTACAGCTGCTGTGGCTTTGTCCAGAAGGACTTCCAGAAGACATCCAGTCTAATTAGCATATTACCCTTTTATTAGTATAGATTAGTTACCCAGAAACACAGTTCAAATTCCAGCTATCACTGGATTTAACTGCATAATTGCACAAAGCACAAACTTGGCTCCCAGCTTCAGTCTGCAGATCTAACAAATGTACATCACTGCATGTCTGATCATTAATTTCAACACACAGACAGCAGAGTGTGAATAGTTCATTGCCTCCTCTCCCAGTGGTAAACCCACGTGACATTTTATAAGGACAAGTCTTCAAACCGGCCAGCCAAGAGGAAAGCGCAGCAAAGAAACAAAGCATGTGGAGTGATAGAAGAAATAGCTGACATGGGGGTGTTGACATGCAGTCATTCAAGAGACTAGCCATGCAGGTGGAGGAACTTAATGAGTGGGCACATCTACAGAAGTGAGGACCATGGATGTGACAGAAAGAATGAAGCTGTCCTAGGAGAGGTGATGCTGACAAAATAAAAGTTCATGTTAAAGGAGCTCTTGGGCATATTTCATGAGGTTGAAAGCACAAAGTGTAAAATATTGGAAGCTGATCCAAACTTAGACATCTGAGTATGACAGTTCGCTGTGAAAAGAAAAGATGCTCACTGTGTAGACAAGTCACAGGAGTAGCTGAAGAAAGCAAGACCTGTTTACACTATTGACATATTTTGTACAAAGAAATAAGACGTCTTTTAAAGGGCAAGAAAATTGTAATTTTTCTCACTGTTAAAATTGCCTTGCATAGTTTCAGCTTGCAAAGCATTCTTACAGTCCTGTGCTACTGCAGTACAAAGTGAAGACGGTTATACTTGTTTTCTGGTTGTTGGGGAACGGAGGGGTTGTTTTCGTTTTAGCTTATCATAGCTCCTGCTAATTAACACAGTGGAGGCTCTTTCATTTTCTTTCTTTGGTGCACTGACCTGCTTCTTCTTACTTGTAGCTGAGAACAGCTGTTTGAGACCTATTGATAGAAATGGGAAGCTTCTTTGTCCAGGTAAATCTTTGTGGTAGCTTTCAAAAGCTGACACATATCCATGCTATCTAACTTTCTTAACACTTTTACTTTAAATGATAGATTCCAATACCTAATATTCTTTAATTACCTTTTAGAAATTAATTTATAGGACATACTTTTATCCAGGTATCTTACTCATGTGTTACAGAGTATCTTAACCAAAATTCAAACAGTTCTGTTTTAAAACAGCTGTCTTTCTGATTAGCTGATCCTCATTTTAGTCATGGTTTTAATCTACTTCTATCCTTATAGATTTATTGTCAATTTTTTAATTTGCTAACTTTATTGAGATATCTATTATGGAATAGAGCCTTCTAACCTCTAACACTTGTTGTCATTAGATGTAATTGAGACTAATTATTAATAATAGACTCTAGAATATTCCTAGTCACCTTTTATGTCTTAGCATTGTTGTACAGATAACAGGAAAAATATATTCTGGCATTTGGAAATAGAAAATCAAACATAAAGATAATATATATAACCCTTTTGCATAGAGTGCAACTTTTTCTTTCTTAACATTCTTGATTTTCAAAAGAAAAATTGCAGTATAGTATTTTGCCCAGAAAGGTAGGGATGAATAATATTCATTCTGTTTTTTAAAAATTTTGTAGTGCCAGACAGTTACACATTGAAAGAAGCAGAATTGAAGATGGGGAGTTCACTGGGACTCTGTCCTGGAAAAGCACCAACTTCCTCTCAGGTAATATGAGATCACCTGGCCACCACACCCACCTTCCCATAGTCAGTTCTTCACTTCATAATTCACTAGAGGCCCAGTGTACGAATTCATGCACCAATGGGGTCCCTCATCCTGGCCTGCAGGATCAGGCCGAAACCGGCTCTCCCACATCCCCCAAGGGGTCCTGGATTGTAAGAGGGCACAAGCCAGGACAAGGGACCCCATCGATGCCCGGTCAGGGGTGGAGAGGGACGAGGGAGGTTGGCCAGCTAGGAAGGGACCATGGGACGGCTCCAGGGCATGTCTGTCAGTCTTGGTTGGCTGGACCCCAGCAGCAAGCTAACCTACTGTTTGGAACATCTGCCTCCTGTCCGTGCAAATCATAACAATTGGTTGACCGGTCAACTGTCTGCCCCCTGGTGGTCAGTGCACATCATAGAGAGTGGTTGCATGGCCTTAGCATATCATTAGCATATTACACTTTGATGGGTTGAAGGAATGACCAGACACTTAGCATATTAGGCTATCATGTTTCTCTCTCTTCCTTCCTCTCTCTAAGCATGTCCTTGGGTGAGAATTTAAAAAAAAAAAAAAAATTGTAGCTGAAACCGGTTTGGCTCAGTGGATAGAGTGACAGCCTACGGACTGAAAGGTCCCGGGTTCGATTCCGGTCAAGGGCATGTACTTTGGTTTCCAGCATATCCCCAGTGGGGGTGTGTGTGTGTGTGTGTGTGTGCAGGAGACAGCTGATTGATGTTTCTCTCTCATCAATATTTTTAACTCTCTCTCTTCCTCTCTGTAAAAAAATCAATAAAATATTTTTTAAAAATTTTTAAATTGTAAATAAAAAATACTGTCAAAGCATAGTTCTGTGAAAACTGGTTAAGGGGACTCTTATGGCTACTAGTTTCAACCATATTTCAGAAATTCTGAAATATGCCCTTTCCCCTGCAACTTTTAACATCTGTGAGATTAGGCTGCATCTTTTATCCATGGCATCCTCCAGTGTAGCCAGCACTGTTTTCTTTTTTCATTGTACATAAAGCAATGAGTAATAGCTAATTAAATTTTAGATTTAATGAAATACAGAATATTAATTCTGGATGTAATTTCTCTACAATAATATAATTCACAACAGCTTGGTCTTTATCAGTATTCATTTCCTGTAGAAATACCATTTGTTTGACTTTGCCAGAAGCCCTACCTATGTAGTAAACTTCCATTACAGTCCCAAAGTCATATTTATGTACTTACTGTTAAGACTGTGCCAAGGTTAGCTTATTCATATCAGGAACCCTCTGTCTGGATCCACTTAATTCATTTTCCAGCAACCTCTCTTTAATTTCTTCTTCCCTGAACCGGAGCACAAGCTGGAAAAGGAAAACGTGACATGTGAAGTTGAGTTACAAAGGAAAGTAGACCCAGCCATTGTTGCTCAGTGGTTGAGCATCCACCTGTAAATTAGGAGATCATAGTTCGATTCCCTGTCAGGACACATGCCCAGGTTGCAAGCCCAATACAATGTAGGGGACATGCAGGAGACAGCCAATCGATGATTCTTTCATCATTGACATTTCTCCCTCCTTTCTGAAATCAATAAAAACATTTTTTTTTAAATGGAAGGAAAATAGGGCTCTAAGCAGCTGAATTGACAAGAGATCAGACTCACATTTTTCCTGTAGAGTCTTAGGAATCATAGTATATGGACAGAAAATAAGGTCACAACCAAATGATTCAGAGAAAAACACAGTTATGCTTATAATGTATAGTAATTACAAGTTCCTTTGAGGAATGACCAAGAAAGATGGAGCTCATGGAAGAATAAATAATATCATTGAGAGGTTTTAGGAGTAAAAACATTGGTGATGAAGCATCTTACATTTCTAGATAGTTGAGATGATTATTTAAATTGTAACATTAAATTATCTAACATAGCCTTGTTTTTACATAATTTGAGATTTTTATTACAGTTTCATGGACTACATGAAACTTTTCTTTTTTTGGAAGTAAATAATGCATTTGTAGAATTTTAAAATTTAGATTGAGTTGCATTCACACTCTGTCTTGATCTTAGCTGTTCCTGTTTTTCGCTATGGGGAGTGATATCCAGCCCGGGTCTGAGATGGAAATCATAGTAGAAGAAACGATCTCTGTGAAAGAAGTAAGTTATTTTACTTGGGGGAGGAGGGGAGTCTGGGTGTCTGATATGGGGAACAGGAATAACCTGTATTAGGATTTCGAGGTCCTAAGGCTAGAAGTTTATATAATATACTTTAAATAATTATATGTACCCACTAAAGGAATAGTTTTGGGAGCTTGAAAATTGGTGAGCCAACTGGAATTTTACATTAAGTTATTTTTATTATTATCAATACTGTTGATTGTAGAAATAGATTTTTTTTAAAAAAAATAAAACCCCTTATCATCCCTTATCCCAATAATATGACTATTGTGGCATATTTCCTTTTTCACTTTATCTACTCACACAGCTACATAAACAGAGGTAGAAATGTGAGTGTGTGAGTGTGTGTGTGTGTGTGTGTGTGTTTGTGTGTGTGTGATAAAGCAAACACGTGACTGGGACTTTCAATGTGGAAAATGGACAGAATGACAGCTTTGTGGATAAGTGAAGCCTGTACTTGGAATTTGAAGAATCAAGTAAACTTGCTGTATTTTTTCTTTGAACAAATATTTTTCTACTTCCTCCTCCTGAAACAGCCTAGAAACAATGACTAGCCTAGCCATTGTGAGCACCCAGATTGTGGTTGCTAACTACTATTTTCTACAAGAAGGAGCCAGGGCTCTGTGTCTAGGTCAGGAAAGTGTAAGATGAGCCTGCAGCATCTTGTCAGAACAGAAAGAAGGGAAGCCAGCAAAGATGACTGGTGTCAGCAGAGAAACACAGAAGCCTCTCATCTTTGAAGAGGATGTCTCTGGTCAAAGATGAGACAGCTTAGACCTCAATGGGAATGGCGATAAAAGTTGACTGGTATATATCAAGTCAATGAGTTCATGTGACCTTAAAAATGCTATCTTCATTAGGAACCTATGGGTAACCAAGTGGGTGCTTGGGAACCATAAAGGAAAGAGTCAAACATTTGTTCTGTTTTTGTTTTACAGACTATACTGCAGGGCAACTAGACAGATAACAGGTTTTTAAATAAACAATCCCAGTTATTAAAAGGAGAAAGAATTTTAAACTATCAGTTTTTCAACCCTGAATGAGGTCTAAAGGCAATGATCCTAAAAGCCTGCTCACAACCCAAAAAGGACAACACTCAGGCATTATAGAAGCTTAACACTACCCATGCTTTTCATGCCCTCCCCCCACCCCCCAAAACCCCCAGGCAACCTGATTCTGACCAAACCTAGAAGTACAGTCAGCACAGTCCAAAAGTGGAAAACTCCTCTTCAAGAAACCAGCTATGGGGAGAGGGCCTGTAGGTTAAAAGTTCTTATCTCAGGACAAACAGCAAGCAGGGCAAGGTGTGGACTTCATTTGACCCTTGACTCAAATCAAAAGAACTCTAATGGTTTGGAAGAAAGTTGGGAAATTTGAACACTGATTAGATAATTGTTATTAAAGAATTCTTAATTTTTAAAAATGCCATCATTATTTTAGGGTGTTTTTTTTTTAAAGAATGTTTATCTTTCCATAAATATTAATAAATACTATATGATACCTGACATTTGCTTCAAAAGAATCTGGGTTAGGGTACTGACAAGCACAATTGGCTGCCCCAGTGATTGAGATTGAGGGTCCTCATGTGGCTACAGAGTTCCATGTGAAAACACGTTTTTAGTAAGTTTCTTTACTCTTGTTACATGCTGAAAATATTTTTGGAGTTTTTCATTTGCCTTTGAATTTTAGTGTTGTGTTTGTTTTTAATTTCAAAGAAAGGAGATCACAAATCTGTACAAAGGAGCGATGTGTGTGTCTTTCTGTTCTCATGGCAGGTAAACTTGTTCCCACCATACCACCGAAACAGCTCTTACCAAGTACAGCAAGCAGTTCTCGGTCTTCATCTCGCTCTCCCTCTCTCTCAGCAGCATGGCACATACGTGATGACTGTTCCTTGCAGCTCTTCAGATTTCCCTTCTTAGCCCTTCTCAGTTTGCTACTACCTTAGGGCTCAATTCTTAGACGGGATCTCGCCTCAAAATTCCAGGCTTACATACCCAGCTGCTACGTGTTTTGATTGTCATCCCAAATTACAACACACCCACAACAGCATTCCTGGTCTTCTCTCAACATAATGGGTTTTTCCCTTTGGCTCTTAGGAAGGAGAGCTTATTCAGTCATCATCTTAACTATGTGTACACTTATCTATTTGATCAGACTTAAATAGGCCCCAAGATCCAAAGAGGTTGTTTCTTTCAATACTGTAACTCATAAACAGGAAACTAATGAACATACTTTTTTTTTTTTTTTTTTTTTAGTGTTTGAAGACAATGCTGGAGAAATTTGGCCTATCAGGTAAGTTATAGGCCATGGTGATGTATAATCTTATCCACATCATTGATTTACAAGAAAGTACTTGTAAGCCAAATGAAAACGTTTCAACCCTTTTTTTCTCAGGGTTATCTGTTACACTTAATAACTGTGTGTACATAATAAGTTCTCCTGATTCTGTTTGCAAGCTGAAAGAACTCTAGTTGTAAGTTAGCTGACCACTGACGATCCAACAAAAACACAGAAGAGATGAAGTTAAGACTACCTTGTTTAAACCTTATTGATTCAGAAATTTCGTTGATTGTGCTTCATACCTGTGTGTTTTAGTGTAGATTAGAGAATGTCATATAAATGAAAACAGAAATGCAAGATGTCTGAAGTAGTTATCAGGGGGACCCAGGCAGCATCACGCTGCTTTCACTGGAGTGCTTTGCCTCTCTGACTGCATTCGTTGTCTGGAAGGGAAGGGAACGTGCTCTGGAGCTTCTATGCATTGTCCCATTTCATCTCGACAGCAGTGTTCCCATGCGGGGATCATCCCATTCCCATTTTACGGAGGACGGGACAGAGGCTGAGAATAGTTAAATGTTACACAGCAAGTATAATTTACACAGTCTCTCTGATTTCAGAATCCAAGTTCTTTACATCTTGCTGTGTTATGAAGTAATGGTGTTCACTTTGTGTGTGTGTGTGTGTGTGTGTGTGTGTGTGTGTGTGTGTGTGTTCACTTTTAACTACTGATGTGTTTTCAAAAAATATATACTTAGATTAAGTTAAATATTCATGTAAATCTTATTGTATTTAAAACTGGAATTAATTGCAAAAAGGGTCTGCAAAGAACAGTATTGAGATTCAAAACCTGTGGCCTATGAGGATGAATATTGCTCTGGCTGTAGTTTCTTTCAGTGGGTGGGAGAGTTGACTATTTATAAGACGTTGCTGTTTTTCTTAATAACCAGGATTTCCAGTTTCCACTCGACTTGGCTCCCTTCAAAAAATTTTCTGCCATTTCCTCTAGTGCAGCAAGCATGTAAAAAACAGAAATCTAATTAAAGACTGTTTACCATCTATAAGTGTTGCTATACCAACTTTATTAAGTGCTATTCCAAAAGCACTATTTTTTGTTAGATTATACACTAATTGGATATCACCAGCTTTGCTGAACACATTATCAGTTGCTGAGCAATGTTAGCATATACTGTTAGCCAAGACAGTGAAATGAAACTTAGCTTCTGTACTTATATGTATATATATATACATACATTTATACTCATGTGTGTATACATGTAAACAATAAAGGCATAATGTAGTTATGTAATGTAGCAGGTGTTATTTCATTTGCAAGTATATAATTGTACACAATTATACATCTATTCTTGGTGGAATAGAAGATTAACCAAATTGGGGAAAGAACTTATTTTTCATGCTCTGGAAGAGAGTATTTTATTTTAAATATATATATTTTTATTGATTTTATTTTTAAAAATATATTTTTATTGATTTCAGAGAGGAAGGGAGAGGGAGAGAGAAGAACATGATAAGAGAGAATGCTGCTTCCCTCATTACACTGGGGATCGAGCCCACAACCCAGGCATGTGCCTTGACTGGGAATCGAACTGTGACCTCCTGGTTCATAGGTTGACATTCAACCACTGAGCCACACCAGCCAGGCGAGGGAATATTTAAAAAAAACACACCAAAAAGTTAATAATTATTAGATCAAATCCCATTCAGTTTTCATTTACCCAGATGGGTCATTCCTGACCAACTCTTAAAACACATCCTTGTGAATTTTTTCATTTTGATTCTGCTGCTTTCACAGGTGACACGTGGCACTTGAGAAAAATGGATTGGTGCTATGAAGCTGGGGAGCCTTTGTGTGAAGAAGTAAGGTTATTTTTATGTATTTTACTCTTTAAAATGGTGGTGTTTATTTGGTACTTTCATACAGAATACTCATCCTACTCATGAATAAATTCTAGAGAAAGATTTGTTTAGGATTCAAAAATATATACATGCGTCTACCTTACTCTTTCCTCCTTGGTAGTTATTTGAGAGCATTCGGAGGGACGGTCTCAGCTAAGGGGGACTATTTCTGACATCTGTGTTAAGTCCTCTTTTGGGAAGAGAGTGTGTCCCCAAGAATGGTGGTTCTTCATTAGGAAGCAGAGAACTTTAGAGAACAAAGGACATTTGAACTAATGAAAGAATTTGGAGATACACTCTGAATTTTGAAACGTGAATATTTTAATCTCAGAGTTGATGGCAGAATTCATCTTACCAACCAATCACTTAAGCTCTGATCTGAACTACATCTCTGGATCCATCCAAACTCCTAGGGTAGCCTTAGGAACAGTTGTATCATAGGATAGGTGGGGTCTGGTTAATCTTATCCAAATAGCATCCAACCTCGTATCCAACATCACGGCATTAAAAGTAGACCCAAAATGAAGTTTTAGAGAATGTTTAGACTGAAATGTGGTAATCCACCCCTCCCTTATCTGCCTGCTTCTGTTCAGTAATACACAGTGGCAGTGAATATCAACACAGGTTGATTGAAGTATGTGTACTGGGGTCATCCCTCAAAACACTCTTTGCTGTGTTGTGGTCATTAACAATATAGAAAGAGGACTCTCTTGAATCTTGGCCAGGGATTTGACTGCCCAGAATAAGAAATGGACCTAAAGAATCTTCAGGCCCTAGGCAGTTTGGCTTAGTGGATAGAGCGTCAGCCTGTGGACTGAAAGGTCCCAGGTTCGATTCTGGTCAAGGGCACATGCCTGGGTTGTGGGCTCAATCCCCTGTAAGGGATGTGCAGGAGGCAGCTGATCAGTTATTCTCTCTCATCATTGATGTTTCTATCTCTCCCTCTCCTTCCTCTCCTTTCCTCTCTGAAATCAATAAAAATATATTTAATTAAAAAAAAAAGAATCTCCAGGACATATAGTTTGGATGTCAAGAGTAACATATAGTCACATAGTTTCCACATTTCTTCTCTATTAAGTCCCAAATTGGTATCAAACAATTCTAAAACTGTCTAGAACAAACTCATTACCTTTAAAACTGCTTCCTCTTCCCAGATTTACTGTCTGTCTTTCCCATCCTGATCTTTTTCGGCCTGAAATGTGGCCAGTCCAGTTTACCTGCTGCCCTCACGTTTGAGCTCAAAGGCCTGTCAGTTTTCCCACTTCTTCCCAAGTCCACTGCTGGCCTCCTGGTTCAAGCCATTTTTCCCCCCTTTTACCTAAATTACTGCAATTGGCCTCCCCGAGCCCAGGTGTTCCCACTTCAGTGTGTTATGCATGTAGCAGCCAGATTGGCTTTTTGAAACACCTTCTCAGAAGTCTTTTGGCTTTTTTTCTATTCCACATCCCTTCGACCACCCTTCCAGTCCAGTCCCCGTCCCCGTCCCCCTGCCCCCATTACTCTGATACTGTCCACTCTAATCAGTCTAGTCTGAGCTCTTCCCTACCATGTTTCCCCGAAAATAAGACATCCTCTGAAAATAAGACCTAGCGCATGGAAAGATAAGACATCCCCTGAAAATAAGACCTAGCGCAACTTTGGGAGAAAAATTTAATATAAGACACTGTCTTATTTTTGAGGAAACAGGGTACTTATTGACATGACTTTGACTTTGTTCAATTTTTATTTGAGAAATTACTTCTCTTGTTTCATCCACCTTTCCAAATCCAACGCCTCTTTTTAGATTTGACTAAAATGTCATCTTCTGTAAATCAGTCTCATTATTTCTCACCTCTCCCTTTCCTCTGATCTTCTATGATACTTACAGTTCTTACTCATAATCTAATATATAATAAGTCTGTTTTATAAGCCTATTTTCCACTCAACATCTGCTTTATCATTTATCATTTATTTATTTCAAGGGTAATAGAGGCATAGGGTTCACAAACAAAAGTCCAGTGATCTGTTTGTTCTGTGCAGAAGTCACAAGTAACGAAAAATTTCCATATTCCCAGGATGCAACATTGAAAGAGCTTATGATATGTTCTGGAGACACTCTGCTTTTAATTGAAGGGAAACTTCTTCCTCCGGTAAGACTGTGCTTCCAATAGACACTCTGAATAATGGTTATTGTCTCTGGGGGAAAGTGAGGCAATGCAACAGTCAGAAAGAGAACAGAGAACTTATCCAAAGTCTACCAGACACAGCCATCATATTTACATCTTAGGTACTTCCTTCCTATAAAACCAGTTGTATATACTATTTCATTTTCTACCTTTTCTATTTAATTTGTGAACTTGATCATAAAATCCAAAAACAGTTGTAATGTATGACTTATCACAGTTTAATTCACTTTTTATCTTCATTGTTGGAAATTTACCTTATTTTAAATTTTTTCTTATAATAATACTTAAAAACTAGTCTGTCTTAAGATAGTTCTAAAGATGGAATTAACAAGTCAAAGGGTATGAACTTTTAAAGACTTGAGGGAGTATGTTGCCAAATTGTTTTCCCAAAGAGTTGTACTAGATTTACAATCCTTCCAGCAGTATATGAGGGCTCCTTTCCCTCCACTTTCATAAACACTGCACATTCCCATTTTCTAAAACCATTACTTAATTCGTATTTTTAATGTGGACCCATGTAAAAATTAAGAAAAAAAAAGTTGACCCCCAAACTTCAGTACTCAGCTATCCATTAGCTTATGATTAAAAAATTCACACAGCACAAAAGGTTATATAAAATGAAAAACAAAAGTTCCTCCCCAGAAAGAGTCACAATTACTTACTTGTCCTTTCAAGAAGAAAAGTGATACCTGTTTGTATGCTGAGTGTAAATATAGGCATATGTATTTAAAGTTTCCATTCAGGGGATCATATTCAGTGTTTTATAGTTGGTTTTTTGTTTTTATTCACTTAATATATCTTTAGGATCTCCTTATATCAGCATATACAGACCTACCTATTCTTTTCTATGACTTCATGAAATTCTGTGGTATTTTACATACCATGTTCTTTAAAGTTAATTTTTGAATTGGCGATACTTATGATATAAAATTCAAAGTGTATAAAAAGCTGAGCCAGGAAAAATAACTATCCTCCCTTCCCCCCCAGCCACTCAGTGTGTCCCTCCAGAGGTAGCCAGATGCCTCTGTGTCAACACACAAGTAAGTCTGTGTGTGTACATAGCACACATATACATATTGTTATCCATATATAGGAGTGGAGAAAAGTAGGTTTACAGTTATGAGTACAGAATGATTCTTGTATTATTATTTGTTAATTGTTTGTATTGCAACTGTAAACCCACCTTTGCCCACCCACCTTGATGTGTAGCAGTACACATCAAGTCATCTCATTCTATAGGTGGTATCTATATCTCCCATTGTATGGAGGTACTATAATTTAACCAATCTCTTTCAAAGAAGATTTAGGTTGCTGACAGTCTTTTGTTAATATAAATGATACTGCAAAAAATATTATAAATGTCCATTTATCTACAAAATAAATTCCTAGACCTACCACTGTATTCTGCTGCCATCACAATTGGCAGTGACTGCCTTTGTACCCATGACTTTGTCTCAGGGCTTGTCCATCAGAAGGCAAATTCTCACCATGGATGGCAGGTCTGGGGCATGGCATTTAAATTATGATAATTTCAAATTAGTCTCCAAAAAGTTTGCTGCGAGTTTATACTCCTGCCAATTTATCCATATTTTCAACAACATATAGAATATTATTAAACTTTCTGGCTTTTGACAGTCTGATAAGTGAAAAAATAGAATTTTGTTTTTCTGATTTATACCTACTTCATTGAATGGAGGTTGAGTGTTTTTCAGTCTTCACCTGTTTAATAAAAATTATTTTAATATGGATTTCTTGAAATATATATTTAAAATATTTTACATGGTTTTTTCACATTCTCATCTTCTGTAACATCTTTAATCCCTAATAAAACTATTAGTTTTTTACTAACGGACAAAAAAAGTTAGCGAAGAACCAGTTACATTAGTAAAACTAAAACTACAGGACATGTTTAAGGAAATGTGTTTATTTCCTGTAGTGTATGTACAGGAATCCAACTTAGACCAGTAGGCTGTTGATTCTCTCAAGTTCCCCTGGGAACTCAAATGAATGAAAGAGCCATATCTGGGGTCTTGTGCTCATGCTGCTCTTATGGGGCCTGAATAGCCTATATAATAATAGAGGTAATATGCAAAGTGACCATCACTCCAATACACAAGATGGCCACCCCCATGTGGTCAAAGATGGCCAGCAGGGAATGGCAGTTAGGAGAGACAAGGCCTGCAGTGGTGGGGGGGAGCCACCTGACTGGGCTGAAAGAGGAGGGCAGTTGGGAGGGGACCAGGCCTGCAGAGGAGGGCAGTTAGGGGCAATCAGGCCTTTAGGAGAGGGCAGTTGGGGGATCCAGGCTGGCAAATGAGGGCAGTTAGGGGCAATAGAGAGGGCAGTTGGAAGTGACCAGGCCTGCAGGAGAGGACAGTTAGGGGCGACCAGGCCTGCAGAGGAAGGCAGTTGGGGGGGACCAGGCCTGAAGGGGAGGGCTGTTAGGAGTGACCAGGCCAGCAGGGGAGGGCAGTTAGGGGCAATTAGGCTGACGGGGGTGCAGTTAGGCGTCAATCAGGCTGGCAGGCAGAAGCAGATAGGGGCAATCAGCCAGGCAGGCAAGTGGTTGGGTGCCAGCAGTTCTGGATTGTGAGAGGGATGTCCGACTGCCTATGGAATGGAGCCTAAATGAGCAGTAAGATATCCTTCAAGGGGTCCCTGATTGGAGAGGGTGCAGGGCAGGCTGAGGGACACACACACACACACCCCCGTGCATGAATTTTGTGCACTGGGCCTCTAGTATTTATATAGTTGGTTATGTCAAACATTTTGCTAATTAGTTTATACTGTTCGTGTATTATAACTACTGAGCTACTTCTAAACAAAGAACATTTAGTCTTATTTTTATCACAAACATTTTGATTATAAAAACAAAAGTGTATGCCGGGACTGGTTGGGCTCAGTGGATAGAGCGTCGGCCTGCGGACTGAAAGGTCCCCGGTTCAATTCCGGTCAAGGGCATGTACCTTGGTTGCGGGCACATCCCCAGTGGGGAGTGTGCAAGAGACAGCTGGTCGGTATTTCTCTCTCATCGACGTTTCTAACTCTGTCCCTCACAATTCCTCTCTATGTAAAATCAATAAAATATATATTTTTTAAAAAGTGTAATATATAGCAGTTATACATCTAAAAGGAAAAACAAAAAATTCGGGAACACTTTTTGTCATCAAGATGTTCCTCTTTATGGAAGTAGCAATGCAAGTTCACTTAATCTGTGTACCTCACAACAGTAAGAAATGCTCCCTTCTCCAGGGTCTCCTGAAGGTGCCCATCTGGTGGTACCAGCCTCCAGGGCCCAAGGGTCAGGGGAAGAGACATCTGGACCAGAGGAACGATACCCCTTCTCAAGGCGAGGTCTGGAGAGCTACTTCCACCCCAGGTGAGAATACAACAGAATCTCAGTGGCGAACGTGTCATAAGGAAAAGTAAAACAACTGCTTCTGCTCTGAAGGCAAATGACATTTCTTTTTTTAAATGTACGGTTGAAAATCAACCTATTTATTCCACAAGTCATTCCAAATCAGTAACACAATTCCCCTTTAATCAATGCTTTAAAACCAACCACTCGCTATAAGGTACATCATGTCAAAGTCTTTATATTGCTATATTTTTTCAAGGAATTTTTATGTCATCTCTCAGGGTCCTCATGGTAGACTAGGATATGGAGACAGCCGGCAGAGGCAGGGCTGGAGTCCGTCCCTATACCCTACACTGCACCTGCCCCACAGGAGCTGCCTCCAAGGCATTCCACCCCTCACCGCCTTCTGCTTTACTTCTAAGTGGCTTCTCCACAGACAGAACCTGGCACAGATCACAATCAGCAAGAAATGACAGCAGGGGTTTGGCTTTCCATTGTCAGTGCGTTTCAGCCTCGATATAAAGAAAACAACCATCAGCCTCCTTTGTGACTGTAGATATATTATTAGTTGCATCAACTCTTTATATTTTTTTAATCATGCTTTAGCTATTTAGCTTTTTTTGGGGGGTAGAGTATTATATACATATATTTCTTTTTTACCTTTTAAACCTCAGTGTTGAAACTACTAAAAATGAATCTACTTCTTCTCTCCTTACTCTTTGAAGTTAAGAATACATGTTTAGCCCAATAAAATATTTTCATGTTGAATTAGCTATGAAATTAGCATTAAGTTATTTTTTGGTTGAGTCACATGTGTTAACTAAATCTAAAAATGCTTTGGTAATAGAATAATAGTTACATATAGAGTTTGCTACAAACTTAAAAAGTGTGTTTAATCATTGAGTTTTCCCATGGAAGTGAAGAAACAGGATCATTATTTGATAGTCTGTCTTTATATAAAAACACATGAGAAATTTTTAATTCCTAGAGTTTCTAAAAAGTATCTAATAGATACTTAGCATGTGGTGTCCTTGAGGCACAAGAAAAACCATTCATGACGATTTTTGTTTTAATTTATTTACAGTTTAATTTTGTGGTATATTAGCAGTGTGCCAGCAATAAACTAAGATTTAACTAAAGCAAAAAGAGTTAAATTATTATGAATTTTAAATTTAGTTGCCAACTTTTATACCCAGGATTTTAGATGAGAGAGCGTTTTATATTCTCCTTTTTATAACAAATGTAGAAGGCTTTCTTAATTTTACAGTAAACATCAGCTATGTAACACCCACTCTGCCACACACTTGACAGACGATGAGAATGCAGGTCTGCCCTCTCCTGACTGTCATAGTCTTTATACACACCCAAGAAAACAGAAACAGGTGGGATAGGTGTGATGTGAGAAACAGGAATGTGACACAAAGAATAAGGGCAAAGTGTCCTACCAGCAAAGTCCTCTTTGAGGGAGGAGTATCAAAAAGAACATTCTAGTAGACACATGCATGAAATTCCTCAAACCCACACCAGTGAGAAAGCCGTGGTTCTGTGCCAGTAACTGCCTCCCTCCACAGGTAGAAGGCCTGCGTTGGAGGAACTCAGATGCTGAGTTAAAGGAATGGAATTTTATAAAAGTATTTACGACATCAAAAGCTGACATACCTATATTTTAGAAACATGAAACAAATGCATTTCAAGCTCCTTTCTGACATCTGGCTCTGTTCTCTGCAGGTGCTGCTGGCGATGTGCATGCAGATGGTCCCCTCCGCTACCTGGGAGACGTCGAAATCTCAGAAGATGCCACCTTGGCGGAGCTGAAGGCTCAGGTCAGACTTCTTCCTGCAGCATACCTGAGAGGGCGTCTGGCTGCTTCCAGTGAGATATTAATCTATTCTTCTATCTCCTTTTCCCTCACTTACAGTCTGTTCTGATATGGCATGTGTTACATGCCATGTTCAGTGGTAAGTACCCAGCAGGCGACACGCACACGGCTCAGCTCCCTGGTCTTCTTTTCTGCCGGCTGCCCTTGTGGCTCTCATTCCTCCTCTGACAGGCATGCTGTGCTTTCATCAAAATATATCCTCAGTGATTTGCAGCTTATGTTTATTTTTACCTTTTAGGTAAACATGATTTATTGAAACATTTGTAAAACGTTCAGTTTAACCTTTACATTGTTTTTGTATCATTGTGATCCATGTGTTATATGTTGTTAAAGAGGCAGTATCAATTTCCCAGGTCAGAATATCAGCTTTATGTCAGATTATAGTGTCTTCTTGTATGTTAATATTCATAGAGAAAGAGTGTTTTGTCCAAATGGAAACACTAAATTGAATACAACACTAAATGTTCAGAATCATCTTACTACTGTTGGACTGAAGTGAACATCCCTCCTTGCTCTCACAGGGAAAAATGTGGGGGCAGGTAATAAGAGTATCAGTCACTAACATTTGACCTGTGTGCCCTCAAAAAAAGCAGAGATGGTTTAATTATGAGAACAAGTAGGAAGAGACTTGTTTTCCTCATATTGGATGGAAAGATACAGAGTTGCTATTTTTAGGTTAAAATGGATTGATATTGGCCATTTTATATACTGCAACCTAAATAATATATTATCTACTCCTCTAGAATTAGTGCAGCAGTTTGGGGCTAGCAGTAGGATCCAAAGATTCTGAAATATTTCAGAATCAAAAGTTACTCTCTGGACAGTGCGGACACTGCTGGAGACTCACAGGGTGGAGTAGACAAGGCCCTTGCTTCCTCTGTAGTGACCTCTGCTCTTGAGAGTTAGACTCAACTAAAAATTTTAAAGTTTCAACATACTGATCAAAAGGGAGTTTTGGGTTCAGATTTAGAAATCAGAAACTCACTTACCTCTCGGCTGATTAGTTTGAATTCATTCTGGGAATGTTTCAGTAGGTAGTACCATTACTCAAGATACTCTTTCCCTCAGATGTTCTTGTTTCGTGCGTCATTTCTTCCTAAAGCAGTCTCTTTTTAAGAGTGCTTTTCCAAACCCTTGGACAAATTTCTACAAGTGCCTGTTTCTTTTCTAGGCTATGACGTTGCCCTCCTTGTTGGAGTTTTTCATCCGGTCCCCTGCCTTCCTCAGAGCCTGGACAGTGGACAGTAAACGCCTTGGGAGGCTTTTACGAAAAAACCAGCAGCAGCTCAGGTGGGTTCCTTGTTGAATTCAGTAACAAAGCCTGACCCTGGCAATTCCACCTGTCAACTGGGTGATGCTTCTTACCATAAATCAAACACTGGAACAGTTTCACTGTCCATATCTATCTAATAACATCATAATATGCAAACTGACCATCACACCAAGACACAAGATGACCGCCACAAGATGGCCAGCAGGAAAGGCAGGGGTGAGCAGGCCAGCTGAGGAGGGCAGTTGGGATGACTAGGACTCCAGGGGAGGGCAGGCCAGCAGGGGGGAGCAGTTTGGAGGTGGGGAGAACCAGGCTTGCAGGGGAGGGCAGTTGGGAGCCAGCAGTCCTGGATAGTGATAGGCATGTCCCACCGCCCTAAAGGGGTCCCAGATTGAATAGGGTGCAGGCTGGGCTGAGGGATACCCCCCTCCCGTGCATAAATTTCATGCACCTGGCCTCTAGTTAAGTATAAAATGTAGCTTCATGTATGTTTACTATGTTCCAGAGACTGAACAAAATCCTGAGTTTTTTCTTCTAGCTTTATGAAGCTGTAACTAATATAACATTGTGTAAGTTAAGGCATACAAAACGTTGATTTGATACACATACATTGCAAAACGATCACCACAATAGCACTAGCTGACACCTGCATCACATCACATAATTTCTTTTTCATGGTGAGAATGTTTAATATCTACTCTCTCAGCCCCTGGTAACCACTGTTCTGGTGTCTACTGCTATGAATTTGGCTTTTTCAGATTCTACATATAAATATCATAGTGTTTGTCTATCTGACTTAATCTTACTTATCATAATGACCTCAAGGTCCATCCATGTTGTTACAAACAATAGAATGTCTTTCTTTCTTGTGGCCGAATAATAGTCACACAAGTGCGTGTGTGTGTGCACACTTCATCTTTATCCATTCGTTTGTTGGTGGACACTTAGGTTGCTTCCATCTCTTAGCTGTTGTGAATAATGCTACAATGAACATGGGAGTGCAGGTATTTCTTTGATAGCCTTTCATTTCCTTTCTCATTGTTGTCCTGAAAAAGTAGAGTTGCTGGATCATTTGGTATGGTAGTTCTATTTTTAATTTTTTGAGGAACCTTCATGCTGTTTTTTCACAATGGATGTATCCATTTACATTCCCACCAGTAATACGCAAAGGTTCACTCTTTTCCACATCCTCACCAGTACTTCTCTCTTGGGGTTTTGTTTTTTTATTATTATTTGTTTATGATAACCATTCTAATAGGTGAGAGGTGAAAACTAGTTGTTTTGATTTTCATTTTCCTGATGACTAGTGTAGTGATTTTGAGCAACTTTCCATGTACCTATTGGCTATTAGTATATATTCTTTAGAAAAATGTCTATTCGTTTCCTCTAGTTTTTAAATCAAATTGAGGTTTTTGCTATTGAGTTGTATGGATTTTTTATATATTTTGGGTATTAACCCCTTACCAGGTATATAATTGGCAAATACTTTCTCTCAGTTCATAGATTCTCCCAGTCCTTTTTATTTTGTTGGTTTCCTTTGCTATGCAGAAGGTTTTTAGTTTAATATAGTCCACTTGTTTATTTTCATTTGTGTTGTCTTTGTTCTTAGTGAAATCCAAAGAATCATTGCCAAGACCAATGTCAGTGAACTTAGGAGCCTACCCTGTTATTTTTCTAGGAGTTTTATAGTTTCCAATCTTAGGTTCAAGTCTTTAATCTATTTTGAGTAGATTTTGTGTGTGATGTATTAAGACAGCAGTCCTTTTTTCCCAGCACCATTTATAGAAGAGAGTATTCTTTTTCCATTGTATTTTCTTGGTGCCTTTGTTGTAAGTTAATTGAGCATATATATGGGTTTATTTCTGGGGTCTCTGTTGTGTTCCATAAATCTGTGTGTTTTTATGCCAGTACCCGACTTTTACATAGCTTCATAATATAATTTCATACAAATTCCATACAAAATTTAGGATTGATTTTTCTATTTCTGTGAAAAATGCCATTGAGATTTTAATAGGGTTTGTATTTTACATGTAGATCATTTTAGGTAGTATGAACATTTTAACAATATTCCTCTAGGAATATCTTTCTATTTGTGTCTTGATCGATTTCCTTCATTAATGTCTTTTAATTTTCAGTGAACAGACCTTTCACCTTGGTTAAATGTATTCCTAAGTATTCCTTTTGATGCTGTTGTAAATGGAACTTTCTCTTTTTCTGATAGTTATTAGTGTATAAAATGTAGCTAGCTAATTTTTGTATATTGATTTTTGTATCCTGCAAGTTTATTAGTTTTAATAGGGTTGTTGTTGTTTTTTGTATTAGTGTTTAAGGTTTTCTAACTATAACCATGTCATCTGCAAATAGTTTTACTTCTTCCTCTTACCTATAGGACTTCTAATACTATACACATGTGTCAAACACAAGGCCCGCGGGCCAAATCCGTCCCGCCAGGCCTTGCAATGTGGCCCGCACCGCGCTGTCATCACTGCACTCCGCTGCGTTTCCATCACAATGACAGTTTATGACTGTTCAGTAAACCATTCGGCCCGCGATTTAGGCTGGATTTTAGATTTTGGCCCCTTCTCTGATTGAGTTCGACACCCCTACTAAGAGTGGCAAGAGCAAGCATCTTGTCTTGTTCTTGATCATAGAAGAAAAGCTTTTAGCTTTTCGCCACCGAGTATGTTAACTGTGGGCTTGTCATATATGACCTTTCTCATGTACATTTCCTCTATATACAGTTTGTTGAGTTTTTAACATGAAAATATGTTGAGCCGAAACTGGTTTGGCTCAGTGGATAGAGCATTGGCCTGCGAACTGAAAGGTCCCAGGTTCGATTCCGGTCAATGGCATGTACCTTGGTTGCGGGCACATCCACAGTAGGGGGTGTGCAAGAGGCAGCTGATTAATGTTTCTCTCTCATCGATGTTTCTAGCTTTCTATCCCTCTCTCTCTCTGTAAAAACTCAATAAAATATATTTTTTTTTAAAAAGAAAAGATGTTGAATTTAGTCAGATGTATTTTCCTACATCTCTTGAGGTGATCAGATTTTTATCCTTCATTCTGTTAATGTGGTATGTCACACTAGTTGATTTGCAGATATTTGACACAACCTTGTATCTCTAGCATAACTCCCATTTGGTCATGGTATATGATCCTTATAATGTATTGTTGAATTCAGTTTAATGTATTGTTGAATTCAGTTTGCTAATTTGAGGATTTTTGCATCTATGCTCCTGAGGGATATTAGCCTGTAATTTTCTTAGTGTCCTTGTCTGACTTTGAAATCAGTGTAGTGCTGCCCTCATAAAATAAGTTTGAATGAGTATTACTATTTTTTAAATATCTGGTAGAATTCATCAGTGAAAACCATTTGGTCCTAGACTTTTCTTGGTTGAGAGATTTGTGATTTTTTTATTCGATTTCCTTAGTAATAATTTGTATTTTCTTTTCTTTATGATTCATTCTTGTAGGTTACATGTTCCTAGGAATTTACCCATTTCTCCTAGGTTGTCCATTGTGTTGGAGTATAATTGTTCATAGTAGTATTTAAATTAATTATATATATGTGTGTGTGTGTGTGTGTGTGTGTGTATTGATTTCAGAGGAAGAGAGAAACATCAATGATGAGAATCATTGATCATCTGCCTCTTGCATGCCCCCTTGACTGAATTGAACCCAGAACCCTTCAGTCCACAGGCTGACATTCTATCCACTGAGCCAAACCTGCTAGGGCCATAGCTGTCTTAAATGTATAATATTTTGCTTATTAAGACAAAATTGACCAAAAAAATGTTTTAAAAAATTAAATGATGTCGCTCTCGTTTTATTATCAGGGACTATAAGTTGGGGAGGAGAACTGAGATCTGCTTAGAGCCCCTTCAGAAAGAAGAACACTTAAGGTAAGAATTACCTGTCTTATCACAGTGAGTGGCTTCTCAGTAGTATGGCAGATTAAAAAAGATTTTGTTCTGTGTCTATAACATGGAACCCATTTTCCATAAAAATGAGACTGTTCAGTAAGTCCAAGTGCACACTAAGCCCACTCGATCTTGAAGGACAAGCTGGATGCTTGTGTTCGCTCTGTTGATGTAGGTGGTGAGTCTGAGGTCAAACAGCCTTATAGCACCTCTCACTCTGGCCCTTCATTCTTTTTTCATCTGAATATCAAGCCTGACATATTGTCTCGCGCTACTAGGATATAATCTTTGCGAGAGTAAGCACTTTGTTTTTTGGTCATGGCTGTATCCCCAACATCTAGAACAGTGATTTTTGTCAAAGTGAAAAGTACTGTTTGAATAAAAAAGCATTCCAAAGTTTATTTTTTCACTATAGAAGAAACTTTTATATTGTACGCCATAAGCGTCTATAGACACAAGCTGCGGACCTTCCCCACACATGTCTATTTAAAAAAAAAAAAAAAGTTTTCCCTAAATCATTTTTCATTAGAAATTTCAGCTGACTCCTAGCCCACAGTTTCTTTCAAGGTACATGAATTCATGCACTAGGGCCCTGGTACAATCATAATCCTGGTTTCTATAGTTAAAAATATAAAGTTCTTTCATATCCCATTCTTTGCTTTACCTTTGCCTCGCTTCCTATCTCTATCTTTGAGCTAGTCTTCTAGGGTCTAACTAAACAGGTGTGGCTAGTTTTCTATCCTTAGCGTTACCACTTGGGTGCATGCCACTGTCTCCTCCCATCTGGATGGTTGCAGTCCTAACTGCTTTCTGTAGAGCCCATTCTATACCAAGTGCAGGATGAAGGGAATCAATGGGGGGGGAGGAAAGGAGACATCTGTAACATTTTCAATAATAAAGATAAATCAAAAAATAAAATGAAAATTATATTTTAAAAAAAAGAAATTTCAGCTGAAAATATTCAAGAACACTTGAATTGTAATATATTTGTATTCATTGCAAATTGATTTAATTAAATTCAAAATATCGTGGTGTGTGGGGATTTCCATTTTGGATGCGTGGCAATTAACTGAATACTAAGTCTTTTGTTAGCATCACCGATTAAGGTTCCTTCACCTGACATCCAGTAACTTTGATTGCACCCTTTCAGCCACTGACCTTTATGTGATGTGACTGTCTTAATACAAATTGTGTTACTAGTAGTTTCTGGGGGGATTTCTGGATCAAATGGTATGGACATTTTAAACCTTTTAAAATAAGTTATTAATTCCTTTACAGGTAAGTTATACCAGTTTATGTTCACAGTGTTTTGAGTATTTACTTCACCCTCAAACCAACATTGAATATTGTCATTGTTTAAATGTTTGCTTCATTGCTTTGATTGCTACTGAAATTGGGCATTTTTTTTCCAAAGGCTTGTAAGACATTTGTGAATTATTTCATACATTTTGCCTATTTTAATGGGGTCTAGTTTGTGTGAGCTCTTTCTGTGATGACATTTATCTGCCACGTCTGTTTTAGCAGGATCTTTTGTTTTCAATAAGCAAGATCCCTTTGAAGTGCTCTGCACTTACTTAGACCCCTAACCAGCCTCTGGGTCCTCATCGTCCTCTTCACCCCAGCCTTCTTGGCCGCTCCAGCATCTATGCTGACCTCCCCCACCCCTGCTCCCTCATGGAGAAGGTTCAGTCTCCTCCAATTACTCTTTCCTCCCATTGCATAACTCTTTCTTTTGGTAAAACACCAATATAACAGAAATAATCTTTAAAACCACTCCTGTCTCACCATCCTAAAAACAAGTGAAACAGTAGTTTTCATTCCCCCCTCCAGCTTCCAGTCTTGCCTGCGTTTTATTTCACGTGTATAACAGTCTCCATAGGTCTCTTCTACGCCCACCTTTTGGATTAATCTTTCCCTTCTTCCTGGCTACCCCACAGCAAGTCAGATTTTTAGACCGCCCAGGCAGTCATGTGGCTGGGACCCTCTCGTCTGGGAGGAGCTTCTTCCACCTTCAGTGTCTTCTGCCAGCTCAGAAGGGGAGCTTCACTCCGTCCTGGGTCAGGAGGAAAGGAAATGAGGGTTTAGTGGCACCTCTTAGAAAAATGAGAAGAGCTGGAGGGGAAGCTTCACACCTCACTCCCCCTCATATCGATGGTGCATTTCTCAATTTAAATCTGATGTTTTACTGTTTCTGGTGCAGCCCTCAGGACATGCTGCTGAGGACACAGATGCGCCTCCCTGGCAAACGGGCATATGCCCTGCCCGTGGACATGGTGTGGGACGCTGCCCGGGCCACTGCCAGCTCCCTGCGGCAACGAGTGGCTGACTTCTGTTCCCTTCCTGTAGAGAAGATCGAAATTGCCAAATACTTTCCTGACAAGTTTGAGTGGCTTCCAGTGTCCAGCTGGGTAAAGTGTGGTACTTCCTGAATAGCAACAGCTTAACTGCAAGTTTTCACAGATAGGGAATTTAGTAAGAATTTGAGGTGGTTTTCTTAATTTAAGATGCTTAATTTTTCTATAGAACCAGCAAATTACCAAGAGGAAAAAGAAGAAAAAGCAAGATAATTTGCAGGGGGCACCTTATTACTTGAAAGATGGAGATATTATTGGTATTAAGGTAAGTTGTTTGACAAAACACCAGGATTAGATGGTTTCGTAGAAATGATTTATGAAATCTTCATGGCACAGAACATGAAGGGGAGAGCAGACAGCTCCTCATGCAGTCCAGTGGGGCCTCGGCACCAAAACTGTGGGTCTGATGTGAGTAAATGCTTCTGAAGTTTTACACTAACAGTGTTGCTGCTGTAGGTGTGAGGAGGTACCTGCATTAGGTTAAAACATTTCCTTCCATTTCTAGTTTGCTGTTGTAAATCATTAAAATGGGTGTTACTAAGAAATATGTCCTTGACCTGGGCCATTCTTACATTCTTCCGACAAACTTGGTTTGTTGTCATGTGGTAATATTTTTTAATTAAGTGAACTACTTAATCACCACTTCTAGTCAATACTATTAGATAATTGACCCTCCTCCCCTAAAAAGTAAATAAAGCTGTTTACCTGCCATGTTTCTGCATAGGACATTAAAGAGACTACAAGATCAACATTCATAAAATTCTAAGGTAACTAGGAATACAGCCAACAAAAAGATTTGTAAGACCTCTCTGGAGAATATGACAAAATTTTGAGTGGTGGTAAAGCTTCAGTTTTTACTCCTGAGAGGCTTCCTTTCTAAGAACAGGATAGAGTTATCCCAGTGAAAACCCAGACGATTACATTAAAGAGGATAAACATGTGGATTGCCTGATTATTAGTTCTGATGATACCGACCCCCACAGACAGGGAATTGACAGGTATTTCAGATCTACATTAAAAATGGGTTATTCAGTAAGTGGTTCCATACAGAAAAAAATGCAGTCATAATTTTGTTTTTCATTAAGAGGGTCCCAAGCTTATGTCAGCCCCAAATCCCATAACATTTGTGCGCACCTCTGCTCACACCAAGCACAGGTCAGTGTAAAGGCTTATGTGTGAAAAGCAGTGATTTCCAGTCTTTAGAAGAATAGAGGTAAGAAACAAAATGCACAACTTCAAAGTAGTGCCAAAACCGGTTTGGCTCAGTGGTAGAGCGTCGGTCTGCGGACTGAAAGGTCCCGGGTTCGATTCCGGTCAGGGGCATGTGCCTTGGTTGCGGGCACATCCCCGGTGGGGGGTGTGCAGGAGGCAGCTGGTCGATGTTTCTCTCTCATCAATGTTTCTGGCTCTCTGTCCCTCTCTCCTCCTCTCTGTGGAAGATCAATAAAATATATTTTAAAAAAAACAAAACAAAACAAAAAAAAAACAACTTCAAAGTAGTGATTAAACTGACTACATCAAAAGAAACCATCATCAAAAGTCAAGTCACAAATAGGAAAAGATATACGCAACAATAGAATAAGGATCATTATCCAAATGTACTTCTACCAATCAATTTCAAAAAGATAACACAATCAGGGAGAAATGGGCAAAGATGAAATATACCTGGCAATTCTCAGAAAATTAAATGACCAATAAACAGATGAAAAGGTAGGCATCTTCCTGGCAACCAGGGAACTGCGAACCAGCAGTGATTGTGGCCAGACCCCCAGCACTGCCTCCACGGGTCCAGCCGCACTGGAAGTGGCGGGGCAGCACTCAGTTGGGGGCGAGGAGACACAAAAATGTCCACTGAAGCACTGTGTGACAGTGTGAATTGGGAAGACCTTAAAGGACCCTCAAAGGGGATAAAATGGGGGAAAATACTGCAATAGGTATTGAGCATAGCAGTTAAAATTTATAAACCAGAGCTGTGTACATCCAGGTGAACATATCTGGTGTAGAAAATGATGTCCCAGGATAGGCTTTCACAGAAAGTCTAAGCCGTGTAAATGCTGAGTCCGCCTCCTGTGCTGCCGTTGAGTGACAGTGGGGACAGGACACTAGCACCAGCGTGATGGTGGGCTTACCTGGAGCAGGGGCGGGGCATCAATCAAGTCTATGTCTTTTCCTTGGAAAACACAAAATGAAGCAAATATGGTAAAAGGTTAGCACAAATAATAGCTAACTTTCACTGACAGTTCTATTGGAGGCCAAGCACCATCCATGTACACTTTAACTCGCGTTTCCTCATGACAGCCAGGGGAGGGGTTAACTGTCACACTACCCTGGGGACATAGTGTCTCCCATTATCTCCGTATTTTCTCTCATTTATCAAGGTCACAATTTTACAAAAGCACATCATGTACAAGTTACTGGACTAGAGATTACATTATTTGCTGGGATCTTTTCTCCCGAGAGCAGAAGCAGACAGCCTTGCAGTTGTGTAGGTCCCAACTTAGGTGACCCAGTCAGCTCCCCCAGAGCCAGGCAGAATCGCCTTTCTCTGACCTATGCTATCCTCCAGGGTTATCTTCCTTGAGGTCAGCATTTTGATGGGTTCGCACAGGGTGGCCAGTATTTATGGTAAATAAATTCAGAACTAAAGCTGACACAAGTACTGGGGCGCTTGGTCCCTCAGGAGACCATACTGCGTGTCCTGCGTCTGTACCGCCCTGCCAGACGCTCCCAGGAAGTAAGCCGGGCGTGCCTTTCAGCAGCTCCAGTGGAGCTGGAGGGGTCGGGTGGACATGGCTGCCCACAGACTATCACGCAGGTGGCTCCACCCTGTTCTGGTGGGGCCTGTGCTGGGCTCACTCCAGGGGCGTTTTCAGTCAGAGGCAAAGGTCGGGTGGCTGCAAAGTCATTTCTCCCGCTCCGCCTGCCACTCAAGTCTGTCATCAGGCACTAGTGTTTACTGTCGGTTATTAGTCCAGTTTACGTCAAGGTGGACACAGCTTTATGTTGGTTTCAGTAATTTTCACAGAAATGTACATACTTGACTCAAATGCAGGCTAAACGATGTCTGAACACGTGGCTCCTTCCTTATTTTAAAATGCAGAATCTCCTGGTGGAAGATGACGGTGACTTCAGCACAGTCCGAGATGACATTGCGAGGGAGGACCCTGCTCTGGGGAAAAGGAAAAGGTAACGCGAGGTTCTCACTGTCTTACGGATGCCGAGGCCTGGACAGCTCGCTCTCCTCACTGAGAGCTCTGCCGAAGCCTCAGGTCTCAGTACAGGGCTGACGCTTTGGAGAAACTTTGTGTCCTTTAGAACATGAGCCAGGCCTGTGAGCCTGGGACAAAGATGCTCTCAGCCTCACCTTGAGGATGCAGCCAATTCATTTTTCATTTCCTGCACCTGCTTCCCCCCCATTTTGGGTCTTCCCTTCAGACACAGGTCTCAGTCACCTGAAAACAGGCATTCCCAATCACAAACCCACCAGCTGTCACCTGTCCCTGGTGGCTGCTCCCGAAGCTGCCTCACCTCACTGACCTCTTCCTGCCCAGCTCAGGCTCTTCCCACAGTCCCCCTGCCCTGCAGTCTCTCCTCCCACCCCACCCCCAAACTGGTTCCTTGCCCTGTGCACACTTACCCTTTCCTCTTCTGTGTAGTGGGCTGCTCCCTTTGAAACCCATATTTCAAACCCCAGTGCTTGGACCAGCTCACCACTGCATTACCACCTCCATGCAGACCACACCAGGGTGCCAGCCCTCCTCACTTGCTCCCACTTTGGTCTCCTGAAGTTATCCCACACCCCCGACCTGGGGGGACCCCGTGTCAGTGATGGAGTTGTTGACAGCCTCTGTCTCCCGCAGCCAGGAAGCGCTTCGTGTGCAGAGCAGCAGCGTTCCCTCCGGGGCGGGCACACCTGGCCGGCCCCACAGACCAGAAGCTTCCCTATCCATCCACGTGGGGAGTTTCAGATAGCGCCGGCACCACTGATGTCCCTGTGGGCTCAGGGCCTGGCCAGGAGCGGCTCTGCCCCTGCCAACTTCGCTCTGTGGTTCCGTGAGAGCAGGCCTGTAGGCTGCTTCCACTTTATTAGAGACGTTTGGTCTCAGGCCAGGCAAATGCACTTTCTCACCGGCCTGCACAGCATGGCCACCGAGGGACACATCCGGGCCGTGTCTTACAGGTGCCAGACGCACTGGGCCCAACCACCATGGTTACAAGAACATTTCCTAGTTCTGCACTGACTGCAGGCACACAAGGTTGGCCAGTGAGGTGCACAGTCCACTCTTCCCTCCCCTGTTGGGACAGCGTATTATCTGCACTCAGAACTTCCGAGAGCTCAGCATGCTGACGGGCTGGCCAGGCTGGAGCAGGACACGGGGAGTCTGTCTGTTCTGGTTCAAACCGTGTCATCTGTGATCAGAACGTTCCCGCTGTTGTGGCCACCCGAAGCCAGCGCACTGAGCTGATGGTTCTGAGAAACCTCTTCTGGAACAAAGGAACGTGTACCAGCTTCTCGCCCTTCAGCATGGCCAGCTGTGGATTTAAAAGGTGTGACTGGCACTTACGACAAATGCTGCATCTGTGTTACGAACCGACTGACACTTAGGACACAGACTATTCACTTTCTCAAACTCAGTCAAAAGTGGGATTCCTGAAAAGAAAGTAAATTCTTCACTTTTATGCCTCAACAAGGCTCAGTACGGTTATGATGTCACACAAATCTCTCATCAGCCCTTTATCACTGGCATTAAGATAGTACTTCCGTGTTCAGATGTGGGCGAGGTCTCAGCTGTCCCGCTTGGTGCAGGAGGTAGTAAGTGGACATTGGGTGGGATGAGCCTACTTTTGCTTCCTGTCCCCCTTCCAGAACCAGCTGGAACCCTCAGTCTCCTCCCTATTTGTCTGAGATTGTTGGGTCTTATACTGTGTGCTAATGTATAAGAAGTTGGAATTTCACTAGCAAATTGTGCCCATGTTCTCAAACGCTCGGCCCATCTCGGAATGTGCACATGGGTGGCAGCATGTTTGTGATGATCCCGAACTGTGAGTTCATGTGGCTTGGAGCCCAAACCTCAGTGCAAGCCCGCCTGTTCCTTTACTGTAACTCACAGGTCTTGCTGCACCCTTCATGCCATTATTTAGGTAATGAAATAATGTAATAACTGAAAGCTTTGCTTATGAGAAGCCAGAGGCCTCACTGGATGTGACTCACCAAGACAAGATGGGGATGGGTGGTTGTGCCTTAGGGTCCACAGTGAGCCGCTGGGGCTGCAGAGAGAGCTGTACAATTTATTAAAGAACAAAGTGTCTTCACGTCTTGTATCCACTTTAAGCCGACTGCTTCATGTTCCACTTGGACTTTTTTCCCCAAGTACACTTCAGATGCTAAATAAGCATGGTTTATATTTAGAAATGCTATATCAGGACCACAGTAGAAACAACAGAAGCATGTTTTGGTTTTAAGTTCAGATTCCTGGGAAAAACTGTTGCAGAAGCTGGCAGTGGTCTTTTCCTTCTAGGGAATAAAACTGGCCATGGGGCGCAGAAGACAGTGGCTTGCCCTGCCAAACGGGTTCCGGGATTCATTCCAGTAATCTGTAATTACGGCTTCCCGGGCATCGTGTCCCTCAGAACGGACTTCCTATGCAGTATCACAGGCCGTTCACCCATGGGGAGGGGACCCGGCAGCTCGTCTCATTCTGTTCTTCAGGGCAGTAATGCATGGCAGCCAAGTACATAACAAACTGTGTCCTGGACTCACGACCTTTCAAAGAGGAGAGTGAAGCAGTGAGATCCATGCAAGTCGGGAAGGAGAAATGTCTACATTCCCTCCAGCGCTCACCCCTCCCACCCAGGCACCGTGTGGCGCTGATCCAGCCCTCAGCCCAGCTGGCCTGAGCAGCAGCAGGACTCCTGGCTCAGGAACCTCAGAGCTCACAGCAGAGCTGCGGCAGCCATTCCAGGCCCTGGTGCCTTTCTCTCTGCTAGTTTCCACCTCCCAGAGGTTTCCCCAGGTGGTGAGATGCCACTAGCATCTCTAGACTGACATCCTCTCAGGCCTGCCTCATTCCAGGGCCTGTAAAAGTCCTGAGCCTGACACCCATGGGCTCAAAGTGGGTACCCTCCTCACTTGCTGTCACTTCAAATAAACGCAGAGGGAGAGCAAGACAGGTGAGGTGGGGTTGCCCACAAGAGAACCCAATACAAAAACGTCAAATGTGACAGCATCCACCTTGATGTTAACAGCTAGTCCACCTACCAGCGGACCACACATGTCCCTCTCCACAGGCAGCGTCTGCTCCCCACCCAGGTCTCGGGGGAGGGCGACAAGTCCTCTGGGGTGTAACACCTCAAGGTTCAGCCTACAGCTAAATGACATGTAAGCCCAGCCTGGAACCAAGTACACAGGGAGTGGGTATGGCCACAATGAAACCTCTTTTCCGAGAGACAGAAGACACCCAATGCAGCACTCACAAGCCCAAGTTGCTACACGATGGCACGAACTCCCTCCCACTTGTGAGGTGAGCCCTTGCGCAGCTGTGCTGGCCACCCTGTCCCGCTCCAGAAAGCCTCGCACATCCGCTGCCCCTGTGGGTACACTTTACATGGGTGCTGGGAGGACCTACCTCACACTTGGGCACTGCCTTCCAGAGGATGCTCATCCTGGAGCCCAAGGGACTGAAGTGCCTGGGAACCAAGTGAGCACAGGCTTTCATCTGCCAGCTTGGAGTCTGGTTGGCAACACCACTTCCTTAAAGGCTCAGAGACTTACGGTGGAATCTGCCTCTGAACGGGAGCCAGGGAGCCTTTACCTCCCAGCCAGCTGCTCGCCTCCCATGTGTCTACTACCTATTCATGCTTTTGTGATCAAAACTGAGGAGGCTAGGCACTCGCTCCTGACACATGCAGGTTCTAAGGCCAGCACGCTGGTGGGACTGGTGCAGTCAGAGCTGTCGCGCCTCCCCACCCCCACCCCCACCCATCCCACCTCCAACCTGTGTGGGCAGCTCCCCTGTGCAGCCCACCTCAGTGCTCTCAGGCCACGCCTCCACTGAGGCCTCCACACCGCAGACTGCCTAGATCTGCCCAGTCTGCCCAGAAGCTTTCTCTGCACCAATTCACACATCTCTTTAGGAGCCCCTGACCCCACACCTGCATAATCATTATAACCTGTATCTATATGCTTTTGCTTTTCTCATACAAAACCATCAACCTCGATACCCACTTCCATTCTCAAGCCATCCATAGCCCAAAGCTAGCTGCTGGAGGACCAGTCATCAAGTCCACCCTCCAGGCCAGCAGCAGGAGAGGCATGCTCCCTTGTTTTTAAGGGAACTTTCTGGAAATCCCAGTAAATACTGAATCTTTTTGACCAAAAGTAAGTCACATCAGTCAATGTGCAGAGGAGATGTGGTCACAGCTGCAGGGCATATTTGAGCACAGCCCCCACCCCACCCCCACGGTGCAGGAGGGAAAGGAGTTTGCAGGCACAGGCAGTGGCTTCCACAAAAGCTAAGAATCTTAAGAATACTCAAAATGAGATTACACAGCACAGGGCCAGCACTAGGGTACGGTGAGACCTTGGGCACAGAATGTAAAGGCACCCAAAAGCTCAGTAGCAAGCGAGGTCCATTTTCAATACAATACTTTTGGAAATCAAAGTCAATGCAGAAGAGCCCACAACAAACAAATTCAACTTATTTTTTAGAGCAGCTGAAAAATGTAATTCTGATGCAGTTTGGAAGGATTTTGGCAACCAACATTCTATGTCAAAGTACAAGAAATGAGGACAAGAAATCCGACAATGAAGAGATCCAAAACAGGCTTTTTTTATTTACACACAGAACCACTTATTTACAACCCCCGACATGGACTATGTACATAGCAACACAGCAGGCATATGCTCCACAGTGAGTGCTGTATAAATTAAGATCATAAATATGAGGGTGAGCCCCACCCAAGAACACAGAACCCTTTCTCCCAGACTCTCCGGGGATCTTCGTCCTGCCCCACGCTGACAGGCACCCCACCCCAGGGCACAGCTGGGTGCTGGAGTGGGCAGAGGCACAGCCCCACGTGCAACAACAAAGATGGCACAGGAACGGACGCCCGCCCTTCACTGACGTCATGCAAAACTCACGTCCCTTCCTTTTGCTTCTGATGAGAATTATAAAAATGGCTTTTATGTAAACAGTGTTGCTTTAGTCACTGACAACATATTAATCTTAAATGCCACACACGACCCAAACCTAAGCCTTTCCCACGGGTGGGCACTGAGGGCACGGGATGGCCCCGGGGCCACTTCCCCTGCACCTCCTCACCGAGCTCCAGCCTGTCCAGTCCCATCCAGACGCCCTCAGAATCCAGGTGCCCACCTCGAACAGGGCAGCGCCCTTCTGGGACCCCAAGATTTCTCCTTTCAAACAAGTGACCTCTCAGGGGCTAGAGTCTCTCTCTTCACCTTCCCCCACTTAAACAGCTGTTCAGACGGGGAAAAGAATCACCACTGCCTGGTCTCACACACAATGAGGGCATGTGCAGAACACGGGGCTCTCACTCCAACCCCTGCCGAGACGCCACATGTGAACACAGGAGTGGGCACCCAGAAGAACCACCAGTGGGAGCACCCCCAAACCAGAGACGGGTGCCTGGTCATGCCCAAGGGGGACCCACTATCCACACTGGTCAGAGGGGTCGGCAAAGTGAGTGGCAGGTAAATGCTGTTCAGCTGTGACTCTCCAAGGGGCCCCTATGGGTGACTCTGGACAGCGCCCTGAGGCCTCATGCCCAGGCCCCTCACAAAGTCACCCTCCCCTTTGGGATGCGGGACCCTGGCACCCAAGGGGGTTGGGGTCCAGGGTGGAAGAGAGCCCTGTAAGGTGTGACTGACTGTCTCTGAGGGGCAGCCAGGGGCAAGTCAAAGGCAGTGATGACTTGCAGGGAGCTACACAGGCACCGGCACCTCCAGGGACCTGGGGCCTGGCAGCACCATCCGAGAAGCCACCACAGGTCAGAGACTCTCAGGACAGAACGGACATGCTGTCTCCAGAGGAATACTGACCCTCCACTGCGGGGAGGCCACCAGCCATTGGGCGCTCCTGGCCTCAGACAGCACCGAGGCTACTGCGTCCTGGGCACACAGGACCATGTCCCCACGCCCGCAGCTCAGGAGGGACCCGAGACATACGGGCCAGGGGTTCATCGGCCCTAGAACGTGGCTACGTTTACCAGCTCCAGGAGCAGCGAGTTTTCCTTTCTCTTCACGTCACATTTAAATGAACAGGACTGGAAACACATCCATGGTGCCTACGAACCAGGGAAGGCAGGACCTCACAATAAACAGGGACATCTGCAGTGAGTGGCCGACGGGTCCGGGCCCTGACTCCGGAGAGCCTGCTGGGAGACGGTGCCTGACAATGCGCTATGAAAGGGCAGAGAGAAGCCCGGACACTGGTGTGCGGCCAACCAGGCTGTTTCTGCCGGATGCCGGGGGCCGGGGAGCAGAGAGGTGGCGGTCACCCCATACACCACTGGGTTAGATGGTGCGTGTCCAAAGGTAGCCATGTTGGTGTGCCCGAGACCCTGGAACCGGCTGGAACAGTGTCCGAGAGGCTTCCCGCCACGAGCACAGGGCGTAGAAATAGCACCATGAGAAGGGCCCAGGACGGGCCCCGCCTCAGTCGCAGGAGGAATGGAGGACACAGGCCGAGAGGGCAGAGGCTAGGCTTCGGTGGCAGGGGGGCTGCGGCTCAGCTCCTTGATGCCACACAGGATCCTCTTCATGTGGCCCACCTTGGTCACGCCGAGGTCCTGCAACGAGAGCACAGCCACCCTGATGCCCGGCAGCAAGCCAGGCCACGGGCACCAGCATGGGCTGCCCAGCAGCGCTGCACACAAATGAGGGGAATGACGGTGACGCCAGATGGGCAGGAACGGCATAAGAAGTGACAAGGGTGCATAGCTGCGTCCACACCCCTCCTTAATCCAGTCGCTAACACTGCTGCGGGGACATCACACAAGACAGACCACACACAACCAGCAGCAAGTGGAATCCGCCCTCCCCAAGCACCACTGCCCAGGACCTGGCCCGAGACCACACCCTGAGCTGGGCCAGGTGCCCCTCTCCTGTCCCTCCCGAGGTGAGGCAGCGCCCGGCCTGCAATGTAAGCCGTGCACGTGGACACAGGGGAGGAGGGCTGCCCTGGAGAAGCCGCCAGGCTCCCAGCAGCTAACGGTCTCCCTGACTCTAACTGACTGTGTCACCACGAGAGGAACCCCTTGTGTTCCGAGTCCTCCACCACAGGGAGCTCTTCAGTGACAACAGTTCATCCACCTGGGCCCAGCAGAGCCAGGCACCCCTGCCCGTCTGCTCTGGCTCCTTCTGGTTGTGGTTAGTGAAAAATCACTGCATGGGGCACCATACATGTCACCCCAAGTGTTCACGTCACCCCAAGTCACACACGTTACTCCGAGTCACACACGTCACCCTGCATTGTAAACAAAGGGCCAAGAAGAACGGTAAAGAGCATCCTGATTCTGGGGCGTGGCAGCTCAGAGGGAGGGGACAGACGGAGCTGCGGGCAAGCCCAGGTGTGGAAGTACCTTGAGGTCTCTCCGCTCCAGGTGCAGGAGCTCGGAGCCCCGGATGTCGTGCCGAGTGAAGATGTCCTTATACTCACAGAGACTGAGGTGCTCCAGCCAGGCAGCAACCTCCTCTGTCCCCCAGAGGTGAACTGTCGGAGACGGAAAAGCAGGAGAGCAGTGAGTGCCAGCGCCCAGCACCAGGCAGGCAGCAGCGAGCACCCGAGATGCCCCAGGCACCCCAGCAGCAGGCCCCCTGAAACAGCACAGCAGCCAGCACCCACAACGCCCCAGCGACTGGCACTGCCCTGAGCTGTGCAGAAAGGGGTGCAGCTGCGGCAGAAGCCGGTATCTGTCCCTGCAGCCCTGTCCCCATGTCCCCAGGGGGGTCAGAGGCATCAAATGGAGGGGAAGGTGGGTCTGCTGTGCAGCTGAGCCAGCTCTCCTTCCACCTCCTCGAGCAGTTTCAGCCGCTCACCTCCTGGCTCATAAACTTTTGCATCACACCAAAAAGTATATATTTTGCCAATCTAACAAAAAAAAAACAAATAGGTATAATTTTGATTCACTCATTTTGGATGGCTATAGTTTTGTTGGCTATTTTTTTTTTTTAATTTGACAATCTAAGGCAGTGATCAGCAAACCGTGGCTTACGAGCTGCATGCGGCTCTTTGGCCCCTTGAGTGTTCTAATGCCACTTCTTCAAAATAGACTCGCTCAGGCCGAAAACCGACTTCTGCACATGGGCCATGGAGTTTGAATTGCATTGTATTGTATGCGCCCACACGTGGTATTTTGTGAAAGAGCCACATTCAAGAAGCCAAAAAGCCGCATGTGGCTCGCGAGCCGCGGTTTGCCGACCACTGATCTGAGGGAAAAGAATGTTTTAAACATTCTTGCAGCACACCGGTTGAAAAATCACTGTTCTAAGAGGGTTCATTTCAGTTCTGGCCACAGCAGGAAGGGAGACACACACAGAGAGCTCATGTAGTCACAGCCACAATCATTAAAAGAAACCAAATTTCTGGACAAACATGCGAAGAAGAATAGTAATCAAATGGCACAGCCCCAGCGGGCACCAATGCCGCCCAAGCCCAGGCCGGGCCCTGGCCCCCGAGGGCGCTGGGCACAGCTTGGTCAGGGCCAACTCTTCAGACAGAGGAGACTTTAAGCTCCAATTTGCTGACTCCCTGAGGTGCAGGAGTCTTGATCAGTGAACCGACTGAAAGGTAATCAGCAGCCCGACAGAGGAAGCAGGCCTGAGTGGGAGCTCTATGTCTCTGTCTTGTCACCTCTGCTGTCTTCCCACCCTGAACCCCCAATCCAGGGCAGGCAGGTGGTTCAGGAGTCAGTCACCTAGTCTACATGGGGAACAAGTTCAGGGCAGGAAATGACCACGGTCAGCACCCAACACAGAGGGGAAAGCAAGGCACAGTTCTGTAGCTGCAGACAGACGATCCTGCAGGCCACATGGGGGTGGGAGGGAAGGGGGCTCAGCCTGGGAAATTTGGGAAAGAGCCACGGACCACGGAAGAAAGGGGAGGCCAGGAGGCGCACAGAGCGGCGCACACAGCCAGAGGAGGGAGGCAGGTACCCGGGGCTCCCAGGCTGCTGTGGGCATCTCTGTTCTTGCTGTTTTTCTCCTTCTTAAACTTGGTCACCAGGCGAAATTTCCCGCTGCGGCTGCGTTTGGTAAGATCCATCACGTTCTGTGTGGAAAAGGAGAAACACTGAGAATCAGACCCCAGGGCACCAAGCCCCGAGTCACACCTGGATCCGAGAGGCGGCGGGGCCAAAAGATGCTTTGTTCCAAATTTACTTCTTCTTGTGTTTTTCCTTGATTTTTAGTCTCATGTTTATTGTTAATTTTTAATGCCTTTTAAAAGTGGTTTCACGGTGATCACTGTATTTTCATTTTATACCATGCATTTCCCATGTGATTAAGAAGCTTTGTAAATATTATTTAAATATCAGTACCATTATAGGAAGATTATTAAATAGGTTACTTAGCCAATCTGCTAGTGCTTCCCCAGGCTGATGTCCCCCGCCCCGAGGTCTGCAGCTACAGAACTGTGCCTTGCTTTCTCATCAGTGTCACGCACAACTTCCTAAATAAAGCTTTTCCTGCACTTTGCATTCTTCCCTTGGATTTACTCCCGGAGGCAGACTGTCAAGGAGGGGAGCAAGCGTGACACTGGCTGACGCCCCCCTGGACAGCCACAGGCCCAGAGCGCACTCCAGGCCGGGCAGAGCCAGCACTGCCCAGCGTCCCCTCACCCAACCTTCCTTCCCGACCGGTCCCTCCGTGCACACAGACGCCTGTGTTTCAGGCTGTGTGTCGCTGGCTGCTCTCGCAAATAAAGCCGAGATGCCTCTTCCCGGGCTGTGCCCCTGTCTTCTGCCCCCGCAGCCTGGAATCCCCCCAGGACCCAGCCCCCCAGCCCCACAGAGACCCTCACGGTTAGACTTGGCAGCTTATGACAGGGACATTTGGTCACGCTGAGAAAAACTGCATAGGGCTGTTCACTGGTCCTACACCACCTAGAATTTGGAGATGACAAGCACCTCGGTGGGAAGGTGCCGTGCAGCCGCTCCCTCTAACCTCCCTGCTCGCCCTCAGAGTCACCTTCACGGACTTCTTTTAAGAAGTTTTAAGTCCTCTACTAGGAAAGAGATCTCACAAAAATATTTTCTCACTGACCGCTCAAGAAATTTATGCTTAACAAACTCCTACTCAGCAAAACTGTCCATCATTGACTCTAACAGCTGCTTTGCTAGACCTTCAGCTCCCAGGCCACCAGCCCGGCCGTCTGTCCCCACACAGGCTGGCACCCACCTCGCACTTCACAGCGCTTCCCGCAGGAGCCACACAAAATCCTGTCCCCGTGTTTATATAATGTTTTGTTAATGAAAATGAGCATTACATTTATTTCTAACTTTTCATATGGATATGTTCATCCATTCATAAGACAGGAGACCAGTAGAATGAGGCTGATTATCATGTTATCTTCCTTTGTCTCCCAAGCCTGTTGTTTTTTTTAAATATATTTTATTGATTTTTTTACAGAGAGGGATAGAGAGTTAGAAACATTGATGAGAGAGAATCATCTATCAGCTACCTCTTGCACACCCCCTACTGGGTACATGCCCTTGACCAGAATCGAACCTGGGACCTTTCAGGCCGCAGGCCGACGCTCTATCCACTTAGCCAAACTGGTTTCGGCACCAGCCTGTTATTTTTTATTAAAATACATATATATATGGAATGCTTCACAAATTTGCATGTCATCCTTGCCCAGGGGTCATGCCAATCTTCTCTGTACCGTTCCAATTTTAGTATATGTGCTGCCAAAGCGAGCACTGCCCAGCCTTTTAAAATAAACACATTTCAGATAAATTATTCCACCAAGACTACTTCATAAGCAACTCTGAGACAATCCTCTCTTTTTTAAACACAATCACAGCACAGTTATCACGCGAAACCACCACCACCAATCCATGTATAGCTAATTGAGTTCTTTTTGTAAGCAATCTCCCCAAATGCTTCAAGGTCAGTCTGTCCTCAGTGCACTGCTCTGAACAGGACCCAGTCCAGGTCCTCAAGCAACCTCAGCCTCTCGCCCCTCCTTCACCCACCAACAAGCCATCTGTCCTGTAAGAGCGATGGCTCCCTGCTCCTCCCCACGGCGCAAGGCCGCTGAGGACATGGACACTTTGGGCAAGAGGAGGTCACTGGCTTAGCCCACCCCTCTCTTCCAAGTGGACACTCCCAGCCACTGATGACCCAGTACACCAGTACTTGCCCAGGGGACACAAAATGACCTTTTAATCCTGATGCACTTTCCAGCTAGAGTTCTTTTAAAAATCATTTCTTTCATCAATTATTTGGTTTAAAGAAATTATTTGTATAAATCTACTGTTAACACTGGAGTTTGGAATCAATGTGCCAATTTTAAAAAACATAATAAACAAAGTTCTGGACATTTGTTTCACAATACTGTGAATACAGTTAACACTAAAATTAGACAGGACAGAAACTGGTACCTTTTATGTTTCTCCCCACAATTTAAAAAAAATGAACTGGGACAATGTCCATCTTTTTCCAGCTTTAATGCTGCTTCTTACATATTCCTTGGCATTTTCCCCTTGGAGGCAGTATTTAGATTATTTTTCAAGTTGTTCTGTGGCTATTCTTTTTTAAATGTCTTCAGATTTCAATTTCTATAGTTTAAATTTTTCCTGAAAAAAATCAAGTTTCATTGAAATTTTAAAATTACCATTTCTTTGAATATAACTTACTTTATTTTCTTGTGATTTATTACACATTCCCTTCATTACTGCATTCTGTTCATTTTTCTTTGATTATATTTGCCAGAGAGTAGTATGACTTATTTTACTTTTCCTAAAACTCATAGATTTACCTTTTTTTCTTTCAAGTAAATGACTTTCCTATTTTTATGTTAGTAGAAATGCCACCATCCCCTCCAGGGTTTCTTGGGGCCCCTGCACTTCACCCCTATCTCCTCCCTCGCAGGGGCAGATGGAGCAGGAGCCGGCAGAGGGAGCACCGAGTGGTAAGGAGGCCAGCGGGGGAGGCACAGGGCTGTTCCGAGGACATGTGGCTGCAACTTCTGGCCTCAAGTTCCATCAGATGAAGGCATCCTGCATTGCATGCTGCCCTGAGTGCAGAGCGTGTCTGGTTTGTAACTAAAACCTGATCTTCGGCTCCACCTACCTGTACTACTTCCCACCGACTCCTGCGAGAACTAACACCTGCGCTGTCCCTCCAGCCCATGTCCGGGAACCTAGAAACCGGGGTGGCTCTAGACATGGCTCATAGGATCAGGAGGTCAGCCACCCAGGGACGACCTGTGGTGGTTTGTGTTTGTTTCTGTGGCGGCTGCACAGCCCTTGGTGATATTTGTTTTGAAAATATTCTTAGGTTTGAAGCATTGGAGCCACAATCCCTGTGACATGGGCTTTCCGTACCAAGACCAGACCAGACAGTCCCAAATGAAGCAGGTGTGAGCCCCCCACGGCAGCAGCTGCTGCTCTGCCCATGAACTGAAGACAAGACAAGCCCAGCCCTCCATTCTCCGTCTTCAGAGGAAATCTGTGTGCAGGGCAGGACGGAGGGGCACAATTTCCACTGAGTTAGGCTTTCTGTGCTGCTCAGTGTTGGTGCCCAGGAGTTACGTTGTGGGATGTCACAAGGTGAACTCGCTCCTTGACCACGCTGTTCACTCTCCCTGAGAGGAAGGCAGCCTAGGGCTTGCCTTTATCCAACGCTGCCCACAAAAATGGCCATTCGGCAAGCACCTGCCTGGGCTCCTCTGCCTGCTCTACGGAGGTGACTGCATCCCAGGGTGCAATGTGGTCCGGTCTGTCTACATCTAGAATCTGTGCCAAGTGGGGGGGGGTCTCTAAATGCGTGAAGAAAAGTGTGATATAAGTCAAACTCACCAACTCTGTCACTGTCAAAAACAAACCTCCAAAAAGCTGCCATTTAAAGGCCCCATGTGTCCCCACAGGAGAGGAAACAGTGGGTGGGGCTCAGCCTGCTTTCTACCCACTTCCTGGTCAGCAGGCAGTTCTGCTTCCAAGGGCAACACATGCCCAGTCACCAAGAGTCGTTCTCATACCACCCCCTACTCCTTCCTCCCGCCAGCCTCTCCCCAAGACATTTGACTAGAGGAAGATTCAAGACAGACTGACATCACCTTGGCCCCGAAGGCACAGAGCACACTCTCTACAGGCAGCAAAGGGCGGGCCGCCGCACCTGGGATGCCACCTACCTCTTCATCACTGGGCTCCAGGGGCTGGCACAGCCAGGGGGTGTCCACCAGCTTCCTGAGCTGTCGGTCCATCTCGGCAAGAGCAGCCCCCAGCCGCTCCTTCTGAGGGGGGTCCAGCTGCTGCTCCCGCATGGGAAAGAGAGACGCGCTCATTACTAGCAGTGAGAGCTGGGGCACAGCAGTCCCAGCGCTGAGCTCCACTCAGAGGTCCTCCTCCACCTCCCCTTCTGAGGAGCGTTGGGGGAGAGAATTAAACTCTCCTTCATAAACAGCGGAGGAAACCTCGCCTGCCGGACAGCCACACTCTCAGGGCTGACACTTCGTCGGCCTCCTATCCAAAGGGACAGGACCAGCCTGCTGGCACCAGCTGGAGATGCCGTTCCATTCCGGGACAGTGCGGCACTTCGGAGGGAAGAGCAGGGGGTACAAAAACTAGACTTTTGGGGCCTTTCTCCAGTCGTGTGACTTTTAGCAAGTTGTTTTGCCTCCTTGGCCTTCCAAGTCCTCGTTTTTTAAAACAAGAAGGTTGGCCAGGCCATCCCCCAGCTCTCCCTATTTTAGCTCCTGTGACCCAGTAACTCCCCACCCAGAGTGCTTCCCCAGAGCTGCCGCTTCAGCCAGGTGTGTAAGGGCTGAGTGAGGATGGGCAGTGAGCTCGGGTGCCTATCAGGGCCCAGCACGATGGCTGCCAACTGTCTAAGGGAGAATTCTGTCTACGATGACAAAGGCGGTCACATGTGCAGCAATCTGACATGCTAGGGATGGTGTGGCTGAGGTGTGGCCAGAAGAGTATGCGCCCCAACCACATGGTCACATCACATGACCTCTGAGGCCCCTCCCAACAATGAGTCTAGATTCTTAAAACCAGAAAATCTGGACTGAAATGTGCAACAATGGCCACATCCCACAGCAAGAGCCCGGCCCCCCAGCTCACCAGGGCCATCTTCCCGGACAGCAGCAGCTCTGTCTCGCTGCGCAGGGCCTTCATGTTGTTCACCATCTCCAGGACAAAGCCGCAGTTCAGCCCCTGAGAAGAACCAGGGCAGACACCATGGAGGAGGCCCGAGGGCTACACATGCCCAGAGGAGCAAGGCTGGGGAAGGGCAGGTACCTCCGTGGCTCTGGGCTTGCTGTACACGCGGTCCATGGACTTGGAGCTGGCGTTGACAGCGTGGGCAAGTTCCTGCTCCATGTCTCTGTGGGACTGAGCTATCTCTCGGATGCTAGAGAAAACGAAAACACCACACATCAGAGCAGACGAAGGGTGGTCTAAAGTGGAAGCAGTAAGCGCTCTGTTCCTAGGAGTCCAGGACAGCTGTGCAGGTCTGTAAGCTGGCTCTGAAAACACCCATGGGTTTCAAACTTCCATCTATGTAAACTCAGAGGATCGGTAGAAATAAATCAAAGCCAAGGGCAGGCAGAAACCCTGCTGGGCTGCGTGAAGGGTCTGGGAGGAGGAACTCAACCCATGCATGCCAGCAATGGACATGGAGCCCTGGTGCTCCAGGGGGCGGGAACTGACCTGTGGATAAGGGCTCCCGCCGCCTGCCCAAACTGGTCCATCTGGGTGGCCTCTTCCTCAGACAGGATCCCCAGGTGCAGGGAGAAAGATGGCGGGCGAGGCAGTTCGCACTTCTGCTTGTCTTCCCAGGACTTCAGCGTGTTCTCAAATGCCTAGGGCACAAGAACCTAGAGTTACACTTTCTCCTGCCCTCAAGAGGTGAGCACGTCTCTACCAATGACAGACACACCTGACATGATAGAGGCTACGGGAGAGGGAGAGGCAGGCTCTTCTATACTGGGGAAGAGAAACGGTACTAGGAACTCCTATACCATTGGCTTAATGAATAACTACCTAGAACTAAACATTAAAAACCCCCGAGTCTTCTCACAGAAGCAGCACAGGTGTGCCTGCAGGTGAGCCCTGGCCCCGAAGGCAGCCCTCTTACCCTGTCTCGGGTGAGCATCTGGGCCCGGTTCTTGTGAATAATCCGAATGTATCCGGGAGGTTGGACCCAGGCCTCTCCGTCCACCTGCACAGGCACGCCCTCCTCGCCCAGGATGGAAATCTTCACCGTGCGACACTGAGCAAACACCACAGCGTTATCATGCACCGAGCTCACCGAGGAGCCGCACAGCCACTGAGCCCAGCAGAAACCTTCCTGCCCCACACCCTGCACAGGCAGCTGCCCTCTGGGGCGGCCGACACACTTACAGCCAAGCCTGCGGTCAGAGCATCCCTGTCCAGATCGAAGCTCATGGAGCCTTAGGGTCTGTGCCCTGCCCCCACTGTGCCCTGGCCCAGCACATCTGTGATCCCAGAGGAAATCTCAGTGATCAGACAAATGCCAGGCCGAGGTCGGGACTCATGGCTTCCAAGAGCCACTGGATCCCTGAGCACATGCGAACAAAGAACAGAGCCAACAGCCAACAAGGGGTAAGGATGCACTGTTCCTCTTTCCAACAAAAATGCAGTCAAAGATTTAAAATAGTGAAATCCCAGCAGCCTACTGTGGGAACAGATGGGACAACACAGCCTGCGGTTCAAGTCAGCTCCCACCCAGGTTACTGTGCATAAATAAAAGCACCACCCTCCCTCACCCCACAGACTGACAGACCCTTCCCCACCCGTCACCAGAAATAAGTAATGGGGGAGCCCAGAAGCTGCATTCCCTCCCCCGCGGGGCCTCAGAGCAGCTCGGCGAGGCTGCACGTTTTCCACCGGCCGTATATGCTCGGCCTGTGTTCCCAAGCACAAGCTGCTACTTCTGAAAGTCCAGGCCAAGCCCGTCTCATCTCATCCCACCTCAGCACGAGGGGCAGAACAGGGGGCACCTCCAGAAAAAGTCAGGGCAGGGAGCTCAGGCTGGGTGCTAATTGGCCCCAATTTCAGCACCCATTCTCCTGGGCTCTGCACCAGGACACATGTATTGGGGAGAGTGCAATGTCAAGACTGGTTCTGGGCCAGGTCCTGCTCTCCCTGAGACCACCTCCCCGGCTCTCCCTGCCTCCAGGACCACAGCCAGTACCTGGGCAATCCGGTGATGCTGCAACTTAATGACCCGAGAGACAGCCATCTGCATACTGCCAAACACAGCTACCACCTCCAAGATCTTATCATCAAAGGACGGAGCTGCGAAAGTCTGAAAGGTGGAGGCAGAGCTGACGTGGGGTCCCACTTCTTGAACACACACCACATACTTCTCCCTGTGAGGGCTGCTGCACTGGTAAAAGCAGACAGGCCCTTACAAGGAGGTGATGCAGCCTAACTGAAGAGGCAGCTACAGTATGAACCTGTTACTAAGATCCAGAAACCAAGCTGCCTAGGATCAAATCAGGATCTGCCAGTTACTAGCCTTGTGACCCTGACAAGTCACTTCATTACCCTGTTCCTCAGTTTCCTCATCTGTAAAGTGGGATAATACTGGTACATGCCTCAAGGTGTTGTTACGAGGACTGACAGAGGAGTGACCAGTACATCTGAAGTGTCCAATTAGTGTTAACTATTTTTACTAGCTCTCATGTACCAAGGAAGCCATGCCCCTGGTTAAAACCTACCACTGCCTCCCAGAGTTCTCAGCATAAATTCCAAAGTTATCCCCTGGCTTACGCAGCCCTGTATGAACTCTAACTTCTCTGCACCCCACCCGCTGCACAGTGCCATCAGACAACTTCTGCCCCATATCATTATCTAACCACTAAGCCTACCATCTGCTGCTTCCTCTGTGTGGAACAGCCTCCTTCCTCTTCTTCCCTACCCCAACACTACACCTGACCTGGCTGACCCCAAATCATTCTTTGGGCCTCAACATGGATGTCCCCTCCTCCTAGAAGCCTTCCCAGATCGCCACCAATCAGGGTTGGGTCCAGTTTCTGCATCACACCTATGCCTCTGGCCACATCTTTTCTACTCAGCCTCCCTTCTTATGAGCAGGAGACACCACCTGTCTTGCTCTCCACGGTACCCGTCCTGCCAGTACAAGAGAGGTGGGGTGCATTCACCCCTCTGCATCACTGAAGAGCACCCCGAGTGCTGATGCTCTATCAGGGCCCCAAGTGCTAGTGCTCCTTGAAGGGGCTGCCTCTCTAGTCACTGCCCTCTCTGCCCCCAAGCTCAGGCCCATGCTACCCAAGAAACCCTGCACGTACATCATCTTCCTTGGTGCCTCCCCAGAAGTTGGTCCCTCCAGCATAGCTGGGAATATTGAGAACAGCAATTCCTTGGAGACTGGGGAGCGGGATGGGCCGCCCATCACACTGCACAGTGAAGAAGAAGGACAAGGAAAGGAGAGATTCAGGCATCAACCAGTTCTTCCTCACTGGCAACCCGCCCAAGGGCCGAGGAGGCCTGCAGTGAGCGGCTTCCCTCCCACCGAGGGGTCTGCAGGGAGCAGCGCTAACAGGAGGCCCTCCAGCTCACCTCCAGCAGGACCTTTTGCTCCAGGTTCTTGTAGGTCCTGTGCAGCAGCTCTTTGGTCCCAAGCACCCCATACCACATCATGTTCTTGGTTCGGCTCCTGGAGAAGGAATCACAGAATGGACGGGGGCCGTGACTTTCTTTCTAGTTAACTATAGTCATTGCTAAAAAAAAGTATGGGGTGGCATCAGATCACAAAAGGGTGAGACTCTGCGAGTCCCTGCGACAGAGACCCCCTGCTAGTATCTATAAAAGGTAAGCACAGAGATACGTTTATTGACAGGAAAAGTAGTATTTCTCAAGAAGATAATCATACCCTAAAAGGTAAAACTTCACAAAGATGTTATAAACCATGAGCTTTTCTGACTATAAAATTATGTTTACCATACGACATTTGAAAAGCACATCTGTACGGGCTGTGATCAACGCTGCTGGGTGTTTGTCTTTTCTGGGTGTGCAATTTACAGGTGGAATAACCAGCCTGCCATCTCCTGACACACTGTCCACTTCCACTTCTTAGCACACTTTGTGTTACCTGCCCCTGTACAGTAACCTCACAGACTTATGAGTCTCCTCTTCCCATTGACTGGGGTCTCTCGTTTTCTTATGCTGAATCTGCCCAAACCTGGACAACCCTCGGGCAAGCCTCCTCCAGGCTGGCCTCTGGGACTTCCACCTGCTTCCACCTCCATTTGTAGACACAGGCATTCAGGTAGCGAACTGCACATCCTTTTACCTGCTGACTCTAAAAATCACCTTACTGACCAGGAGAAATGAGAAGACTCGAGGACAGGTGTGCACACAGGTGTCACCAACCTGCACTTCTCCGGGTGCTCATCACGCTTGTTGTTGAAGTCCAGAGATATTTTCGCATCCAGGCCAATGCCAAAGTAATTGTTCATGACACATTTCTCTGTGTAATACTCTCTGCAAAAGGGGTTTCAGAGCAATTTAGCAGCTTCCCAACCTCTACCAGTTCTTCCTGAGGGCAAACTCTATTTCTTATTTTATTTTTTAAAATTATTATTATTTTAGGTAACAGTGTTGAGAAATCATATACCATATAGTTTACTCACTTAAAATGTACAATGCAATTTTGGGGGCTGTTTTTTTTGTTTTGCTTTGTTAATCCTCACCCGAGGATATTTTTCCATTTGATTTAGAGAGTGTTGGGGGGGAGGGGTAGATATCGCTGTAAGAGACACACATCGATTGGTTGCCTCCCATACAAACCCCGACCAGGGCCACAGACAGAGCCTGCAACTGAGGTATATGTCCTTGACCAGATCAAACATGAGACCCTTCAGTCTGTGAGCCAACCATCTATCCACTGAGCCAAACCAGCTAGGGCTACAATACAATTTTAATGCAATCACAGTCATATAACCATCACTACAATCAATTTCAGAATTACTGTATCACCCGAAAAAGAAAGCTCACACCGTCAGCCAGCACTCTCAACCCTTCCCAAGCCCCCAACAACCACTAATCTACTTATCTCCATGGATCTGCCTCCTCTGGACATTTCATAGAAATGGGTCCCAAAACATGGGGCCCTTGCGCCTGGCTCCCTTCACTGAACACAGTGTTGCCAGGGCCTGGAGGAAGCAGGGCTGAAGGGGCCTGGGAAGTGGCTAGGCAGGCCACAGAAGGCCATGGCAGCAAAGGCAGAATGACCAGGTCCTAGGGTGACAGGGAACAACCTGGTGCTCAGCCTGGGTGGAGGAGGAAAGCAGCTTTGGTCTCCCTAGGTCAGTGGTCGGCAAACTCATTAGTCAATAGAGCCAAATATCAACAGTAAAACGATTAAAATTTCTCTTGAGAGCCAAAAACCGACTTCTGCGCACGGGCCACAAAGTTTCAATCGCACTGTACATGCGCATCTGCACGTGTTATTTTTTGGAAGAGCCACATTCAAGGGGCCAAAGAGCCACAGTTTGCCGACCACTGCCCTAGGTGAAGGAGAAGTCTCTCCAGTCAGAAGAGGAGAAAAACAAGACCAATGGCTGTGGCTGCCAGACTTGGAACCTCAGAAATCTCAGATTAAGAAAACAAACAAAATATCCAGGGCACTGCTCACAGGAAGACAATAGCTCTGGCCTTTTCGAGGAATTATCAGGAAGGGTCAAAACAAGAGCCAGGCAGCCCTGGGGCCTGGAGTGAGGAGCAGATAGGCCGGTAAGTGGCAGTGGCAGGTCCTAGATGGGATGCCCAAGCATTGGGCAGGCCAGAACGTGGCAGCAGGTGTCCAACAGAGGCAGCTCCCTGGCAAACCGGCTTGGCAGGACTGACACTCTCCATACTTCCAGCTTCACCTTCCCAAAACCCAGAGCTTCTGTAAACCACACATTTCTTAATGGCTCTCCCCCACCCCACACACCAAACACATGGCTGGCAACTTAACCAACTGCCACCGATGCTAACTGCCCAGAACTTGCTATCAGCAGGCAGAAAGGAAAACCTAGAAGAATGGGTTTTCAAACACCATCTGTGTCTGCAATGGCGTGCACACACACAGGAACAGATTCAACTGAACTGCTGTCCACAGTCCTCACGGCCTCAGTCCAGGGACAGAGGACACAGTGCGGGAGCACAAAGCAGCTCCTCCCCACACATCTCAGCCAGGACAGCGTCTCCCTGGGGATCGCCAGGAGCTTCCAGCCCAGGGGCCTGTGACTGCAGCTCTAACGGGGAGCAGACCGCAGGAGAAAGCAGCAGAACAGTGGGCGGCAGGGGGGAGGTAGTCAGGAAGAGGCACCAACACAGGGTCAGCCAAGGTTACCAAACAGTGATAATGAAGAACAAGTTCCTAACGGGAGTTTCTGAACCTGCCCAAAACCTCAGAACATTCCATATATTTAAAGACACTGCCTCGTGACCATTGGAAATGAGCCGGGACAGGCTATATCCCATCGTCCCATCGCCCCCATCGCCCCATCGCCCCATCGCCGGAACTTTCCGCCCACACTCCTTAGCTGAGGCTTCCCATCTCTGGGTTTTCCTTATCAGCTGACACCAGCTGGAAGGGGATCCCCTAGTCAACTGCTCACAAATTACTCTAGTCAATACCAATCACTTTCCAGGCTCCAGCATTCTTTACCAACGTGCCCCCTTGGTTCATGCCACACTCACAGGTTTTCTGGTTCGGAGTTGAAGGGATCAGCATTGATTAACAAGCGACTGATAACTGAACCGCCAGGCAAGGAACCAGACATCCCCGCACGAACATCTGTGAGGGAGACAACCCAGAGTCATGAAACAAAAGGAACGTACTGGTGACAGCAATCAGCACCTGTGAGACACACAGAAATGGCCTGTGAAGACAGTCCTCCTTAAACGTACAAAAAGCTCCGCCAGAAAGAGCTCTTCGTACGATGAATCTTAGAGCCCAGGCGCCAGCTTTGGAAGGCTACATTCATGAGAAATAAACACCTGTGAGCGGCCTGCATCAATTTAAAATCTTTAAATCACACATTAAGGTAGAGATGAAACTGTTTTTGAACGTTCTGCCCACCCATGCATCCAGTAATATCTTTATCACTAGCTACCCAAATGCTCATTTCCGAGGGCTCATTTCCCAAGGGCTTCTAGAATTTTCTTTCTATTCAGTGGAGATTCTCTAGAAATTGACAAATCACTTATAGGAGTAGATGGTGTGGCTAGGAGACCTCCGGACTCTACCCAAAACTGGTTAAGGGAGTCTTACTGGCAATTTCAACACCTTGCGGCATTCCTTCCTATGAAGACAAGTTCTGTCACCACTCCTCTGGGGGAAGCAGCAGCAGGAGTTGCCTACACTCCATCCCAGGCAAAATGAGAGCAGAGCAGGGAAGAGGACAGGGCCAGCCCCCCGCCGGCTAGCTGCTCCTGCTGCAATCATGGAAGAAACAGCAGCACGACTCTCAGTCTCACCACAGCCTGCCCGCCTTCCTCATTCACTCAGGACAACTATTTTGCCTTTCTGGAGCCCCACCCCCAGCCTCTAAGGCAATCTGGGTGCCACCTGCCCTTTGTAATGAATAAGAGCACTTTCATGCCCTGACCTAACTCTGAATTCTATCTACTTTCCAAGGACCTATAGACTCTTGGAGGACAGACCCGGCCTCGTTTATTCCCACAGACGCAGTGCCGGGCAAAGCGAGGCCTGACACCCTCCCACAAAAGCTCACCACTGTGCCTGCACGGGGTGGGGACACTCACTCGGGAAGAGGATCTTCGTGTTCAGCGCTGGGAGGCCATCCCGGTTTCCTGACTGGGGAGGAAGAGAGGCAGAACTCCCTTTGCTGATCAGCTTCTCACATGGGGACTTGGAAACTATAAAAACAGGACACAAAGCCATGACTGACTACTGGAGAAGTTCATTAGAGAAATGCCAGGTGGAGGGGCCAGGGAAGTGAGGAGCTTACAAGCCACTGGTCAGCCCAGGTGGAGCTGGTGAGGTAAAGAAAGAGGCCCAGAGAGAGACAAAGAGGGGACGAGAGGCCAGTGGGTCTGAATATCTTCAAGAGGGTGAGGCTGGGACAAGGCACAGAGGGACCAGACCCTACTCACACTTAGGGCCCATGCCAAGTGGAGTTCTAAGTGGTAATGACCATGGAGTGAACTGAGGCAGATACCTCTGAGCCATCCTCCACACCCAGAGCCTGCGCTGCTCCAGGACAGATACGGTGCACAGGAAAGGTGACCGTGAGACTGGTGATGCCCTGACCAAAATGCCAGGCCAGGCTGGCTCTGGCTGGAACAAATTTCGTATGTGCATGGCATTTGGCTGGCTGCAGCCAGGAAGTTCTGAGGGGTACCCAGGAAGGTTCTGGGCCCTATTGGGTCTGGGGCACAGAGAGGTTCTGAAGAAAGCACACTCCTCACAGCAAGGCTCCCCACTCCCCAGCACCCCTCCCACCTGCCACCTGACAAACCGCGCACAGCATGCGGCACAGGGAAAGGCCCTGTAAGTGGCCAGAGCAATGAGCCAGCACTGCCCCGACACTTCCTTGACAAGCTTTCTGAGTGCCAGGCCCGGACGCAGGGCTGAGGGCACCCTGGCTGGTGGCTGTACCTTTGCGGAGGCTTCTATGCTTGGCAACCCCGCAGCTCTCACTGTGGCACACCGTGTCCTCTGACTTCAGGTCCTTTTTCTCCTCTGACTCAGAGAGACCTAAGACGATCATCTCCTGCTCTTGGGTCTGGGCATTCTGCTCATCGACAGCTGCAAGGAAAGAACGTCCGTAGCTCAGCCCAAGGACATCACCACAGGCAAGGCCAGGCTGATGGAGGTCCTGTGAACAGACTCCCCTCTTCGCCTACCAATTTGATTTTCCTTCAAATGTCCCCTTGTCTGCAGATTAAACCTAAAGTTCCCACCTCATGCCCACTGTCCCCCTGGGCCTACCACACTACAAGCACCATGGGCACCGGGCATCCGTGCCAGCTGGCTGGGGAGGAGGGCCCAGAAGCTGAAGATGTGGAAAGACGACCAGTGAAGGACTGAGAGCCAGAGCAGCCCTGGGAGATGTGATGAGGACCACCACCTTGTGCATCCACCAGGATATAGGTAGGAGGCCATGACTTATCTTCTCATGGAAGCAAGAAGCAGGCTGATCTGCTCAGAGTGAAAAGGTGAGGGCTAGGAAAGCGTCTGAAGGCTATGGACATGTGAAATGGCTTCTGAGGGTAATGAGGACAAGGCAGATCCAAGATAAGAAAAATTTGCTGAAGAGCGATCTGGAGGTCCCAGCAAGGTTGGAGGCAATAAAGTTCACAGGTCAATGTGGTTTTTCAGCATTCTCATCTAAGCTTAGCAAACCGAGTCTGGAGAAAGGGAGTGACTAGCCAGGCAAATCTTTGTCCTATGTGATCTATTTACCTCTCCCAGGCCCCAGGCTGATGGTGGGAAGTCAGCACACCAGGCCAATGACCTGCCCAGGCCCTGGGCACCCTCCTCCACTGAAGCAGTCCTGACTCAGATACCATGGTGTACATGGTCCCCCCCACTTCTCTAACCACCTCCCTGGGCTCCCCCAACCTCCAATCTCTCTCTGTCCACTGACTTGATGGATGGGCCCCACCTCTCCAGGTGTCCTAAGAGCACCTCAGTTCTAAGCACCATGGCTCTCTTAGAACACACCCCCCCCAGGGCAGCCCCTCCTCCAACTGGATAGGACACATCCTGTAGGGCTGACGCACGGATGGGCCCAGTTCCGCAGGGAGTGGGCTCCCTATTCAGGGGTCAGCTTCTCCAAGGAGCCCACTGTGTATGTCCATGAGCACCTTTCACCAGCGAGGGGCGCCCTCCAGCTCTGCCTTTCACTTTCTGGATCCCTGGGTTCTCTTTCCAGGTTTACATCAGACCCAGTAGGTGAGCAGGGAGACACGCTGCGGGCAACGCTCAGGTAGGAGGTGCTGCCTCCAGTCGGGCAGGCCGGAGATAAGCTGCATAGGCAGAAAGTGACCTCGGGCTATCAGGCTTTGACCTACAAGGTGGATGCCTTTCCAGCACCACGTTCAGAGGAAACTGGGTGTGCCCAGCACTTGCCTGAAGAAAGCTCCCTTGTCATTAAGAGACCAGCTACCTTTTTCTGTGTGTTCTATGATCTGACGAATCGCCTTCTTCAGGCTGTTGGCTCTCAGCATGAGCTGTTCCCGAGGCCTGAATATCTGTGGCCGGGTTGGACATGCTGACCCCATCGAGCGGTCCACAGTTGACCCACAGCTGCTGCCCGTTCCGTCTCCATCTTCTGCCTCCTCAGCAATGGTGGGTGGTGGGGTGGGCAGAGAGGACGAGGCCTGGGACTCATCGTCCAAGGTCTTGAGAAGAGAATCCAACTTCTCTTTCAGGACAGAGCACTGGACAAGAAACAAATAAAGTGGATTGGAGTGCCTCTCATCCTGACACCCTCCCAGGCAGGGGCCTAGGGAACAGACCTTCTTGGCCATGACCTCAGACTCCTCTGAGCTCTCAGTCGTCTTCTCATAGGCCTTTCCCACTCGAGCCACAAAGTCCTTCACCGTCTCACAGAGCACTCTGTAGGAGAAAACGCAGACAGAAGCTTCTAGAGAGACAGTCCTGGCTGCAAACTGGACACCCTGTGTGCTGGACCCCTGGTTCCCCCGAGGCAGCTTGCACTCACTTTGCCGATGAGATCACCACCGAGTGCTGGTCAGAAGTCAGGATTTTAGAAAGATGGGCCGCAACCGAATCTTCATAGAAGAGAATTTGCTGTACCTAGAATTATCCCAAAACAGGGAGGGATCATTGTAGGTACAAGTTCACCCAGTGAATTCCTCACCCACTGCCCCCACTAGCTCACTTCCTTCAACAATCTGAGACCTGCCAGTGTTATCTGAAAGATTTCAAAGGCTTCATCCGGATGTGGACAGATGGGCCTTAACAAAAAAGAGCATGTTTTGATAAAGACTTACAAATACCTCATGCTTCTTTGTCCTTTAGTCTGAGATTCACCACCAGCAGCCTGGCTAGAAATTAGGATCTTCTATCTTGTTTCCGTAAGCAACACTCCTTAATTTAGGTTCCATTCACAGCAGACAACACATCTGTCTACCTGGTTGGGAATGTTGCCTGGCCCATCTCCTTCTCTCAATATAAGTTCCCCCTTTCCCACTCATCTCTGCCTGCTGCAATGGGAGATCTGATTCTGTGTAATGGCCCACTCTACGCGCTAGCACAGGGTCAGCAAACTTACTATCGGGTCTAGTAATAATTAATGTCGTTTTTTAACATTCGTTTAAAATCTTGCTTGGCGTTGACTTGTATTGACATAACCTTCAAACACGTGGTATCTACAGAACGTGTGAAGTGCAATTAACAAGTTTTGCTTGAAAAAGTTTGTGTTTGGTTTGTTTTTTGTTGCAAAACTAGGGCTAAGAAGATGGCGGATGAAGAGCATATTCGGCACTGCATGCTTTACGAGTTTCAATTAGGAAGAAAAGCAAGTGAGGCTGCAAAAAACATCTGTAGTGCTCTTGGTCAAGATGCAGGTAGCGCCAGAAAATGCCAGCGTTGGTTTGAGAAATTTCTCGAGGGAATTTTTCGTTAGATGACAAGAGTGGTCGAGGCCACGTGTCCAATTTTGATCAAGAAGCTCTTCAAGCTCTTTTGGTGCAAAATCCTCAAATTACCCAACAAGAGCTTGCGACAACTTTAAATTGTTCACAAAAAACAATTTCCAATCAATTGTGTGCACTTGGCAAAGTCCAAAAGTTTGGAAAATGGGTTCCTCATGAGTTGACCGACAACAACCGTAATCAAAGAGTCACAATTTGCAGTTCGCTCCTCCCTCGTCAAAACTGTTTGCCGTTTTTAGAGCAAATTGTTACCGGAGATGAACAATGGGTGCTGTATGTTAATCTGAAAAAGCGGCCTCAGTGGTTGGACAAAAATGAGGCTCCGCAGCCCACGCCAAAACCTGACTTGCATGCGAAAAAAGTGATGTTGTGTTTGGTGGAATTTTAAAGGAATTCTTCATTATGAACTTTTACCATCTAACCAAACCATTACAAGTGCAGTGGATAGTGCCCAATTGGAAAGTTTAGCCCAAGCTTTAAGAGAAAAAGAACCCGCGCTGATTAATCGGAAGGGTGTAATTCTTCACCAAGATAACGCACGACCGCATACTGCAAGAATCACTGCTGAAAAACTGCGCCAGTTGGAATGGGAAGTTCTCCCTCAACCTGCATATTCTCCTGATATTGCCCCTTCCGATTACCATTTGTTTCGTTCTTTGCAAAACTTTCTTCTTGGAAAAAAATTTAATAATGAAGAATGCCTCAAAAATGCATTGACCGAATTTTTTGCATCAAAATCACAAGAATTTTACAACAGAGGGATTAAAATGCTTCCTGAGTGTTGGGCACAAGTAGTAGAAAACAACAGCAACTATATTGTTGATTAAATTTTGTTGTATTGTTTAAATAAATTCGATTTAAAAAAGTATTAGAAAACGACATTAATTATTACTAGACCTAATATCAGCTAGATAGTAGTCTTCCTCTCTTGAAAGGTACAGACCATCCTCTGCACACAGGTCATGTCAAAGCAGATCCAGGAAGATGTGACCTGGGGCCAGTTTGCTGACCGCTGACCTAGATGGCCCCTGCAGATTTCTCTCTCCTGCTCAGCCAGCAGCTAGCTTGCCCAGGGGGCATGAGCACAGCTATGTGCCAGGACTGCACTACTGCAGGATATAAAATAAGGAAGGCAAAGTTTAGGCCCTTAAGAACTATTAAGACATAAGAGCCATAAAACAAAAAGAAGAGTGAATGATTGAACTGGCACAGCCAGCTGCAAAGGGAGGCAATGTGGAGGATGATGGGGCAGCAGCAGGTGCAGGGAGGGTGGGAATTCCTAGGGAACTGTCAACACAAAGGCCCCAAATTCTAATGACAACTGGGAAGCCTCCAGGTGACCCAAAGCCTGGGAGGTCAGAGTCTATATGGCTCCACCTAAACCTTGAGCTGATCCTGAACTTCTGGTCTAGCCTAGGGCTGGGCATGAGAATATTGGGGGTGCAGGGGAGGGGAGGTAACCGGAAAATACCTCGGAACCCTCGCTGAAGTCCTCAGTGACGACGACGGCAGAAGAGGAGGCCTGCCGGGGCAGTTTAGTCTCGTACGCCATGACACTCCACCTGCACACAAAGGCAGCTCCCAGCAGGTTGCTCCGCCTCCCAGGCAGGCCCTGCACCTCCCTCCTTGTGACCTGGAGACCTGACCTTACAACAATTCTAACTTCATCTGTAAGTCCTTTATGTTAGCTTGTGTACAAATGCTACACCAATAAGTAATAAGTCACTATGGCTCCACTAGTGGAAGAGAAAGCCAGCAGCCTGCTCCTCACTTCATCAAATGCACTACATGAGAGGGCAGCTGAGTGGATGCGTGATCAAACCTGGTCATGGCAACCACAGGATCGTAATGAACATGAGCATTTTCATGGCACCAATCCACCACAGGCTCTGGTTAGCAGGATTTCAGACATGAGTTAGAACTAAAAGCAGTTCACCCAAGAAGTCCCAGGAAAAAAGAATTCCAGCTCAGGTCAAATTTTTACACTTGTTTGTCAAAGGCTATGGTTCCCTGGGATCCGGGTAAGAACAGCTGGTCCAGGTTACCTGTCTCTGACTAGTTCGTGTGGAGCAGCACGAGAATGCGCCCCACTCACCTGTCCAGCATCTTGGTGCTGGCTCTTTCCAGCTTCTCCAGGATCTGAGGGAGCTGGGTGTCATCATCACAGGCTGAGCCCCAGCCCAACACGCGAGCCAGGTCATTCCCTGTGCCCAGGGGCAGCACTCCCAGCTGACACTGCAAAACACAGTAGGAAGACACAGCACTGAGACCCCTCCTCTTTGCTGAAATGGTGGCTGACCTCAGTGGAAGAGACCTGTTCCAAAAGGGGTGGGGCTTCCATTTCAGGCAGAGCCACAGAGCCCACAGCCTTTCTAACCCCACAGAAAAGTCCTCCGTCTCCCACGGGCTGCATCTCACATGTTGCTACATTTTGACTGCCCTCTAGTACAGTGGTTCTCAACCTTTCTAACGCTGCGACCCTTTAATACACACAGTTCCTCATGTTGTGGTGACCCCAAACCATAAAATTATTTTCCTTGCTATTGCATAATTGCAATTTTGCTACTGTTAATGAATCGTAATGTAAATATCTATGTTTTCCAGTGGTCTTAGGTGACCCTGCTAGCGGTTCTCAACCTGTGGGTCGCACACAGGGGCTAGCACAGACACTCTGGGGTAGCAGGACTGAGCCTAGCAACTAAGTAGAAATGAGGAGGGAGGACAAGGGAAGAATCAAGAATGATCAACTGCCAAATCTCTGGCTTGGATGTCTGGTGGATGATAATTTTCAGATTCTAAGGAAAGAAATGGGGGCCAGGCAGGGCTGAGTGGTGTGCTCAGTGCTGGAAATGTTGGGCTTGAGGTGAGAAGGGGCAGCCAGGAAGACAAGAAACACCAAGGAAAGCTAGGGGAAAGATAGGCTGACCAGAGACTCGAGTGCCACAGAGAAGCTGAAGGAGACAGTGCTCACTGAACTCAACTGAGTGGATGAAACCTGCCTTCCTGATTAGTGACAAACTTGTAGATCATCCTAGAAGTCAACGGAACACAGGACTTAAGTGTTGTTCTCTAACTTTACCACTAGAGGGAAGCATTTTCTTTCCTGAGCAAGTGGCCTTGATGGAGAGTTCACTGTCCAATTTGTATCATTTTAATGCCCGAGGCTAAAAAATGCCTAAGAACAGTCCACCCCACCTGAGAATCAGGTAGAAGATCTGGAAAAAAAAGTATGTTGAAAGCAAATGACAAAGTAGGGAAAAATATCACCGACAAAAAGAGTTTACATCCCCAATATAATATAATCTTTAAAAATTAAAATCTTTTTAATTTTTTAAAAGGCAAATACCCCAATTGAAATGTAGGCAAGGAACATAAACAGGTAACTCATTTAAAAAGTCATGGTTAGCCGACTAGCGAGGTTCAGTGATTAAACATCGACCTATGAACCAGGAATTGTGGGTTCGATTCCCAGTCATGGCATATGCCCAGGTGGGGCATGCAGAAGGCAGCCAATCCATGATTCTCTCTCATCACTGATGTTTTTCTCTCCCCCCACCCCATCTCTTCTTCTATGAAATCAATAAAAATATTTGGAAAAAATAAATTCACAGTTAATTGAGATGTTTTATTTCAACAGTAATAAAGAAATAAAAATAAGACATCCTAGAGAGTAGGAAGGGACAGAAATAGACTTCCTGGAACTGCAAGTCACAATTAGGGTCCCTTGGACCTTTCTCTATCAACAATGGACTCATATCACCCTGTTCCGTTCCTGCATTTTATAAATCAGCATGTTGTGGCATCTTGTGCTCACCCCATGGCAGTAAGTGGAGATCTGCCGGTGGCTTTCCGCTGGGCAAAGCTCTGCCAGCATTGAGCTTCTCACTCCCCCTACTGATGATCCCCTACCTGGGCATTCATAAAGACCACTGGTGAAAACCATACAGACCCTTTCCCAACTGTGCTCTCTTTCAAAGAGCGTCCAACATTTAGACTGTGATCTGTACTACCACACTGCTATCCTTCCAGACTGCACCAATATCATTTCCCAATGCCACAAAAAGACTCTCCTTTCCACACCTATCCATTGTTCATCTTTTTCGTTTTCGCCCAACTAAATAGACAAAAAGGTTGTACCTTTACTTCTAGCTGTAAAGTTCCTGTTCCCGTCATAGCCCCAGCCCCAGCTCCCGGCCCCATGATGCTATTGAGCTACCAGCTCTTCCCTTCCAGACCTTTGCTAGCCCCTCCCTGGGAAAAGTACTCCAAGGGACATGGAGTGTCACCCAAGACAGTCCAGCTTCTCTCCCACCCCACCCCATTCCCGGGCCTGGGCTCCTCTACATTCAGGCACCTGTTTGTGAAGATTGAGGCTGTCAATTTCAGAGAGGACCCAGCCAACACTGCCGTCCCCACCACAAACCAGAATCCGGAATGTATCAAACTTCTGGAATAAGCGTAAGCTGCAAAGAAAAGAGAATATAATGAAATGAGGTACATTCTAAATGACAAACGATGGCCAGTCAGTCCTGGGTGAGGGACCCCGTGTGTGGTCCTCACAGTGACCTGTACCTTCTCTTGCAATTAAGTCCCTCAGAGGAAGAGCCTAGCTAGGTGCTCAGGCTCGGCCTGCTGGGGCCACTGGGCACCTCAGAGCAAAAGCCTCCCACGGGAGGCCTCTGTGCCATTCTCCACTCGCCTAGTCCCCACACGCAGCCAGCACCTGCATGGGCAGCTGAGGAGCCCAAGAACTGTCCACTTTATCTTCCCCGTTGGGCAGCTGCATCCTCCAGATGATGTGACCCATTCCTCCTCCCCGCGTAACCCACCTCCATCTCCTTCCCATGCTCTTCGTGGTCACCTGCCCCTCGCATGGTCACCTGCCCCTCTGCTCATTCCTCACCCACTTCCTGAGTGGCCTGACTCAAGTTTTGGCTTCAGAGACCACACATATGCTGATGACCATGACCCTAAACCATGACCTCCAGACTTTCCTGCAGAACAACACATGCACTTGTCTACCAAAGGAGTCACAAGGGCGTCCTAGGTTCCCCTCCTTGGAAAATAGCAGAGCTACCATCAAAACAGTCACCAGGCCAACCCTGCTGTCCCGTCCACCACTGCTTCTCTGATAATCACTACAAGAGCCTTCTCCCCAGCTCACGTCTCCTGCGGATACCTCCAATTGCTACCAGTATGATCTTCCCAAAACAAGTCTTGTCCAGTGTCTCACTTTAAGAATTTGCTGCTTGTTTCCAGGAAAGGTTCAAACCCCTTGGCCAGCACCTACAACCCTCCCTGGCCAGCAGCTGCCATCACCTCTTGGCACACACAGCATCTTCTGCCCAGCAGGCTCCAAACCTCCCTCCCTGCCATGACACCAATTCTCCTCAAACACTGGCTCAGGGAGAAACTGAGATACCCCAATTTGATTTATAAATTCCTCTGGGTTTCCCAAGAATCTGCATGCCTCCCTGTCATGGTGACAGACATGCTGCCGTGTGACCTTGCCTATCTGTCCATGTGCTGCACTCCTGGCAGGCAGAGGCCCGCCATAGTAGGCCTTCCATCTAGCTGAATCTGAGCCAGAGGATGTCCTGGAAAGACAAAAGGGAATGAGGGACACACATGGCTCAGGGGAAAAACATACGTGAGATTCTGAAGCATCAAGGCTGCCTCTGAGAACACTGACCTCTCCCAGGCCTCCTGCTCTCCAAGGACAGTTGTCAAAAAAGTGAAACAATGTGCCTAAGTTTGTTTATAAAGTGTGGAATGGAACCTGCTTCCCAGAAATTAGAGTTTACTAAACCAATTGCCCCTGTGCCTTTGCGGGGTCCCCTACGCCATCCTGTCTCCTATGCAATACCACCCCAAACACGGGTCTGCATGCAGCCAAGGAATATCTGGTTCTTCTCAAGTTCCCTGCCCAAAGCCATTCACAGCATTCGTCCAACACCCCAGCGCCTCGCAGAGTGAACCTGTTCAGTATATCAGGACAAGGGCTGTCTGATTCCTTCACTGAACCCCCCTCCTTTTTTAATCCTCACCTGAGAATATGTCTATTGCTTTCAGAGAGAGAGAGAAAGAGAGAAACATCAATAGGTTGCCTCCCATATGCACCCCAACCAGGGATCGAACCCAAAACCTAGGTATGTGCCCAGGGACTGAACCCGCAATCTTTTGGTGTATGGGACAATGCTCCAATCAATTGAGCTACCCATTCATGGCATTGGCCCCATTTTTTAACTAGAAAGATTCCTTTCTAAACATAGTGGTGAATATGCTCCTGGTCATTCAGTTAACTAAGTCCCCCTACCTACATCTCAGGAGTGCTGCCTGGAGGAAGCAGGCTAGAAAGTTGCCGTGGGACTTTTCTCCAGCAGCTATTGCCATGGGAACACCTCCACATCAGGCCCTGGGGCCATGTGCACATCCTCTCCTCCCACCCGCCCCAGCTCCTGTTACAGCAGCGCCTGCTCCTAACACAACACCCTCCCGGAAAACATAAACCAGAGGACAGGCCCCCAAGCACTTTCCACTATAAATCCCCTGATGATCCATCCCCTCACAAGCTAGGAGGCTTACAGCTCCGACCTTGAACTGCTACTTCCAAATGAGGAAGGAGTTAGTTCAAATGACAAAATTTACAGAAGCAAATGTTTTCTACAAACCTACAGTATGCACAAAACTAGAAAGAAGACACATCAGCTCTCCAGCTACTTGGGCCCTCGCACGTCTGCACGTGTCACTACACCTGCAAGGTGAGCAACTTCTTATGCCTCCAAAATGTAAACTCTCTTGTTTGGCCTCCCTGGAGGCTTTGTTTGGCCTCCCTGGAGGAAAGCCTCCCCAATAATAAGCAGCCACTGAAAGCAACAAAGCAAGTCTGTAACCACTGACTTCAGAAAACACCCACACTATTGCATGCTGACACCCTTAAACAGTATACTGCACAATGCCAGGCCACCATGTGCCGCATTCGGTTCAAAAGTGTGTGTGCACGCCTGAAACACACATTTGAAAACTGGAAGGACACCCAACTCTATTGAGAGGATACCTCTGCAAGTAGAATTTGGGGATGGAGGGGGTGGTTCAAGAAACAGGGCCTTTATTTCCTTTTTTAAAATATATGTTTGAATCTCTTAATAATAAACATGCATTATCTTCAAAAAATTAAACTCCAAAAAAGAACTATTTTACAAGCTTACCCAAGGTGTGGCCCTCCGTTCATAAGGTCAAAAACCTGGGCAGGGTTCAGCAGCTGTTTGAATCTTCTGAGGAACTTCACGCCCTGGTTGTCCCCACTTTTTGAATTGACAAAGACTAACAAGGGGCTTGTGCAGGACGGAGGACATGTGGCCTTCCAGAAGCCTGGATTGAGAATGGAAAAGGACAGAGGTATGAAAGACAGATGGGCATGCCTGATCCCGTAGGAAGTAATCACCTGAGGGCCCTGTAACTTACACAGAACCAGCAGTTAATAAGCACATTTCCACATGGCCATTACCCCTACAGAAGAAAGTGAGTGCCTATCCAGTCTGACTTCATATTTATAAGGATTCTAAATTTCAGGAAGAGAAGGCACCGCACTGCTCTGCCTTTCACTCTTGCGCTAATTCTGAAGAGCTGATTTCCTCCCACATATGGGCCCCCGTTTCCAACCTTTATTACAAATATGGCAAACTCGTTGCCAGAGGGTTTGCCATGCTTGACTTACTAATATACATCATCGAACAGCTCTGGACAAGTGTCAGCAGCAGGAAATCACGTGCTATTTAATACCTGCTGCTAGATGGAGACCAGCTAATGGAGCACATGATCTCAATGGCTCACAGCAGAGACAGACACGAGTCTTTGACTGGGTGTCTACTCACAACCTCCTGGATCCATCACCTTTAACTAAGGTACCAGCCTCGAGTTCTAAACCTGCCATCAGGACACCACTTACCATCTCTGTACATAAGTCCTTTCCCCTGATGGCTGGGCCTGACCTCTTTCCCACCACATCTCGAAATCACCAATAGAGCCTTTTAGAGTGAGGAAGGAGAATGCACGAGAGAGCATGAGGAACGGGACAGGCCAGGAGGGCGCCTGGTACCCACCATCGGAATCGATGCTGTTGAGAGCTGTGGGAGGGATGACCGACACTTTACACAGGCCCAGTGGGCACTTGGTCACTAAGGATTCCTTACACGCCGTGTGTACCTGGAATAAAAATCCATGCATTACAAGGAGTCACGGCCTCCTTCACATAAAACCTACACGCGGGAGGAACGGGCTGTGCCCATCGAGGAACTGAAGGATTCGGGAGAGGACCGCGCTCGCTCACCATGGCCTTGCACCACAGGCAGCGCCAGTCCTGCAGCCGCAGCACGCTGCCACAGGTCTTGTCACACACCGTACACTTGGCACTCACAGGCAGATTTCCTTCCAGCCACTGGTGAGGCATGGCGATCTGCAGACCAAGCAGAGACATGCACTAGGAACATGTCCCAGCACCCCACTCGGGCACAGACCTTGGGCAAAGATGCTCCAAAATGACTTCAACCAAGACACTCTTCTCACCACAAGCAGAGGGAGAACAGGGTTGTCCCACCCACACTCCTACTCCGGGCACAGCATGACTCACAAGGACTGGACAGAGTTAGGAAGCACAAAAGCCCACAATGAGCCCCCAAATGCAGAATGGGAGCAACTCAAAACCTCAAGGCAGAGAACCAAGAGAGAGGAGAGCCACACCAGTTTGGCCAGTGCCCCTGTGCGTACCCCGTCCTCATCCTCAATGATGTCCTTCCCGATGGAGGCCAGTGTGGTCCACTTGCAGTTATTGGTTGCACGCACAGCACACCGTTTGTGGGCCTTGAACTTGCACACTGTGAGAGAATGAACACATGAACCTTCAAGCCTCACTCGTGGCAGCTGCTTCCAGTGCTGGGGGAGATGGTCCAGAGGAACTGCCCAGGCTTCCTGGGACAGCTGGAACAGACAGCACTCCCTGTGATATGAACTAATTACTGGGACATATGTAGGGACTGACCTCGGTGAGACTAGATACCCAGGATAGCCAGGAGTCGGCAGACCTTCTGGAAAGGGCCAGAGAGTAACCAGTTCAGTGTCTATCCCAAGTGCTCATCCTGCCCCTGCAGCCCAAGGACTCCATGAACCATGCTTTACATATGGACACTGAAATGTCCATTCCATGATTTTCTGTGTCACAAAACAGTCATCGTCTTTTCATTTTTTTTCAACCATTTAAAAATGTAAAACCAGCCCAGCCAGTGGTGGCTCAGTTGATTGAGCATCAACTCGGTTGATTGAGCATCAACACACAAACCAAGAGATCACGGATTCGATTCCCAGTCAGGGAAGATGCCCAGCTGGATTCCCATGTAGGAGGCAGATAACTTATGTTTCTCTCTCATCAATGTTTCTATCTCTTTATCCCTCTCCCTTCCTCTCTAAAATCAATAAAAACATATTTTTTTTAAAAAATGTAAAACCCTTTTTAAATCTCGCAAGCCTCATAGAAACGGGACAGGTGAGATCTGGCCTGAGGATGACAGTTTGCCTTTCTCTGATCCTGCCCAAACACTGGAACCTTGCCCTCTAGATCCAGAAGACAACTTTCAATCCATTTATCCACAACCCAATTCACCCCAAGAGTGGGTATAACTAACACTGAGGCTGACAGTTTCAACTCCTTCCCTCTGTGGCCTCTACTTTCTTCTACCTTATTACTGCCTCCCTTCTTTCCTTTGATCCATTACCATAAAAAAGAACTTATCAAAGACTCCTCAGCAGGCATAATAAATAAGCGTGGGGTCACAGCAATTGCTTCACTCCTGACGATGTGGGGTGACTACATTTGGACCTCTAGGGTCACACCGCCTTTCCCAGCAGATAATACGTCATCCACACCTTCACAGGACAGTCCATGGGACGTGACCCCCGACAGAGCCTCGCGGCACACGTTGCAATAGGTCGGCCTCGCGTGGGAACAGGCGTACCAATTGTGCATCCCTGAGAAGTGGTCCATGCTGTACTGGGTCGGCTGGAAGAAGGAAATAAAGGCAGCAAAGAGAAGGTGAACCTCTGACATTCTTAAATGTGGCACTTAAACAGGAATCAATAAAGGATCCAGGGGAGGAGAGGAGGAAGGTTTATAAAAGATAGGGTCACAGTACGATGGGGCGACCTTCATTTACAAGGACCATGCTGAGAATGCAAGTCCAGAACTGTACGACCCACACATGAGAGACACTTAGACAGCAGCAAATTAAAGGGCAACAAGAAGAGTTTCTTTCTACCTCAAAATGCTCCCTGTTCTGGACAGTCTTCAGCGCTGCGATCCAATCTTCCATTTCTTTTCTGTTGTCAGCACATAGGATGAGTTTCCTACATGGAGTGATAACCTAAAGAAAGTAACATATTCAATAAATCCATGAGCAAAATACAAATGCTAACAACGATAAAGACATCTTAAAAACCTACTTTCACCATATATATTTTATTGAAGAACAGCTGCTTAATTCAGATATTCAAGCGAATAGAGCATAAAAATGGTTATCTTGAATCACTACAAAATAAGAACAATCTCAAACCAAAAAGCCAATCATATTTAGGTTATACATTCACCAAAAACCAACTTAAGTGGACATTTATGAACTACTTACTTCTCAGGCACACAGGAAAAAAAATTTAAAGGAAGAGAAAACGGCTGTTATTGTTCTAAACCCACAGGGTGACATCCTGCACTGACATAGTTCAGGGAAAGTCTGGTCCAAGTTACTCAAAGAACAGGGTGGGCATTTCACATGAACCACATGTAAGTGTTCTCACACAAGACCTTCCAATACATGGCAATGGAATAACAGCCAGCTATTGCATGCAGGGCCTGAGCAACTTAACTGGACCTGGTAATAATCAGCAACTAAAAATTATACCCACAACATATAAAAAAATCTTTATATACCAACAGAAGAAACCTTTCTTAAAAAAAAAATAAAGGCTATAAATTTACATTTCACAGAGGAAATACAAAATGACTATTAAACAAATAAAAAGATGCTTAATTACCACTCTAACCATCAGGGAACGCAAATGAAAATAACAAATTATTTTTCACCTAACAGATTGGCAAAGTTTTAAAAAATGAGAATGCAGTGTTTTCAGAGAGATGGGGGAAAGAGTTCTCCTGAAGTACTGACAGGAGGTAAACAGCATATAAACTTTATAGAGAAAAACTGGCCTTAGGTGGTTTGATTCAATGGATAGATGTTGGCCTTTGGACAGAAGGGTCCCTGGTTCGATTCCAGTCAAGGGAGCATGCAAGGTTTTCGGGCTCCATCCCCAGTAGGAGGCATGCAGGAGAAAGCCAATCAAAGATTCTCTCTCATCATTGTTTTTTTCTTTCTCTCTCTCCCTTCTCCCTTCCTCTCTGAAATAAATAAAAATATAGTTTTAAAAATTATTTTTTAAAAAGGGGGGAAAAGAAAAACTGACCATGTCTATCAAAATTTTTTAAAGTGATAGCCTTTTACTTTTTAAAAAATATATATATTTTATTGATTTTTTTACAAAGAGGAAGGGAGAGGGACAGAAAGTTAAAAACATCCATGAGAGAGAAACATCGATCAGCTGCTTCCTGCACACCCCCTACTGGGGATGTGCCCGCAACCAAAGTATATGCCCTTGAACAGAATCGAACCTGGGACCTTCCAGTCCACAGGCCAACACTCTTTCCACTGAGCCAAACTTAATTTTGGCTTACTTACTTTTATTTGGCTTACTTAATTTTGTTTTAGAATGATATAAAGTATCTACATGGTTCCAAAGTCAAATCTACAAAATACAGTACATTCAAAAGTCTAGCTTTGTATCTTCCTTCCATTCTGATTCCCTCCCTATGCCAAAGGAGCCCTAAAAATAAATAAACAAAACTACGGTTTATCCTTCCATGTGTAAGGTATTTGCTAACACATGTATATATACACAATCCCCCTTTTAAAACAGTAGCACACCACAGATGCTCTTCTCCACCTCTGCTTTTCCCTCTCAGTAAGACCCCGCCCTCACTCCTTAGCAGCATGCAGTGTTTCCTTATAGCTGTATCCAGTCTGTTCAACCCGTTTCCAATTAATGGGTATTATGTTGTTGAAAAGCCTTTGGCAAGTCAAAGGTGCCGAAATGCACAGTCTTTACACAGATCTTTTCATATGTACCAGTGTATTGCGGTGACAGAGTAAATGCATATGTTGTTTTGTAGCTATTGCCAAATTCCCCTCTGCAGGGGCTGGGCTATTCTGCATTCCCAGGGACTCACCAATAAAGTTTGTTATTTAACTTCTGGATTTCTGTTTTGTTAGATTATCTCTTCTGTGATTTCCATAAACTACCCACAAAGCTTAACCAGAGAAGGGGATAATCAGAACTGAGTCACAGATGTACAGTGCTGTTCATTCTTTAAGTAACTGGGATAACTACACGTAGGGAGGAAAGGTAGGTGTAGAAAGAGGTGAAGCTAGAGGAAAGTGAGGGGAGCCCGAAAGACAGAAAACAGAAGACTGGAGAAGTGAGTGCCCTCCAGAGTGAGGGTGGGGGGCGGGAGCCACTGTCTCTGAAGCTTCAAAAGCACCACATGTAGCCTATATCCAAACACCTGCTGAGTGTCTCAAAGACCAAAGAAGCCAAGGTTCCTGCTCACAAAGAACTCACCCAAAGCAAACAGGACATTTCGGAAAGGGACATGTGCCATGAAGACAAAGCAGATCATGGGAATGGGGCTGACGGGTGCTTTGGAGGTTGGTCAGAAAAGGCCATAAGAGAGCTGGGCAACAGACTATGGCCTTGGGTCAGTGCTTAAGGACTTTTCATCAGTAACTATAAAATTGCAGCAAACACTTCTTTTTATTCACTCTGGTGTGAGTTTTAATATTTGAACATTTTTATCAGCAAAATAAATAGAATTTCAAAAAGATAATACAATTTTGCATAACTTGGATTTTATTGGGAGTTATGCAATAAGGTATTTACAGAAGAGAACAATGAGATTTTTCATGTCCTGTTCTATTTTAAGCCTTGTTTCCACTACTCCCGTGACAACCTGTACAGGATCAAGTGTGCATGTTATTCCAGAACTCAGCTCTGTGGTCTGAGCAGGTGGATCTCTGGGCCCTCTCTCCCCCATGCTAAAGGAAGGAGGGGGTTACTGGAATAGCTACATAGGCACTAGCACCACTGGATAGCAAGTTACAGACAAAACTGTTATGTTTAAAGATGGTGACTTAATGGAACAAATGATAAATGATGTCATTTCCTCAATCTGTGTAGTTATTTACAGGGAGAAAACACTGACCAGCAGATAAATGTCTAAGAACCTGGTTTTCAGCTATTTTAAGAAACACTTGTGCCTGTTGGAAGCCTCAGACCTCGCCACTGACTGGTTGGGAAGACTCGTGTTATTTTCTCTTCTGAAAATGGGGGGTGATAAAAGCTAACTGACAGGGCTGTTATGAGATTAAATGGGACCAAATGTGGACAGAATCAAGCACGGGGCCCAACACAGAGTGTTCAGGACACATCCTGAGTCCAAAGCCCTCACAAGCTGTGCAACTTGGAACAGCTACTTCCCCTCGCTGTGCCTCCATCTGTTCATGTGAAAACTGGGGCTACTAATGGTGAGCCCATCACCCAGGCTGTGTGAGGTTCTAGACAGGGACCCCGAAGTGCTGAGAACAGTGCTCCCATGTAAGCACTCCCCGCTGTGACTCTCAGTGCTATTTCAGGCTCTTTCTTCCCTGTGGACCCACCTTTCTGAGGCCATTCTGGGGCCAAGAGTCCACCTCCCAGATAATGAGAATCATCAGAGAAGACTCCCACCCACTAAATAAAAATTGGTCTCAGCAGGGCGCGTGCGGGAGGCAACCAGTCAATGTGTGTCTCTCATATTGATGTGTGTCTGTCTCTCTCTCTCTCTCTCTCTCTCTCTCTCTCTCTCTCTCTCTTTCTCCCTCCCTCCCTCTCTTCTCTCCCTTCCTCCTCCTCCTCCTCCTCTCTACACTCTCTGAAAAGCAATGAAAAAAAAAATATTCTCAGGAGAGGATTCACACACTCACACATACACACACACACACACAAAAAAAAAAAAGAAAAAGAAACAAAGAAAGAAAGGAAAACAGTCTCTGCCTCTCTCCAGTCACACTCTGGCACCTGAGACAGAATCCATGCTTAGCCACCCACCGCCTCCCCATAGCCTTCCAGCCCAGGAAAAGCCTCCCAGACACCAGGGGCAGTCTGCACACCTCGGATACCCAGGGCTAAGGGTGAGAGGTGAGGCTGGGAGGGCCTCCTCAGGAGGAAAGGAAAGTGAGAGGCTTTCTAAGAGAGATGTCTTGGGCAGGGCTCCCTATTCAGTGCCTTGATGTGGGAACAGAACAGCCAGGACAGGACCCAGGAGAGAGACCTTCAGGTGATTCCCTTCTGGCTGCTCACCACATTCACTAAAAGAAGGCAGGATTCAGAGGGGACACTCGAAGGAATAATAAGAGTGTCCCTTCGTTTGGACTGCAGCCAGTATCGTAACTCCTAGAAACTAAGGATGGTGAGAGAAAGCTACAACTATCCCTAAAATTGAGCTTTCACACAGGAAAAGCTTTGGAGATCAAAGAATGTTTTTGGTCTATATTTTTCAAGTAAATTTTCAATGTAAAAAATGTCACATAACTAAATCAACTTAAAATGTAAATGCAAATTAAAACCAGGGTAATACCGTGAATGTGACAGGACAAGTCAGTGACATCCCAGACTCAGCGGGCCAGGCTCCATGGCTGGAATAGCAGACTTGATACCAAGGGAAGGAGCAGAGTAGTACCACAGAGCAAGACAGCCACATGGAAACCCACAAGCTTGAGAGAAAGCACACCCCAGGCCTTGAAGCTGGAAGGACAAGAGACAGAGGGAAACAGAAAGGAAAACAGAGAAATGGTAAAAAGCATTTCTCACATAATTCCCTGAGGCAAGCTAGACCAGCAGTAGGTGGACTTTAATTCTTACTCTTGCTGGAATCCTGATGGCAAAAGAACTTAAACATCAGTAAGAAAAAAGGCAGACCAACTAACAAAAAATGAACAAAAGACTTGAACCATTATTTCGTCACAGTTGTTTCACAAATGGCCAGAGAGGCACGTGGAAAGGTGCCCACTTCACAGGTCATCTGGAAAGTGAAAAGTAAAACCCAGCGTGTTCACAAGGTGGCTACACTAAAAAGACAGATATCCAGGACTGGTGAGGATGCGGAACACACTGAACTCTCACACGCTGCTGGTGGAAAGGTCTGCTCCAGCTACTGTGGGAAACAGTAAAGCGGACTTTATATTCACCCTGTGGCTTGGGAACTGCATCCACACACCCAACA